ATTATTTCGGCGTTCGTAAATATTTACTTAACGAGGTTGGCACAAAGCCGATGTAATAACGCGTGATTTTTTTCCAAAAAAAAAAAGAAGAATTAATACCGCGGAATTGGCTGCACGCAATCCGGTAAAAATGCACTTATTACCCGGTGAAAGCAAACCAATTTTTGGTCGTTCGATTAAGCGAATATTTCATCTTGAACTATTTCGAAACGCCCAGTATAATTCGCAAAGTGCCGGGATGCGTGTAATTCGCCAGCTCGAAGTCGAAACTCCAATCCGGAAACTTATCCCGGTATAATCCCGAAATTGATTCTGCGACCTGCAGGACGCGATTTTATGGCGTGTACACGTCGGGTTTTAGTGCCATCAATGAATGTACGCCGATTATAAATAATGCAAGAGAACTATTAATCAAACGGGGAACTATCCTCTCGACCGCGCCATTGTAAATAATTCGAGAAACTTTACCCAATAACGTTGTAATTTTCGGTTATTAGCCGATGGTAAAAGAGGTCGAAATCGATGGAAATGTCCCATTTGATCGGTCGAGCGACTTTTCCTAATCGATGGAATATATTCGTATTCAATTTGATCGGTATTATAATTACATTTGTTTCGATCGGAATCGGAACGAATAATATTTCGCAAGTTTGATTTGCTGTTATGTCCCGCCACATTCCATCTACTCGCTATCTAATTTATATCTAATAAAATCAGAAAGCATAGAGGTTTTTTCACAACTGGGTTAATAGTGTTGTTTTATCTATAATAAATAACCTCTAGATATTTTAATAGTAACTGCGCATTATCGAATTGAAACTATTAATTTTAGCACCTTTACGAAGCACTTTTGAATACAGTTGATTTTTTTTGACTCCCTGTATCTTTTAATAACGCTAATTAATGGAACCCGGATATATCTATATACCCTGGAAGAAGAAATAATTAAATGTCGGGATATTTATGGATACCGGGCGCGCATTCGACGAGGGCGGTTCGATAACCAATCAACCGAAAAGGAAATTCAAACCGAATTCAAAATTTCCAATCTCATTACCCTCGACGAATCGATTGCGCCCGAAACGAATTTTGCTTTCTCCTTGTATGCCGTTGTTGTCCGTTCGAATCGGCCGATTGGAGTTTATTTAATATATAAAAAGAAAGATCATCACTTTCTGGATGCGATGTATACGTCGGAAAAAACTTCCCTTCATAGACGGGGGATAAATATATTTTTTACCACTACTTATCCAGCCAGTAGGAGATTAAACGCTTTAAAAATAATAGTGGTTTAAAGGAGGCGTTTGTATTATTTTTCACTATTTTTTTGGCTGTTATTTGAAACTATTTTTACTCCTTGCAGTTTTTTTAGCTTCATTTTTATTTTCAATCCGCCACTGTGTTTGAATACGTCCATTCTAATTCGATTTTCTCGGAGTGGATACTTGGTTGGTATTCCGTATATAGAACACATTTGTGTGTGAATCTATGTAACGAAATCTTGGAAAATTCCTATTGGAAAAACAAATAATACAACCTACTGTACCTACTGATTTTATAGGGAAAATAAAACGACAAATAATACGATCGTTTTTGTATGTAAAGTAATTATTCTACGTATATTATTATGTATGTAATTACGCAATGATTTTCAGGTTAATTAAAAGCGAAAGGAAAACGATGTCTCGAAAGGATCGAAACCGTCCTAATAGCATTAATTGCATGTTTTATTAATGAACCTTTTTTCACCCTTATTGCGCTGAAGATCGTTTGATCCCGAACTTCACGGGGAATTCAAAACATCGGATTTTGATTTACGCTGTACGAGAAAATTAAATTTTTCACAGGAATCCTCCTGAACACTATTTTCCACTCGCGAAACAACCCGCAAGAGGTACCTACCCCGCTTAAAAGGGCTGAAAATAAAAACGAGAAAGTAACAAATAGTTGGAGCATATTATAAAAGGGCCGTGAAGGCAATAACTTTTCCCCGGGCAAGAATAACGACGACATGTTAAATTAAAAGACATTACGTTGGGTTATTTTCGAGCAGTAAATCTTTTTATATGAGTGTTTTCGTAGCTATAAAGTCAGAGGTGGGCTTACAATTCGCCGGAAACGGAATGATTTATTCTTTTGCTTAGAGAATTTTCGGCCTTTATACAATGAAAACGAATGAATTGCTTGATTGTTTGAATTCTAATCTCGTTCCCACTTCGAGAGAATTTTAGTCTCATTACTTCGCTTTACTGGAATTATTCTCATAAAATGGGTCAACGTAAACTTTACCTCTTAATTAAAAAAGAAATAAACACATTGTCACATTTGTTCAATTAGAATCCTTCGAAACAATTTTAGAACCGTTTAGAACTGTCCAAAATTGTGTTGGATAAACTAGAAGAGTCCAGAACCATTCAGAACGCTTCTAAAACTATTTAGGATGCTTTCAATACTGTTTAAATCGCTTTCAGTACTGTTTAGAACGCTTTCTGAACTGTTTAGAACTTTAAAAGCTATTTTAAATTTTGTAATAATGTATATTAATTAAAATTTCCATATAACAAACATTTTTTCGTGAGAGTATGAGCTTTCGTGCTGTTTGAATATTCAATTAAGCGCATATACGGCATGTTTCGAATTAAAATCGAAAGCTTTTGATGCGCTTTAACGAAAAAAGTTTTTTTTTATTATTTTGTTTTATTTTAATTTTCGATAGAGAACGAACGGGCGGCTCTGATATTAGGGAAATTCTTGTTCGGTCTCGTACTATGAATGTAATCAGTTAGCAATATAGCGAACGCCATAATGAAATGCAACAGAAAGAGAATGGAACCCCGGCTATATTAAATAAGTTAGTTAATTTACAACACAACTGTTCTCTGCCAGCTTGAAATTTAATTAAAAAGTTAAAATTAGTTTTTGTTGTAATTTAACAATTTTAAATACTTCTTTTTTTTGGTCTTTTTTTTTTCGTCCGTGCATTTTAACTCTACTCCGGTACATAATCAAACTTTCAGCGAATAAATTAAGAGCGATAAGATGTCTCAAACGAAATTGTAATAGCTTTAATTACATGTTTTATTAATGAATCTTTTTTCGCTTGTTTATTGGAATATTCCGATATTAAAAAAAATCCCTCGAGGCAACTGTAATAAATTAAGATGAAATATCATCTCTAATTATGTAATTATACCGTAAGATTGTCGATGAAAAGATTAAAACAATATTATAAAGAAATTTAGCGAGATGAAAAAAATTAATCCGAAATTTCGAACTGTAATTTACCCATCAAGAAAATTACCGATTTTTTTGGCTTTTGAATATTTCATAGAATAATAACCCCTCATTTGAGGTTAAATTTCAGCCACCTGAACGAACCTTCGGTAGCCGCACAACCCGAAATTAGAATAATTCCCGCCGCCATTAAAAAAAAAACACATACGAGGGTCGAACGAAACGTTCATCTTCTCCACTCCTCTATTATTCAATCGAAATCAACAAATTTGACGTCCAATATACATTCATCTTTTCTCGCAACAGCCAAACATTAGCATCCCCCGCACACAACAGGAATTATTCTTATTCCGACATTAATCACCCGGATCTGACGGTACGTCAGCCGTGCCATTCAAAGAGGGCCAGAATTAATATTAATGTCGTAAATAGAATGAATAATGTATGTGTCAATATAAATATCGCGCCGACTCTCTTTCCTAAAAAGCTCGCGCTTCTCGAGGGGCCGGAAAAGTCCTTTGACAACGATGAAACGGCGCGCTTTTAATTAATTATACCGAAGTGTTTTTCCGCATTTAAATCGTTCGTTAGCACCATTTTCAATGAAGCTGATAACAAATAAAAGTTGGCTATGATACAATGAACTCCCGCCGATGTACTTATTTTCTTCCACTCGTATGTAACAACTATTATTAAGAAGATTGTAATGGCCGCTCGGTTACAATTTACAATAGAAGAGATGGAATTTAAATAACACGTTTCGAGGATTCTAACTGGCGGGATGTTAGGTTTGGTATATACGAGGGGTAAACAAAACGACCGGTTTTATTTTTCTATTAATCAATCTAGCTAGTTGCATTTTTCGAGCGAAACAATTCGAGACATATCGAATTTGTAGCGACGCTAATTTATAAGTGAACTTAATTGGGGAATTTTGCGCAGCGAGAGAGGAGTTTTTCCCGTTTATGGCGTAAAACTATTAGCGCTTCATTAGCCGAACGCTATTGAAGCGCCGGAAACGAATTACGGAGTTGCAATTAATAAAACGGCTGCCAGTGTACGTTTAGAATGCCGTTCTAATTGGCAACACAATTAAATTAAGATCCGTTTTTAGGACGGCTTTTCGCGCGAGCTTTTTTCTAATCGAAAGCGTCACCTCAATTATGAAATGTGATGTACCTACGAGCTTTCTCTTATTATGTGGACCTTAATCCTTAATTAATCCTACTAAAATCAATCAAAATCGCGAATTAGCATAAAATCAGGACGTTCGCCTTCTAATTAGTCACTAATTATTATCGACGTAGGAACGATTTTCCAGAAAAGTATAAATTCCTGACTAGAAACCAGTGAAAGTTTTACGACGCTCATTAACTATCTTGTTAATATCGAAATAATAAAAGTCTTACGTAACGTACACAAGGAAAAAAAAGGACAAAACACTCGGTAATGTTATTATTCGAAGTGAAAGTTACGTCATTAAGATTTATTTTAATAAAACGAGTCCAAACGTGAATGTATTGTTGAAAAGAAAACTCTTGCAGTGGTGCCAACATTTTCCCCAATACGAACCAAAGTTGGTAGAACCGAAGCGTTTTGACAGCTCTCAGAAAACGGAGTTCGGAAGCTTTTATTCGTGAATTTACACAAGAATTTTTAACTACCAAAGAAATAATAATCGCCCTTTTTATATTTACGACCGCAGATAGGTAATTTATTATCAATTTCATTAGCTTAATAGTAAGCATAATTCACGTGAGAGAGAAATGGATTCCTGCATGACGGTATATACGGATATCTTGTAATAACAGGTTATAAATTACCGACATAACTCACTCCCGTAATAAAATATACGGCGAATGAGAAGAGAAAAAAAAACGCGGTATCCACTTAAACGAGAAAATCCAATTTTAATTTCGATTAATTTACGACTAACGTTTGAATTTGTTTTGTTGTTTTCAGAGATCGGAAAACGTCGATTTGGCTTTGAGCATACCCCAATCGAATTTCCAATCGAACGGCTACGACATGGGCGATCAGGTAAGTCAATATAAATATCCGCGATGCATTCAATCAATGAATTCAACGACTTGTACATTTGTTTTTGATTAATTCCGAACTGCACCCGGTAGATTTTAATCGAGTTTAATAAAACGACAATTACTTGTTAATTATTATTATTTATTTTTTTATAAAGCAATTGGATCAGTTCAAGGCGATTGAGTGTATATAACATTTTGCTTCTCCCCTTTTTCAATGTAACTTTAAACTGAATTCGCCATTATATCGGAATGTTAAGTACATTAATCTCGCAGCGCGCTGAAATTAAATCAAAGAATTGCGGTAATTAATTTTCCGTTGATTAATTTCTCTGGGCACCATAAAAATATTGTAATATATTGCGGAATTATGCGTATTTCATCAAGCGCATTGCTTATTACCTGACAGAGATGCATTGAAGTGAAATTTTATTAATCAAAACGCTAACCCGAAGGTTACGTTTGGTTCTTTACAAGTAAATTACATTTTATATCCCAATTGAATTCTTCTGCGATTGGCATCTACAATTAAATTAATTCCGTGTTTTTTTTACGATGATAAGAGTTCTGAGCCCTGACCTGCCTCTCTATAAAAACCTAATCAAACGAACAATGTGATAAATAGTATTAAACAACGACAGAAATGTATGTCTGCGGACCACACAAGTCGCTCGGGGTTAATTTTCTTCGCGTTATATTAATCTGTTACGTCGAATATGTGGAGAGAGGGCGACCACTAACATCACCGGTTTTCTTAATAGAGTTCGGAATATTTTATTATTAAGGGTCATCGGACGGGAATTCGTGTTTATTTTACAGGGTGTTTCATGACTCTTGTGACGTCAACGATTGAGCAATCCTCGGTTGTTGTATTATCCTTGTGTATAGATAGACCACCTTTGAGTTTCAGGTGAATTTTTTTATTAAATTTTATTTGTATTCATCGCGATTTTACGGCTTCTCGTTTTACGAACATTCCGGTGAATATTTTTAAACTCCTAATTTCAGAGTCGGTGTCTTTGGTGAAAAAAAAAGTAATTATCGGTTTGAATGTTAATTCCGAAAGTACCGACGATGGCGATAAATTTAATGAAAATGATATATGTATAGGTAAAAAGTTTCCTTCGTCGTGAAAATATTTATCCGATCGAAAAACTAAATTCATTTTAACCAACTATTAATTAGCCGGAACGATAAATCGCCGGCAAAAGGAAAGGGCAATAAAAATGAGCCGGAGCTGATTTATAATGTCCAAATAATTCTTCTTTATTTTCATACGAAGTTATGGGCCATATTTCTCGGCTGCCAAATAAATTACGTACAACGAGTATTCAGCGCAACTCTATTATAGTTAGTTCGGGAGGTCGCCGCGGCGCGCCGCCAACCGTCCCAGACGCTACCGACGCCCGACGCCCGGCGTCGGGAACTCTCCTTCCTTACCGCCCCCACACCTGCCCGTTTCTTCCGGCACTCACAAAAATATCGCGATTAATTCAAACCTTAATTTAAGTTACAAGATTTAGCTATTTCATATATATACAGTGTTGCCACTTTAACGACTCTATCAAAGTACCTACTCGGTTTTAATCGTCCTGCTGGAGGAATATATAAATTGAATACCTAAAATTTAGATGAGAACTTACAAATACATCATCATAATACGGGAGTGCAAGTTCTACAACGGTCGATGATTGATATGACAAGAGGTGCATGGTTCAATGGCCAATCTCAAGGTGACTTTCATATTTCAATAGCGCTGATGCCAAGTCTTTGAACGTTCGCTCTTCAGTCATCACCCATAGTCGTCTCGGAAAATCAAATACTCCCAGAGATTATAATTTTTTTAATTTTCTTAATCGCCCCTTACATTATTTCGATTTAAATCCTATTTATTATGCACGAATGGTGGAATCTCCGTCAGGTAGATTCGGAATTGGAAAAAATCATTGCGACTTCTATCGTTGGATAAACACCATTTGCAAATGAAATTTTGTTTGTCGGGCTCGAGGAAAATATTTCGAAACGACGTGGAAATAAGCTCGAACATCGGCTGTGCACGCGTATTTTCCCGGAGCATCCGGAAAATATTGATATTTCATTCCGTCGCGAATCCCGCTTTTCCTGAAAGGAAAATTTCGCGATTTAATATTTTATTAAACTCGTTTATTTGATGTTTATTCGGTAACGGGAAAAACCGGCCGTCAGTCAGTTACATTCGAAGGTACATTTTAATACGGTAATGGCAAAGCTTTTTGCAAATCCTGCAAAATGAAATGCGAGTTTTTTTTTTCAAAATATTTTGCCGCTTGTTAAAATCAACGTCTTTGTGGAGGAGAGCGAGGGAGCGACGTCGCGACGCCGACGCCGCTTCACCCGCTTCGTTTTGTTCGACGGCGAAATGAAAGAAAATTTTATACTGGCAACTTAAAAAGTTTTAATTTCTTCGACAGTTGCTCCTAACTTTGTTTCTGTAAATCTTAAACGAATTGCGGAAACAAACTAGCGCCTGCAAAAAGTTTTATTTAGTTTCGGGAACTTTTCTTTCCATTTTCTAAAGCGAAGTTTTTAATTAGTTTTTATTTTTATTTTATTTATTTTTTCGCGTTGCAAAAGGAGGAATTAATTAGGAGATTCGGATGACGAAATTGAATTGTCGGAGTGTCCGAGGGAAAATTGTTATATTGTCGTTTGATTAAAGCGCAATTAGAGCGATTAGTTTTGCCAAATATGCCGAAGGAATGCAACTCGCTAATGCCGGTTGAGTTTCGTTTACAATATCAATGAAAATGTATTTTTAATGTTCGCTGCAATTGCGTCAAATCGGCCTAAAATGGAGGATGTTGAAATATATACGAACTCGTTTGTTAATGGACGAATATTCAAATACAAATTACCTTAAAAAAAAAGAAAAGGTCTCGCTCGAACGAATCGATTTATTAAAAACAATTTAATTGAAGATTCCGTTTTTATACGATCGTTCGAATAAATAAAAATACGCCATATTTCCACCATCGATCCGCGATGCATGGACCACCTAGAAAGTATCGAATTCCGCAAATGTTACAACGTACTAAAACACTCGAGATTCCGATTATACATTTCCCCTCTTCAAACCCGCTCCGATACTCGAATAGTTTTCTAAATGGAAAAACTTATTTACCTCAATTACCGCATCTAATCTATTCCAGACGTTTCACACTCCGAGCTTCGGAGACGAGGAATTCGACATACCGGCCATCAATCCGCAACAACAACAAGCCCAACAACATTCACAACATTCTGATCAACAACATTATCAACAACCAATGCAGGTGAGTCAACTCAACAATACTTTATCTTCTACTCCTAGTTTTAGGACAACATCATCGTTACCATCTTCCAGCTCTTCTGTTAGGAGTAACACCAAAGATTTTATTATCGAAAAATTTCCAGGGTATGCAACAGATGAATCAACAGATTAGCCAACAACAGAACGAATTGGGGATGCACGATCCGACGGGCGGCTTCCAGCAACCGCTGTATCTGTCGGGGCCCGATCACGGAATGGTGAATTCCTCATATCACAGTCCCCAACAGAACTACCCGTCGCCGCAGCAACAACAACAACAGCAGCAGCAGCAGCAGCAGCACAACAACCAGCTGTTGATGATCCAACAGCAGCAGCAACAGCAGCAGCACCAACAGCACCAACACCAGCAGCACCAGCAGATGATGATGAGCCACGGCCAGCCGCCGCCTTCGGCCATGGGGCAGTACGGCGCGTCGCCGCAGCATCCGCAGGGCAGGGGCAACAGCCCGCCCGCCCCCGGCCAGGAGCCCACCACCAGCGACGACAGCGACGACAGCACTCCGCATCCTGCGATCGTAAGGAAATGTCTTTTTTTCATGTTCTACATTTAGCTCAGTAGGATGTTTGGTAGATTATTCGCGCTGATTTTATTTTTTTTTTTTTGATTAACTTGGGAAGGTGTTGTTGAAGGAGTTATAAATGTGAAAGAAGATGATTATTTTGAGCTTCGAATAGAAGGGATAAGTTTTTGAGAGGATGGGAGTAGTTGGATTGGTGATTTTTGCGAACTTTTCCGATTCACCTCAAGTCGACTTCAATCTCGAATTAATTACGATTCCTCGTCGAAATGGAGGCCGAAGTGCGAAGTTAATATAATCAAAATTCCCTTCAATTAAAACGAATCGAAAATTACCGGTTTTTTTTCCTTTCTCTTCTCTCTTCTTTTAACTTTAATTGTCGCCCCGCTCGTTGGGAAAGTTTTAATTGAAAAACGAGGATGAAAAAATTGGAAATTTTAGGGAAATTGATCGTTTTTTTTCTCTTTCGTGTCGCAGGTGACGGGAATGAAAAGGCCATCGCCCGAACCCGCCGATCAGACGTTAACGAAGGCGCAAAAGAAACCGAAAGTACAAAAAAAGAAGAAGAAGAGGGACCCTAACGAACCGCAAAAGTAAGAGTTTCATCATCAATTTTTCCTCACCCATCCATTTTAGCTCAATTATTGACACTTTTTAAATGAAATATCTCTCATACATACAAAGTAGGTGGGTTTAATGGTTTTATAGCGAAGGATGTAGCACTCTTGATTTATCTATAAGAACATTCACCCCCCAGTTCTATTTATTTTCCACCCCTATAAGAGTACGAGCTTCCCCTACAGATGCATTAATACCAAACAGAAAAGTTTCTTTGTGTACACTACGAAAGTTGAAGGATACTTTTTGCAAATTCTTTCCCCGATTTTGGGAAAAACGGAAAACTACGATTTTCCGCGTACGAGTATAGAGACGGGCGCAGATCGACATTCCTTCACTTCGCCTCTTCTAACATGACGTCTATTGATTTTTCCCGTGCTATTAAATCCTATTAAAATGTTGAAATGCCGTTTTCCTCGGCTGCACTCCGGGGCCCGGGGGCGCGTCGACGCGGATCGCGTATTACGCGGGCGGGAGAGAGAGAGGCGGGCGCCTCGGGAGCGGGAGCGGGAGCGGGAGCAGGAGCGGCCCGTCGCCGGCGCTTACCCACCGCCGCGTATACACTCCCGGTCCGGGATCGAGTAATAGTTACTTTGTCGTTATTTTTACCGGGCGATAAAGTTTGAGGATTCCGAGGATGATGGTAAATATACAGGACGATTTCGGTTGGGCGGTTTAATTTATTAAGGAGGAATTGTTGTTATGTTTGTGGCGCGTTTATTGGAAAAAGTCCGGATCTGGTGTTCGGATCGGGGGCGGCCCTGTGCGGGCTAATAGAAGGGGGGGTCGAGGGTGGCGGAGGGAATGAACTTTAGATGGTCCATAAAACAAACATTCCGACGGTGTAAGTTGAAACTTCAGATTTATTGTTGCAATTTCACGTTCTGCGTAATATGTTTGTTTTTCCTCGGCTACATTTAGACGTATCTCTTGCGGAAGGTATTTACTTATTTATGTTTTCAATATCGTTTCGACGATTTTGATTCTATAAAATGGCCAGTAAAGTTTCATTTGACTGCGATGGGATTTATCGCTTTCATCGTCGATTAAATGACTCGTACTCGCGAACAATATAAACCGAATCAAAGAATTTTATTAAAAAAAAAAAACAGAAAAAAAATGGTAGTTTATCTCGAGAACCGGCTCGAAACAATCCGAAAACGCGACAGATTTATATTTCCAATAAAAGTTCGCCCCGGATAATACACTGAATTATTTATGCGGGCTCGAGAAAAATCCATTATAAACATTCTTGTTGCTTAAAGTTTCGTTCAATTTCGTTCTTATTTATGGAGTCCCGGCGATTTTTATAAGAAGAACGTCGCGAACGGAAAGTTTCCCCTTAAAAATTTACTTTTCCACTTACTCGCCTTAAGGATTTATCGACGGCTTCAAACGTAATTACGACATCGAAAATTTCCCAATTTTATTTTATAATTTTCCACTTACTGTCGTGACCCGTCAAAAAATAGTCCAAAGACAAAATTGCCCAACTCAAAATAGTCCAAAGACAATATAGCCCAAGACAGAAGAGCCCAAGACAAAAGTACCCAAAGAGAAAATAACCACTAGGTCCTTACAGGTGGTAGAGATGGGATTCCTCCCTCCTTTGCTCGTTTCGAGTCTACGAATTTCTATAATATTTCGTTAGCTAATTTAATTTGGGATCGTTTGCAGACCAGTATCGGCGTACGCGTTATTCTTCAGGGATACCCAGGCAGCCATTAAAGGGCAAAATCCCAACGCCAGCTTCGGGGAAGTATCGAAAATCGTCGCGTCCATGTGGGACGCTCTGGATTCCGAACACAAAAACGTAAGTTAACATCATTTAAATACTTTAAATTATAATAATTAGAGTATCTTTCATTCTCCCTATGGGCGTTTGGAATGGACGTAATGTAGCCAATTAGGCTATACATTAATATTAATTATAGAAACGTTTAAATTGAGAGTTTTATGAGTAATATAAATATACCGAATGTGGACTTGAATCCATTAAGTGAACCAGCTTAATGTACATAAATTGTTGCATTAGCGTTGCAATGCAACCAACCTCGATTCGTTAAAAAAATATTATAACGAGTTTTTTTTTCCTATTAGTTTATACAATTAAATAAATTCAATCGTGTATAGGTATACAAAAAGAAAACGGAGGCGGCCAAAAAGGAATATTTGAAAGCGTTGGCGGCGTACAGGGCGAGCCTGGTGTCGAAGGGCGCCGGCGACAACGACGGCATGTACGCCAACTATCCGAATTACCAAGGGCCGGCGCCCAATCAGTACACCTCCTATCAACCGCCGGGCGCCATACCGTCGCCGCCGTCGGCCACGCCGCCCGCCCAATCGCCCATCGGCAAGAAGCCGCCGATGATGGGCGGCATGGCGTCGCCGCAACCACACCAGGCCATGATGCAGTCCGCCATGGGACCAGTGCCAAATCACATCACCATGCAACACATGCAACAACAACAATCGCACAATAGTTATATGCAACAGGTATACATCGTCTCCCAGCATCACTCTATAAACCTTTAATGAATCTTTTATCGTCCTATGAATCTACTATGAACCTTCTATGAACCTTCTATGAACCTTCTATGAACCTCCTATTAACCTATGCACTTTCTATAAACCTTCTATGAACCTTTAATGATTCAGTGAATCTTCTATGAACCGTCTATGATCCTTCGAACCTCCTATGAACCCATGAACTTTATATAAACCTTCTATGAACCTTTTATGATCCCAGAAATCTACTATGAACCGTCTATGATCCTTCTATGAACCTCCTATGAACCTATGAACTTTATATAAACCTTCTATGAACCTTTAATGATTCAATGAATCTTCTATGAACCTTTAATGATTCAATGAATCTTCTATGAACCTTTAATGATTCAATGAATCTTCTATGAACCTTTAATGATTCAATGAATCTTCTATGAACCTTCTATGATCGTTTTCTTCTAACAAAACCTCCGTTGTAGGTTCCTCAACAACAACAACACTTGCCGATGTCGCCGCAACAACAGCAACAACAACAACAGTCGCACATGCAACAACAATCGCAGCACATGCAACAACAGCAGCAGCAGCAGCAGCACATGAGCCCGCCGCCGATGGTGTCGAGTTCGCCGCCGGTGAGCGCCGCGACGGCGCCATCGATTCCCGTATCGGTGCAATCGAATCCGAACGTCGGTCCGGGACCGATGAGACCCAACGCTTGTATACGTCACGGATGTCCCAATCCGGCCATCACGAATCCCGAATGGGAGGACGAGTATTGCAGTAACGAGTGCGTCGTCAGCCATTGCCGGTAAGTAAGCTAAGCTTCGCTATATTATTTATGAAATAAGTACAAATTTGTTTGGTATACTCGTTATACACGAGTCGAACGAAGATGGATTCATTAAACTAACATAGTGGGTTAGAGCGAGAAAGTTGCAAATACACTCTTCCACTAAATATCTTTCCACTCGTTTCTTTATATTAATTGTCTTTGTTGAACAAATTTTGCACTTACCTGTATGTATGCACACCTGCATTTGCGATGAGGTGAAAAATAATTCAACTGTCAACTGTCATTGCCGGCCTCAACCGTCAAGACTATTTGGTCATTAATCACTTAATCACTTAATCACACTAGATGTTCACTTGACAACTAATGACATTAACTGTCATTTTTATTTCTAAAATGACAGTTAAGAGGTAAAATGGCCGACGGATTATTTGCAACCTCAGGAGTCCTAAAAGGTCCTTTCGGGGACATTTTACGGAGCTCCGTCGGTGTCGAATCGAATTAATTTTATGTTGTATGAATTTTTCTCATATGTTTCAGCGACGTATTCACAGACTGGGTATCTGCGAATAAGAACCAATCGCAAAATTTCTCGACGGTTAAATAAATTCGTTTGTTAGGGACAGATTCGAAGTTTATGAATTAACGAGCAAAAAAAATAATTAAATTAAAATGTAGCGAATACCAACTCGGAACTACAACATTAAATAAAAAAAATTATATATATATTTTACGCTAGACGGGGACGATGTCGAGAGTATAAATCAGGTTTTTTTTTCGATGATGATGTTGATGATGTGTAATAGTGAGAGGATAGATTAAGTAAGGGATTGTATATAAAATGATAATCATTTTTAGTACGTGAGGTTGTATTGTTAAGCAATTAGAAGCAATACGATTTCATTCTCTAGGTATACAATACTAAAATAATATTGTAATACTAGTATTATACGTTGTATATTTAATATACGAGGCGGACAAAAGATGCGTTATGAATGTTAGCAAGAAAATCAAAAAAATACACGATTATTATCGAACCGTTCCGGATTCGCAGTAAAGTCTCGAACTGTTAAATGGACTAGCTCAGGACGAGCTCGATTTATTTTTTTGTCCGCCTCGTTTTTTAATTAAAAAAAAAAAGAAATCTACATTTGTTATTTCGTGCTCTGTAAATGCATGAATCCTCGATAAAAATTCGTAGGTAGTTATGTCCAACAGTACATATTGAGACAAATTACTTTAGTTCTTACGTATTTAGGTATTTGTTGTTAAAATAAAAAAAAAATTTTGCGATTCTGTGAATAAATGTTTCCGACTAAATCCTATCGAGTTGATTTCTTTAATACCAAAATCAATATCTGCAAACGATTCAGTGTAAGTTGTTTTTTTCTCTCGAGTCTCGCGAAGTAAGTTCGAATGCAACACGTTAGATTACGCAATAATTGTTGTGAGTTTTGTGAAAAATGTTTAAAGAGTTTGTTTAACGATTGGATTTTCTTTCAGATACCAATACGTAGGTCGCATTGAAAGTTTTCGGAGCCGTTCGAAACATTCTTGAGGGGCGACGGACGATCGAAAAACCTCAAATATTACGTACCGTACGTTTCCACTAGACTATTAAATGTGTTTTAAGCTGTTATAACTTGGATTTGTCAAAAAAATAATAACTCGTATAGAAATATCGCACTGATCCGGTCCGAGAATTTCCAATGATACCTGCGTATACTTTTTGGTTAGCTATGTTTTTTTTTTTGTTAAGACTGTACGTTGTTGTGTTCAGAACGATCGCGGATTTTCGACTCTCGTTTCATTTTTTTTTTGTATCATTGACCAATCAAAGTTACGCTTTTCGTCGATGTATATAAATCTAGCAGTCGTTACTTTTTATTGTTATCTATCGATTTATAGGCAATTCGATTTTTGCGTGGACATCCCTATAGTATTAAATACCGCGGTGAAGGATGTATATTTGTGAATATGTTGAACGAGTTGTTAGCCCGTATCGGACTGTTTCAAACGGTTGATTGATTGATTGATTCATTGATTGGTTTTCGATTTGTTTCTATTGATTTAGATTTGAATTGGATTTTCGGCCGGTGTGGAATTCGCACCTCGTTCGATTCGATTTGAAACAGTCCGATCTGTAAGAATTGTATAGATTGAATTTTAGATGAATACTTATATGAGGAAAAAATTGTATTTTTTATTTTTATCGTTTTTATAATTTTTTTTTAATCGGACAGTTTGGAACCGTTTTCTTTTTCGATTTTTTCGCGAAAGGTTATTTCTTAAATTAGCTTTAAAAATTTTTAAGTACAACCGATGTTCCGCTATTACATTGTAAATATCATACTTTATTCTGACAAGCACACAACCTATACTATGTAATCGATTAATATTTAAAAATAAATAGATTCTACTTAAAATTGTTGGTTCGTTTTTATTTCTTATTTTCTAGGTACGTTTCCATTTAATCCCACATACGAGGGAAGGGTCAAAAGTTCTCGTCCTGAATCATTTAGAACGGTTTAGACCGCTCCAGAATCATTTAGAGAACTGTCTAGAATCATTTAGAACGCTCTAGAATCATTTAGAACTGTCTCAAACCATTTAGAACGCTCCAGAATCATTTAGAACTGTCAAGAATCATTTAGAATGTCTTGAACCAAACATTTCGACTTAGTAAGAAGAATAAAGTAATTTTTCCACTGAAAATGGCGGTCGTTCGTTATCAGGCCGAGAACTTTTCACCCTTGTACCCTTGTAAATACCGAACCTTGAACTAACAATTCCCAGAATTTAATCAACTATCAGAAAAACAAACTAGCTGATATAATAGTTGTTGAAATATAATTTATTTTTTCATCAACTAGAAATCAAACATTATATTGCAATGGTAAGGAATACTTACAGAAAATTTCTTTGACTTCTTTATAATGTTTAGGATATCTCTTGATGCTGAGAGTGTTGTTTATATCTAAATATTGCATCGTGCGGCTGTTAACTTTAGGCCATTGAATTCCTTCTAGTAATTCATCGTTTACTGGTGTGGGATTCCTGCAATAAAATTAATAAAAACGTGTGTTTTATTTCAAATTTCAAAGGTGAATTTCTCACTGATATTTAACGAAATTCGTCCACAATTTCAACAGGCGAGCCATGACGAGTCGATCGGCTTTCGGGTAGTCAGCAGGAGTTCCTCTCAAGCCGCTTTTTCCCCCGAAAATGTACTGCAACTCGTCTGTATGACCCGGAGCTGGAAATGCAAAAACATAATAAACTTAGAAATTACTTCGTTTATACAATTAACCGTTAAAGTTAGCAGGAGTTCTTCCCATTAGTCCTTTGTACGAAAACACCCAAAAGTACACCGGTGTAAATTTCGATGCGAGAGCCGCGTAGTGGATAGCAGGAGTGGATATCTCGTCTTCACCAATAAACTACCAAACTCGTTTAAATAAGTGTAATATTTAGTGAAAATTATTTTACCGTTATCAAAGCTCGGATATTTTCCTCGAACGTCCCGTTCGTGTATATGGATTTATACAAGCGGCTCAATTCTCTGTAATATCTCGCAGGAATGTCGAGTTTGGGATTGATTATTCCTTTGCTCCTGTCGAACTTTCGAGCTTCCTGCAGCAAAGCTTCCCTATCTGCGAGTATTATTACAATTTTCTCTAAAACTTGCAATTATTAAAAGTACCTGGTAGTAAATTGAACGCTTCTTCTCCCACAGTTCCCATCAGTATCGGTACTCTATCGAACTCTCCTCGCCTGAGACTCTCTACCGTATGTTTTCTTTCCAACACCGGAGCCCAGAGAACGACCTTAGAGAGCGTCGAAAAGTACCTATCGTTGTCCACCTAAAGCGATGTTACGGATGTATGCCGAAGGAATCGATCGCTGTTTATAGGCTTACCGGAGCTCGCGCGATTTCTCGCGCGGAAACTCGACGTAGAAGCTTCAGCAGATCGCTGGATTTGGTGGAGTTGAAATTCCGATCGACAAGTCGCGCCAATTTGAAAGCGAAATGGTCCGGATCGCGCTGATAAGACGCCGGAGATAAGGAAGTGCCGCATCCCAGTATGTAGCCCTTCACCAGACCTACGGTATACCGGGTGCGTTAGAAAGGTTCGTGTAACCGATGGTTTTTGTAACCAACCGGTTAGATATACCTTTCGTTAGTGGATTGTGTTGCATGTAGGAGGCGCTCATGGCGCCTGCGCTGTCGCCCATTACTGTCACTCGGTTTTTATCGCCTCCGAATAAATGGATGTTTTTATTCACCCAGCGAATGGCCATCAGTTGGTCTTTTAGACCGAAATTTCCCGGAATAGTTCCGTCTGATGTAGCCAAAAAGCCTTAACAAAATCCTCATTAGGGAGCTTTTTAACGATTAGCGGGGGTAACTTACCGAATACTCCTAACCGATAGTTAAATGTGACTACAATTATATCGTAATCCATTAGATATTTGGGGTCATAATACTGTAGAGTTCCCGATTCAAAAGTGAAGGCTCCTCCGTGGATCCAAACTAGCACCGGTAATGAATTAATAGGGTTAATTTCACTCTACGGGAATCAAATTTTATTGGTTTTTCGCAAGAAATCGCAAGTATCTTACCACTGGGGTGTAAACGTTTATGTATAAACAATCCTCGGTTAACTGCAAATCCTGCAAATCCTGCTGGGGGATGGGTTGTATGCACATCTTGGTATTTCTGGTCGCGTTTAAAATTCCAGTCCATTTTTGGGGCTCCGCGGGGTCCTTGAAATCGAATAGGAATGTAGTGAATGGCGAAATTTAGGAATTTCCTACCTTGAATCTTCTGTTTCCGATCGGTGGAGCCGCGTATGGGATTTCCTGGTAAGCGTAGAAGGGTTTTCCTTGCCATGTTGTCAGTTTATGGCCGAGGATTTTTCCCTGATGCACTTCGACGAGCTGAAAGTATAATCAAATTTTCTTTTCGTGCATTTATTTTCATTCATAAAACCAAATTTAATCTACTTACGTTCGTGTTAATCACTGGGATTAAAAGGAAAACATTCACTAATATCTTGATACACTGCAGCATGTTTGGTTGTAATAGTAAGTATAATTTATTTTATTTTATAATCGTCAAGAGGAAAACGCAGCGTTAATTATATTTATAGTCAATCGTATTTGTCGATAAATTTTGTAAACATTTTGAAGTTCCTCTTTTATAATAGAGTACAGGGAGGACTTTTAAGTAGTTTCACATTTAAGTTTCGTTAAAGTGATAACGTAAATTACATAATTGTTTTACTGACAAGGGATATTATTTTGCACTAAATTGGTAATTAAAAATACTAATTATTTAAAACTTGGTGTTAATTGCGTGTATTCAAAATAAATTTGAATATTGTGATGAAATTATATCACTCTGTAATTATTGGCAATAATCGCAATAAATTTTATATACATAAATATGAAATCGTCAGAACTGAGAATGAAGATAATAATGTGTATATTGATAAGAATTTATTGCTTTATTCCAAAAAATGTACATGTTTTTTTATTAAAAACATGTAAATTTCAAACTGTAAAGAACGTAAAATTACCAAGAATCATTGAATAATAAACAATCTGCATAAAAATTAGAATACGTAGTATGGCGGTCGAGAATATTTTTCTATAACCTTCCTAACATCTCGGTACTTCTTCGGGTTATTTTTAATCGTTAGATTGTCGTTGATATCCACAAACTCCATAGAATCTTCTTTGAATTTAGGCCAGGTGATTCCTTCCAGCGGTTTCGGCGTAGGATTTCTACAATAATAATGTTACAAACAACAAAAATATAATTAATTAATCCATCAAAACTTGCCCATATTTAGCGAAATTGGTCCAAATCGTCAACATACGCGACACGGTGACCTGGTCATCTTCAGGATAATCACGTGAATCCCCTCTCATTCCACTAACGCCTCCAAACAAGTAGAGTATTTGCTCGGCGTGTCCCGCTCCTAATTTATTATAAAATCATTTAATTCCATCTACTTTGGATTACCATTCATACGTACGTTTAACGATCGGATAACCTCTTCCCATCAGCCCTCTGTACCTAAATTGCCAAAAATAAACGGGTGTATACTTCGATGCCAGCACAGCGTAATGAATAGTCGGCGTGGAAATTGTATCTTCTCCTAATAACTGGAGTACATATTCATTTATGTAAGTACCACAATAAAGTTCTATAAACACCCACCTGCATGAACTGCCTGCTGTTCTCTCTGAGCGTTCCGTTCGTGTACACCGATTTGTATAACTGGTTGGCTTCTTCGGCCAATTCAGTAGGCACGTGTAAATCGGGATGCAGCAGCGACTTAACACCTGTATCGTATTTTGTAGCTTCCTCCATTAGGAAACTCAAGGCTGTAAAAAAAACGAGCTCCGGAATGAATTTTTTACGCAATTTTGTAATTACTCGGCAGTAGGTTAAACGCCTCCTCGTCTACGGTACCCATCAACAAGGGCACCTGCTGGAAGTGACCTTTGGTCATAGCCTCCACCATAGGCTCGCTGATGAAGGCGTTTTCGTACGATTTAGGCTCGATAGTAGGCTGCCAAACGAGACCCGCAGCCAACGTCAAGTTGTAATAATCGTTGAGCACCTACAAATTCGCCATAATTACATTGCTAAGATAGCTAGAAGTATATACTTACAGGGGCGTATAAAATATCTTCAGCGCGCGCACGCATCAACAGATCCAGCACGTCTTTGGTGTCGTTCGATTGGAAATTTTTATCCAGCGTCCTGGCCAATTTGAAAGCGTAATGGTCCGGTTGGCTTTGGAAACCCATCATTGCAAATGGACTGCCGCCTCCCATTATATACCCTCTCACCAAACCTGAAACGAGCGATTTTTTCACAACGTTTCTCGCGTCGATTTCGGCGCGAATTTACCTTTAGTCAAAGGGCTTAGTTGCAGGTAGCCCGCGCTGATGGCGCCCGAACTGGCGCCCATCACCGTCAGCCGGTTCTTATCTCCTCCGAATCGATGGATGTTCTTGTTCACCCATCGAATGGCCATCAGCAGGTCTTTTAGAGAACGATTTCCGGGTATAACTCCGTCGGAGGTGGCCAGTAAACCGAACACGCCCAAGCGGTAGTTCGGCGTTACGAAGATGACGTCGTAATCCATCAAGTATCTGGGATTGTAGTAGCCGAGCGAGCCGGCTTGGAGAAAGAACCCGCCTCCGTGTATCCAAAGTAGCACCGGGAGCAGGCTGGTGTTGTTTCGAACGGTTTTCTACGAGATATTTGGAGTTGTTAGGTTAATTTTCTTGTGAGATTTCGTTGCCCCACTTTCTCCTATCCGCTTTAAACGGTGTAGGAGGGAGTGCAGCATAACGGGTTGCCTATCTCTCGAATGCTCTAATAATACTTACTACAGGGGTATAAACGTTTAGATACAAACAATCCTCAGTTTGGTTGAGACCTGCGAGTGTAGGCACGACTTGGAAGCAGATTTTTTCGTTTTTGGTTGCATCCCGTATGCCCGACCATTTTTCCGGTTCTACGGGATCCTGGAAATTATATGAAAAGTATATAAATGGGCGGTTTTGTGTACAAATTTTTCGTACTTTAAATCTCCTATCGCCTGTAGGGGGAGCCGCGTAAGGGATGTCTTGATATCCATAGTAACTGTTGCCCTTTGCGCTAGTCAATTTGTGACCGCGGATTATTCCTTCAGATATTTCCACTACCTGGAAATTAATTATTATATTTTATATTCAGTAATTGTAAGCAACGAAGAAACCAATGTTAAAACATTAGAGATTACTAATTCATTTACTTACATTTGCCCTAGTTTTAGAAAAGAGAATGGCTATTAGCAGTACGTTAAAAAAGCGTAGCATCGTGTTTGAATACTGGAAATGTTTTTTTGATTTTCGAATTCGAATTCGACTGTTAAATAATAAATTTTAGAAAGATAGGCTTCCTGGCTGTTATTAATAATTTATTATTTATAGATTGGATGGCCAATGGTAGCCTAATTAGCTTAAATTTGGGTAATTATTACCTGTATTATTATGTAATATTTACATATCTAATACAGTACAGGTTTAATGAGAATGTGAATCACTGCTCATATTTTTCCTATTCTATTTATAATATATTATTTGCGTAACTCTTTAAGATAATTTTTACAGTCTTCATAAATAATTGATTCCTACGTTACTTAAAAATATGTTTATGCAACCCCAAGTGCACATTTGTTATTATTTTCAAAAAATGTCCCTATTTTGAATACAAACCAACACAGTGGCGTAAGACCATTAACCCACTAGGTTCTTCATTATTTTTACCAATCATTAATTAAAGGTTATGTTGATACACAGTTTTCTTCGGGAAAAGCACAGGAAAAACTTGGAAAAATAAAAAAAACACATTATTTCTACCGAGATTTCAATCTAGTTGACGTTGCCTTGACATTAATGACAGTATTCTAGTAACTTATATTTGGGTTACCAACATAAACATAAGAAATTTACTACGTTCATTTCGAATTCGGTCACGTGGGAATCAATCATTTATGATGATCTCTGCATTTTTACCCCGTAATTAGCCTAATTTATTGTCCACTATCTGTCTTTTTTAAGCAGGTGGCCAAGCGTAAACAACAAAATTGTAGTCCAGTTTCAAATCGTCACAGAGTGACTCATCCGAATGTTATGAAAAATGGCGCAGGAGTCATGTCATATTCAAATATCATAAAACATTATTCAGTATATTTTATTAATTAAAACACGTAATAAGGCGGTCTTGCGTATTTTTGAAGAATCTCCTTAACTTTCTCGTAATTTTTAGGTTTCGATCTAATAGTAAGAATTCTGTTGATGTCAACATATTCCGATGCAGAACTAGTAAATTTAGGCCAGGATATTCCATTTAACAGTTCATCCGATTCAGGAGTAGGATTCCTATAAAACGAAAAATAACACATTATTAACTCGACTTTAGAATCCATTTCTCTCACTGATATTTAACGAAATTCGTCCAAATCTTCAAAACACGAGCCATAGTCAATTGGTCATCTGCAGGAAAAATGGCGGGATTGTCGTTGAAAGCAAACACACCTCCGAACATGTACATCAAATTCTCCGCATGGGCTGTATCTGAAAAAATTATTCCACGGATTAATTTCTGAAGAAAAATCGATTTGTTACTTTGTTACTGAAAATAGTGCCATAACCGCCTCCCATGGTGCCTCTGTAGGAAAATTGCCAGAAATACACAGGCGCATGTTTCGATACCAAAGTCGCATAGTGAATCAACGGAGTGGAAATTTCATCTTCACCTAAAAACTAAAAAAAACAGAAACTCCTCTCGAATAAACCACCAATTACAGCAAATCACCGTTACGAAAGCATCCATGTCATCTAAGAAATTTTTATCGGTATAAATCAGTTTATACGCCTTTCCCGCCTCCTCTAGATCTTCTTCAGATACATTCAGATGGGGATGGATCAATTCTTTATAGCTACTATCGAATCTTCGAGCTTCTGTTATCAGCGCATCGGGTTCTACTCGACGAGAATTCTGTATTAAATAACTTTTAGAAGAATTGAAATATACCGAACATTACCTGGTGATAAACCGTAAGCTTCCTCATCGGAGGTTCCGATTAAAATGGGCGCTTTTTGGAAATCTCCTTTCATGTAACTTTCCACCATCGGTTTAGTTATAAAAGCGTTTTTATGGCAACTCTTCTCGAAGGTAGGAAGCCAAACTAACCCCATGGCGAGAGTTGAGTTGTAAAACTCTTCATATATCTAAAATATATCTAATTTTAATACAATTTTAATTTGATGCGAACTGGTGTACTTACGGGAGCTTTCATAATATCATCGGCGGGGAATCGTTGTAAGAGTTTCAACAAATCGCGGGGATTATTCGAGTTGAAGTTTTTGTCTAAAGTTCTTCCTAATTTGAAGGCGTAATAATCCGGTTTACTTTGATAGGAGAAGGTGGTAAAGGAGGTACCGCAATCGAGTATAAAAGCTCTCACCAAATCTTAAATACGCATAAAAAATTATTCGCGACTAATCCAGTCGAATTATTTTACCATTAGCCAGTTGATTTTGCTGTAAATACGCTAACGAAGCAGCCCCGGGGCCGCTGCCCATGACTGTTACACGACTGCTATCGCCCCCGAATAAATGAATGTTCTTATTCACCCAACGGATTGCCATCAGCTGGTCTTTGAGACCGAGATTCCCCGGTAATGTGCCGTCCGATGTGGCCAGAAAACCTAGAAAATATCCGGAAATCGAATTGAATTTTTATAGATAATACCCTACCGAAAACTCCTAAACGGTAGTTCATTGTGACCACTATTATATCGTAATCCATTAGATATTTCGGGTTGTAATATTGGATTGCTCCACCTTCTCCGCCATGCACGAAAACCATTACCGGTAACGATTTGCGTACAGTACCCTAGAAATTCAAATAGTTTATATAAAAATAATAAAAAATAAATTAAACAAAGCACCTGTGATGGAGTGAAAACGTTCAAATACAAGCAATCTTCGCTCTGGTGTATACCACCTAGCAAATCCAATTGTTGCATACACACTACAGTGTTTCTCGTGGCGTTTAAAACTCTTTTCCATGGTTTAGGTGGCACGGGTTCCTTAAAAAAATAATAGAATTAATGCAACGTTTTATTTTAATAATAATTTTTCTTGCTTTGAATCTTCTGTTGCCGATCGGCGGGGCTGCGTATGGGATTTCCTGATAAGCGTAGATGGTTTTTCCTTTATAACTCTTTATGGTGTGTCCGCGGATTTTTCCATCGGGAAGTTCCACGACGCCTCTCTGGCGGAATTTCGACTGGAGAAATGGGGAGAACAAAATAAACGAAATTCTCTTATTGTTAATTTACTTTTACTTACTTTTGCGTTAATTTCTGTAGCAAGAAAAACTAGTAGAAATATTTTTAAGTATTGCATGTTGATTAGGCAAATTGTTGGATAAGCCTATAGTCTTTGGTTGTGAGCTTTCAATATATAATAATGAGGTAATTTTAATAATATATACTAATTTGTTCAAAAATTATTATAGGGCGATCCTCTAATATGATAAGATATGATATATAAAAGTAAGTAGATTGATTTGAGCTTTTAAACTGAAAAGTTTAAAAGACAGGATCATTGGTTATTTTATTGATATATAAGTACTGTATATTTTAGCATAATTACAATTTTGCTGTTAAGCAGATTTAAATAATATAAAATATGAAATATTTTGTGGTCAGTTGGATCACTCTGTAGGTGGCAGTTAAATAAATCCTTAGCAAAAATCAAAATAACTTAACACATTTTGAATAATCATGTGTTACATAAAATAAATTTACTTTGAATTAAAACAATTTCGTTAACACGTATTCAGAAATTAATTATTACTCAAGACATTATAAGTGACATAAAAGGAATAAAACTACACGGACTTCCTAGACTCAAATAAGATCATAAAACTATCAGAACTGAGAATGAAAATAAATGTATATATTGATAAGAATTTATTGCTTTATTCCAAAAAATGTACATGCTTTATTATTCAAAAAAATTAAATTTCAAACTGTAACGAACCGAAAGTTATCAAGAATCATTGAATAATAAACAATCTGCATAAAAATTAAAATATGTAATATGGCGGTCGAGAATATTTTTCTAAAATCTTCCTAACGACTCGGTACTTCTTCGGGTTATTTTTAATGGTAAGATTGTGGCTGATATCCACAAACTCCATAGAATCTTCTTCGAATTTAGGCCAGGTGATTCCTTCCAGCGGTTTCGGCGTAGGATTTCTACAATAATAATGTTACAAACAACAAAAATATAATTAATTAATCCATCAAAACTTGCCCATATTTAGCGAAATTGGTCCAAATCGTCAGCATACGCGACACGGTGACCTGGTCATCTTCAGGATAATCACGTGAATCCCCTCTCATTCCACTAACGCCTCCAAACAAGTAGAGTATTTGCTCAGCGTGTCCCGCTCCTAATTTATTATAAAATCATTTAATTCCATCTACTTTGGATTAACATTCATACGTACGTTTAACGATCGGATAACCTCTTCCCATCAGCCCTCTGTACCTAAATTGCCAGAAATAAACGTTTGTATACTTCGATGCCAGCACAGCGTAATGAATAGTCGGCGTGGAAATTTCGTCTTCTCCCAAAAACTGGAATACATATTAAATAAATATGTGTAATTACCAAAAACTTCTATAAACACCAACCTGTATGTACTGTGCGATGTTCTCTTTGAACGTTCCATTCGTGTATACAGATTTGTATAACTGGTTGGCTTCTTTGGCCAATTCAGCAGGCACGTGAAAATCGGGATGCATTAGTGACTTAACGCCCAGGTCGTATTTTGTAGCGTCCATTATTAGGTCACTCATTGCTGTAAAAAAACCGAGCTCAGGAATCAATTTTTTCACGCAATTTTGTAATTACTCGGCAATGCGTTATACGCCTCCTCGTCTACAGTACCCATCAACAAAGGCACCTGCTGGAAGTGACCTTTGGTCATGGCTTCCACCATAGGCTCGCTGATGAAGGCGTTTTTGTACGATTTAGGCTCGATAGTAGGCTGCCATACGATATCCACAACCAACGAGGAGTTGTAAAGATCGTTGTGTACCTACAAATTCGCCGTAATTACATTGCTAAGATAGCTAGAAGTATATATTTACAGGGGCGTTTAAAATATCCTCAGCGCTCGAGCGCATCAACAAATCCAGCACGTCTTTGGTGTCGTTCGATTGGAAATTTTCATCCAGCGTTCTGGCCAATTTGAATGCGTAATGATCCGGTTGGCTTTGGAAACCTAACGTTGCAAACGAACTGCCGCCTCCCAATATATACCCGCTCACCAAACCTGAAACGAGAGATTTTTTGACAAGGTTTCTCGCGCCGATTTCGGCGCGAATCTACCTTTAGTCAAAGGGCTTTGTTGCACGTAGCCGGCGCTCATGGCGCCTGAACTGGCGCCCTGAACTATCAACCGATCCTTGTCGCCTCCGAATTTATGGATGTTCTTGTGCACCCATTTAATGGCCATCAGTAGGTCTTTTAGAGCCAGATTTCCCGGTATAACTCCGTCGGAGGTGGCCAGGAAACCGAACACGCCCAAGCGGTAGCTCGGCGTTACGAAGATGACTTCGTGATCCATCAGGTATCTGGGATTGTAGTAGCCGAGCGAGCCGGCTTGGAGATGGAACGCTCCTCCGTGTATCCAGAGTATCACTGGGAGCAGGCTGGTGTCGTTTCGAACGGTTTTCTACGAGATATTTGGAGTCGTTACGTTCGTTTTCTTGTGAGAGTTTGTTGCCCCACTTTCTCCTATCCGCTTTAAACGGTGTAGGAGGAAGTGCTGCATAACGGGTTGCCTATCTCTCGAATGCTCTAATAATACTTACTATAGGGGTAAAAACGTTTAGATACAAACAATCTTCAGTTTGGGTGAGACCTGCGAGTGAAGGAGCGATTTGCAAGCAGATTTTTTCGTTTTTTGTTGCGTCCCGTATGCCCGACCATTTTTCCGGTTCTACGGGTTCCTGGAAATTATATGAAAATTATATAAATGGGCGGTTTTGTGTACAAATTTTTCGTACTTTAAATCTCCTATCGCCTGTAGGGGGAGCCGCGTAAGGGATGTCTTGATATCCATAGTAACTGTTACCCTTTGCGCTTTTCAATTCGTGACCGCGGATTGTTCCTTCAGATATTTCCACTACCTGGAAATTAATTATTATATTTTATATTCAGTAATTGTAAGCAACGAAGAAACCAATGATAAAACATTAGAGATTATTAATTCATTTACTTACATTTGCCCTAGTTTTAGAAAAGAAAATGGCTATTAGCAGTACGTTAAAAAAGCGTAGCATCGTGTTTGAATACTGGAAAAACTTTTTTGGATTTTCGAATTTGTAATCGACTGTTGAATAATAAATTATAGAAAGATATAGGCATCCGGGCTGTTATCTATAATTTATTATTTATAGGTTGGATGGCTAATGGTTTTAATTATCTTAAATTTGGCTAATTATTAGGTGTTTAATTGTATATTATTTACATATCTAATACAGTGTAGGTTTAATGACATATTTAATGAGAATTTGAACCACTGCTCATATTTTTCATATTCAATTAATATATTTGCGTAATTTATGAAGGTAATTTCTTATTTTTACCCCGTAATTAGCCTTATTTACTGTCTTCTATTTGTCTTTTAATTATTTGTTTAAGCAGGTGGTCTAGCGTAAACAATTAGTTGAATTTTCAATAAACCTATTTATACTAATTATTAAAATTAGTGATTAAATTAAAATTAGTGAAAAAATTAGTATTTATGTGCTTATAAATTATAAATAATTTAAATACATTTTTATCGTACTTTGTAATTGGTATGTCTTAAAATTATCATCGTATCGGGGTAAATGGAATAAGGAGAAATGTACTAAATAATAATATTCTGCAATGTTTTTATTTAAACAATTAATTACAATTTATTAATTAAAACACATAATAAGGCGGTCTGGCGTATTTTTGAAGAATCTCCTTAACTCTCTCGTAATTTTTAGGCTTCGATCTAATAGTAAGATTTGTGTTGATGTCGACATATTCCGATGCAGAACTAGTAAATTTAGGCCAGGATATTCCATTTAACAGTTCATCCGATTCAGGAGTAGGATTCCTATAAAACGAAAAATAACACATTATTAACTCGACTTTAGAATCAATTTCTCTCACTGATATTTAACGAAATTCGTCCAAATCTTCAAAACACGAGCCATAGTCAATTGGTCAATATCCGGAAAAATGGAGGGGTCATCGTTGAAAGCAAACACACCTCCCAACATGTACAGCAAATTCTCCGCATGGCCTGCATCTAAAAATTTAAATCAACGGATTAATTTCCGAGGAAAAAAATCGATTTGTTGCGTTGTTACTGTAAACGGTGAGATAACCGCCTCCCATGGTGCCTCTGTAGGAAAATTGCCAGAAATACACGGGCGCATGTTTCGATACCAAAGTAGCATAGTGAATCGACGGAGTGGAAATTTCATCTTCACCTATAAACTAAAAAAAAACAGATACTCGTCTCGAATGAACCACCAATTACAGCAAATCACCGTTATGAATGCATCGATGTCGTCTACGAAATTTTTATCGGTATAAACCAATTTATACTGCCTTCCCGCCTCCTCTAGATCTTCTTCGGACACGTTCAGATGGGGATGAATCAGTTCTTTGTAGCTGCTATCGAATCTTCGAGCTTCTCTTACCAGCGTATCGGGTACTAATCGACGAGAATTCGGTATTAAATAACTTGTAGAAGAATTGAAATATACCGAACATTACCTGGTGCTAAACCGAAAGCTTCTTTATCGGAGGTTCCTATTAAAATGGGAGCTTTTTGGAAATCTCCTTTCATGTAACTTTCCACCATCGGTTTAGTTATAAAAGCGTTTTTATGGCAACTCTTTTCGAAGGTAGGAAGCCAAACTAACCCCATGGCGAGAGTTGAGTTGTAGAACTCTTCATATATCTAAAATATATCTAATTTTAATACAATTTTAATTTGATGCGAACTGGTGTACTTACGGGAGCTTTCAAAATATCATCGGCGGGGAATCGTTGTAAGAGTTTCAACAAATCTCGGGGATTATTCGAGTTGAAGTTTTCGTCTAAAGTTCGTCCTAATTTGAAGGCGTAATAATCCGGTTTACTTTGATAGGAGAAGGTGGTGAAGGATGTACCGCAATCGAGTATAAAACCTCTTACCAAATCTTAAATACGCATAAAAAATTATTCGCGACTAATACAGCCGAATTGTTTTACCATTAGCCAGTTGATTTTGCTGTAGATACGCTAACGAAGCAGCCCCGGGGCCGCTGCCCATGACTGTTACACGACTGCTATCGCCCCCGAATAAATGAATGTTCTTATTCACCCAACGGATCGCCATCAGCTGGTCTTTGAGACCGAGATTCCCCGGTAATGTGCCGTCCGATGTGGCCAGAAAACCTAGAAAATATCCGGAAATCGAATTGAATTTCTCTAGATTATACCCTACCGAAAACTCCTAAACGGTAGTTCATTGTGACCACTATTATATCGTAATCCATTAGATATTTCGGGTTGTAATATTGGATTGCTCCACCTTCTCCGCCATGCACGAAAACCATTACCGGTAACGATTTGCGTACAGTACTCTAGAAATTCAAATAGTTTATATAAAAATGATAAAAAATAAATTAAACAAAGCACCTGTGATGGGGTGAAAACGTTCAAATACAAGCAATCTTCGCTCTGGTGTATACCACCAAGCAAATCCATATCTTGCATGCACACTACAGTGTTTCTCGTGGCGTTTAAAACTCCTTTCCATGGTTTAGGTTGCACGGGTTCCTTAAAAAAATAATAGAATTATTGCAACGTTTTATTATAATAATAATTTTTCTTGCTTTGAATCTTCTGTTGCCGATCGGTGGGGCTGCGTATGGGATTTCCTGATAAGCGTAGATGGTTTTTCCTTTATAACTCTTCATGGTGTGTCCGCGGATTTTTCCATCGGGAAGTTCCACGACGCCTTTCTGGTGGCATTTTGACTAAAGAAATGGGACAATTAAATGAACGAAATTCTCTTATTGTTAATTTACTTTTACTTACTTTTGCGTTAATTTCTGCAGCAAGAAAAACTATTAAAAATATTTTTAAGTATTGCATGTTGATTAGGCAAATTGTTGAATAAGCCTATAGTCTTTGGTTGTGAGCTTTCAATATATAATAATGAACTAATTTTAATAATATATACTAATTGTTTCAAAAATTCTTATAGGGCGATCCATTAGTATGATAAGATATGAGATATTAAAAAAATCATTAAGTAAACGGATTTGTGCTTTCAAACTAAGCAGTTTTAAATAATTTTAACAGTTTTAAACAGGATAATTGGTTATTTTAATGATATATATTGTATATTTTTGCATAACAATCTTGCTGATAGGCATATTTTAAAACGAAATATGAAATATTTTGTGATCAGTTGGACCACCCTGTAGGTGGCAGTTAATGAAGTCCTTAACTTTTTTAAATAATCATGTATTAAATAAATTAAATTTACTTTGAATTAAAACACTTTTATTGACACGTATTCAGAAATTACTTATTATTCAAGACATAAAAGGAGTAAAACTAAACTAATTTTCTAAACACTAAAAAGGAAATAAAATATTTTTCCTTAATAACCACTAAAAATAAGTAAATTCATATTAATAATTTTTCTGTTGAGCGTAATTTAATAAATATAATACGGGGGTCTGGCGTATTTATCAAAAACTGCTTTGACTTTCTTGTAATTTTTCGGATTCCTTCTGATGGTGAGATTACGATCAATATCCACATATTCCGATCGATCGCTCGAGAATTTGGGCCAGATGATCCCATTCAGCAGCTCGTCCGGTTCCGGTGTAGGATTCCTATTCAACAAAACCCCTCGGTAATTACAATAAACCTAACAAATCCTCGCAATTAATTACTGGTATTTAATGAAATTCGTCCAAATCTTCAACACGCGAGCCATATTCAACTGGTCCTCTTTCGGATAAATAGCCGGATCCCCGTTGAAAGCGTAGACACCAGCAAACAAGTAGAACAGATTTTCGGCGTGACCGGCATCTGAAAAAATAACAACAGCCCGGTAATATAATTAGAAATTTATTCTGTAAAGTTTCACTTGCATGGGATAGTTTGGTAACCGCCTCCCATGAGTCCTCTGTACGAAAATTGCCAAAAATAGGCCGGGGCGTGTTCGGACACCAGCGTCGCGTAGTGAATGATCGGGGTGGAAAGTTCATCTTCACTTACAAACTAAAAATTATAAATTTTCAACGACATCTTCGGTAGGAACGAGGCGGAAAAATTACCGACATAAACGCGTCAATGTCATCTTCGAATTTCCCATCGGTATAGATTAATTTGTATTCCTTTCCCGCCTGTTCTCGATCTTCTTCTGAGACGTTTAGATATGGATTTATTAGTTCCTTGTAGCTACTGTCGTATCTTTTAACTTCACTGAAGAATACGGTCGGTTCTGTCAACAAATCGATGTTATTATAGACGATCAATGTGCTTAATTTTGACCCCAAAATTATGTAGTATTACACTTTGAGATACCTGGAGATACCTGGTGTAATATTGATGATCTCCTTGTTGGCGGTTCCAATTAAAATGGGCGCTTTTTGAAAATCCCCTTTCATGTAACTTTCCACCATTGGTTTAGTTATTAAAGCTTTTTCGTACGAACTATCCTCAATAGAAGGTAGCCAAACAAAGCCCAACGATATTGTTACGTTGTAAGTATCACTGTATATCTGAAAATTTGTTAAATTACATGTTTGGAGTAAGTTTCAGGACCTAAAGATCAGTTGTAAAAGTTGGGAGGAATAGACCTGCAAGAAATATCTTTTCCGTTTCGGTTCGCAATTGCGATTTAAAATTGAAAATCGTCCGCCATTTTCAAAATTATCCAAGTTGACATATTGTCACAGAATACAGAACTTAGATACCTTCTGTGTTCTGTGCATATTGTTTTGCGGCCTTTTACTAAGTCAGTGTCCAATACCGCGGTACGAAAGGCAAGGCCGGTAGGCAAATACCATAGACAAAATAAAATCTTTCTTTCTCTATGGCAAATACTTACAGGACTGTATAGAAGATCTTCAGCGGGCCTCCGGCGTAGGAATTCTAATAGATCACGAGTGCTGTTAGACGTAAAGTTTTTATCCAGCATTCTGGCCAATTTGAAGGCGTAATGGTCCGGATCGTTCTGGTAAGATATCGTGGAAAACGAAGTGCCGCAATCGAGTATGTAGCCCCTCGCCAAATCTGAAACAAGCCAAACAAATCTATAACAACGAACTGGAACTCGAGTATATGCAATAATTCACCGGTCGCCAATTTAGATTGTTGTAAATAAGAGAGCGACATGGCGCCCGAGCTGCTTCCCATCAACGTCACTCTAGTTTTATCTCCGCCGAATTTGGCGATGTTTTTGTTCACCCAACGGAGCGCCATCAGCGTGTCTTTCAAGCCGAGATTTCCCGGTATCGTTCCGTCGTATGTGGCCAAAAAACCTGAAAAATGTCCACCGAAAATCGCATCGAATTACCCTTAACTTACACGCCCTACCTAACGCTCCTAAACGATAGTTTATCATAACTGCTACTATGTCATAGTCCATTAGATATTTGGGATCGTAATATTGGATTCCGCCCGCTTCGAAGAGGAACACTCCGCCGTGTACGTACACCACTACCGGCAACAAATCCAGCTTTTTACCGGTACTTTTCTATGAAATAAAATTAGCGATACATCCAATAAACCGTCAGAATGTGTAGTAACTCACCAGTGGTGTGTAAACGTTCAGATACAAGCAATCCTCGGTCGTTTCTATACCTCCCGGGGAAGGCTTAGTTTGCATGCAAACTTTGGTGTTTTTGGTAGCGTTTAATATCCCTTTCCACGGTTCGGGTTCCTCCGGTTCCTTAAAAACGAATAGGATAGAAGCGAATTGTTATTTATCTAGCATACTTCTTACTGCAAATCTTCTGTTTCCTATCGGTGGGGCTGCATAGGGAATTTCCTGGTAAGCATAGAAAGTTTTACCTTTAGCGCTCTTCAATGTGTGACCTCGGATTTTTCCATCGGGAAGCTTGATAATGTTTGGCTGGAAACACTAAAATGTTAAATTACTTATCTTCGCTGTCGAAAAACTTTACTTACTTTTGAGTCTAATCCGGAAATAAAGGACGCTATCAGTAATATTTTACACCACCTCATATTGGTGAGTGTAAAGTCTTAAATTAATTGTGTTAAATTCCAACAAACAACTCTCAAATTGATTTATATAGGTGTATTGATTTCAGCAAATAACCTAAAATGGTAATGCCGGCGGACCTACGTAGGGGTTATTAAATATGAGATATTTTAAACATTTTTCGGAAAAATTGATTTAAATTTCAATAAAATCTGAATAATTATGTAAAACAGCAATTAACTGTTCGATTTAAATTATGTGGACAAATAAGTTCGCCTAATATTGCAATTAATCGTCAAGTCTTTGACATTGTTTTATTATTGTTTTCGTTAATCTTTTCATCATTTCATGCAGGTTTTTGTAGATTTTTCGACGATTTAAAGACACTTTCATCACGATTTTAAGTAAATCAAATCATAAATATTGTTTTAATTAGTTACCTTGAACTAAAAGTTATCGCAAATTGTTAAATACATCACAGTCACATAGACAAATTGTATTTTATTTTAATGCCATTTGAATAAATTTGGAATAATGATTTTCATGACTTTCCCCTTATTTCGAAATGAAAACTAAAACCCAACTCTCTGAAAACCCACTCGAAACACATAGAAGGAAATTCATCAGTGAAAAAAATATTTTTTACTTCGATTTTTCATCGCGAATCAAGGGTTAAAATAACGACAAATTAAGTATATAAAAAATAATTTATTTATACATGCACAACTAAAAACTAGAATGAATAGTAAGGAGCACTTTTATATTTCTCAAATACTTCCTTAACTCGTTTATAATTCTTTGGATCTTTCGAAGGCGCCAAACTATCGTTGATCATTAAATAATTCATTTCGCCGGGTTTCACTCGCGGCCACAAAACTTCATCGAACAGCGGATCAGCTTCGGGAGTTGGATTTCTGAAAATCAATCAAACCTCTCAGCAAAAGCTCGAATAGAAGCTAATAATCCTTACTGATATTTAACGAAATTAGTCCAAAGGGTGAGCATCCTTTTCATCGTCAGTTGATCCTTCAGCGGGTACGTACAAGGGTCCTTCTTGACCCCCTCCGCGCCCCCCCACAAATAATGCAGCTCCTCCGTATGCCCCACTCTATTTGCACCTGATATAAAAAAAAATATCGATAAGTACGCAAAAAAATCTTATTTCTTGATTATTAGGATGAATAGCCTTTAGTAGTTGTGCCTACCAACCTTCTTTAAGAAAATAATAATTTATATACACTGTGTGGTTGCTCCATTTTTGCGATAAAGACAACATCCATTGGACACTTACTAAGGAAAAAAAAGAGTGACATTGTGTCATTACAATTTTTCACTCCGATAACTGTCATTTTAATAACCTTTCTTTGTTCCACTCATAGAAATTACTAAAAGTGACAGTTGTGTTATTGCAACTTTTCACTTTGACAGCTGTCTTTTTATTTATCTTTCATCTGTCTTTGTTCAACTCATAAAAACGACCATCTTGCGGTCTGAATTGAAGCAATCGGTGTATAAATATAAAAATTGAAATGGCAGATTTGCGCGACATTTACCTGGAATATCAGGATCGTCGGGGAACCCGCCCATCGATCCCTTATGCGCGAATTCGTACAAATACACGCTGCTATACGCCGAAGCCAACTCCGCGTGCCGCATGTTGGGAGTTGCGAACACCTCTTCGCCCAAATACTGCAAATTAAAATGGACACCCCGTCAAAACTTCCTGACCAGAGTCCCAATTTTACGCAATTATACCTTAACGAACGCTCCTCGGTCCTTCACGAAGGACGCGTTCGTGTAAATTTCCTTGTACTCCCTCCCGGCTCGCGTCTCGTTCTCGCACGCGATGCGCAGGTGCGGATGCACCGTCAGATTCACGTTGGCGTCGTACATTTGCCTTATCACCATCTCCAAACCGGGCGGTATATCTACAAGTACAAATTAAGCGGAATAAATCATGAATTTATAGGTGTTATAGTAGTCGTTTACTTACATTTTAGGAAGAACATGGCTTCTTCTGACGTCATGCCGGTCATTAGGGGCACTTGATTGTAGCTCCCTTGCATCAAAGCCTGCTCCATGGGAATGTCGACGAAAGGGTCCGGGCCGAAATCGTCGGCGACGGGCAGCCATATGACCGTCGCAGCGATGGGATTGATTTTGTAATCGTCGTTGTCCACCTTTTAAATCATTCGGGTGAAGCGAGTTGTGTCGTGAGCTATATTTGTAAGGTCTGGAATCTCCCTATGCTTATGCATTAGAGAATGTATGTCCCGTTATTTGAGGACTTTTCGAGCTTCACTTTTGCGCCGCACCGTGGCGAACGATCGGAAGACCGACTTATCTCAGCCAATCAGCGTCGCGCTACATATAAATCGCGGTTGTGTGAAACGACAGTTCGAGCTGTCAAAACTTGAAAAATTATTTTTTGACATTTCGAGGAGAAAATGGAATACATTAACCGAAGATACGTGAGGCATGATGTTTACAACAAAATCATCGCTGATTTAAGTATATTTTTATATTTTGTATCTATTAGTTTGAGTAAAACCTATCTTAATGCTAATTCTACGTAATTCGTACGCAAAAAACCGGGGTCCTTTACAACATCGCCTCGTAGCGGCGGTTTTAGGAACCATGTTTTATACTCAAATAACGGGACACTTTTTCGATCCATGTTTCCAGACCTTAGAAATATATAGGACTGTGGTCGTGGGTGAGAATTTCGAATGTTACCTGGGTGTTTGTTATGTTTTCCGCCGAGGCGCTTCGGAGGACGTACATCACATCTTCGGACGAAAAGTCGTCTGTTAGGAACTGATCTAAAACGAAAAGAAAATTCGAAAGATTGTTTACGAGGAACTGTTTTGGAATAATTCACCTGTTTCGGCTTTGTACTCTTTGTTGAGAAGTCTGGCGAGTTTGAAGGCGTAGTACCAGGCTCGTTCTTGGAACGCGTAGGGGGAAAGTGGAGATCCGCTGTCCATTATGTAACCCTGCACCATACCTGCAAAAGTACTCTTTTTTGCTAAACTTTCTTCGGACGTTTTGCTAATTTATTCGCGAAATTTTCCAAAAATTTTCGATAGAATTGATCGTACCTTTGGTTAGCGGACTCAACTGCATGAATCCTGCAGATGTGGATCCAGCACTTTCGCCCATGACGGTGATATTATTGGGATCGCCTCCGAAAGCGCAAATGTTCTTAATGGTCCACTTCAAGGCCTGCAATTGATCCCTGAGCCCGTTGTTGGCTGGTAACGTCGGATTTTGAGTAGTCAGGAAACCTATAAAAATCATTTAAGAATTGTCTAGAACAATCTAGAATGCTCCAGATTCGTTTAGAACAGCTTAGAATAGTTTAGAACGCTCCAGAACCATTTAGAACTGTTCTCTTTGTTAGACCCATAGACAATATTGCGTAAATTACACACAAACTTCGTAAAATAATGATAAAATTATTTTGTAATATGTGCATTTTTTTTGCAACAAAATAGTATTTGATAATTTTAGATATACACGAATTTTTGCGTAAATAAAATGCGCGGAATTTGAACAATTTAATCTCAATTCAACTAATTAATCAAATAAAACAGGCAATTACATAACATCATCAGCGATCGAAACACTAAATTACTATTGAAAGTTGTAATAGTTTAATCGAAGATACTTAGGAAAAAAAAAGAGTGTAAGGAAGTTTACAGCTACAAAATGGCCGACTGCACCTACAAAATGGCCGATTCACTCACCCAACGGCCCGAGCCGGTAATTAATCGTAACCACAATCACACCATAATCCATCAAATACTTCGGATCGTAATACTGCATCGCTCCGGAACCGTAGAAGAACCCGCCGCCATGGATGAAGAACAGAATCGGCATTAATTCGTTAGGATCCGACCTCTGAAATAACCAAAATACATTTTCACAAACCGAGTCGAGTACAGACCGACCGGTATAGCCGAAGACTCGCCCGAGTCTCCAGCTATCCCCTTCGCGGTGTAGGCGGCTCAGAATCTTTATCTTACCACCGGAGAGTAAACGTTGAGGAACAGGCAATCCTCGCTCATGGTGAGATCGTCGGGCACGGGAGTGAGAGCCGTGGGCTTGTACTGCATGCAGACTTTGGTGTTTTTGGTGGCGTTCCGGACGGTGCCCCGCCATGGTAGAGGCTCCTTCGGCGGCTGCGGACAGACCGGGGATCGGTGATTTTTTTTTTCAACGCGAGCCATCGAGGGCGATAAAAAGAAAGAAGGCGAAAACAACACGCGCGATAGTGCAGCCTTTATCGGGGCACATTAAATTTAATAATAAAAATTCAGGACAAATAGCTTGTATGTAGATGCAGACGGAAAAATGAGAATTGATAAAGGCGATTTGTTGATTCGTACTACTTTTATGTGTTATTTATCCGAGTAACAAATACTGATTGTTTATATACTAATACGATGAATTCAGACTTGTAGAACACGACACATGCCCTTTGGTGATATTGGAATTTATTGTTGTACCTATTTCGGAAAAGTGTGTTGTTTTTTTCATTAACTTTAGTGTCTAGATTAATTGCTAAATTTAATGATTACATAAGCGATTCGTAATTGGTAGTAATTTTGCATAATTATATACTAACAAGATTATAAATAAATCGAAATAACCGAATTGATAGGTAAACACAAAGAATTTATAAATGACAAAATCCAATCATTCAACGCGTTATTTTAGAGATTCTTTAACTTAAAGAATTAATTTACGCACCCTGAATCTGTTTGCATTAACCGGAGGTGCAGCGTAGGGAATTTCCTGCCAGGCGAAAAAATCATTCCCGTTCCAGGATTTCAGGACATGTCCTTGTAATACTCCATCAGGAAGAAATACACGTGTCTGAAAATTAAATGTTTTATTTACTACACTTTTAATCCTGCAAAAATTAAGTCCCCTTTAAGAACATGTAAAATGGTAAATAATGGACAATAATTTATACAATATATACATGATAATAAAGAGTATCTTGAACGTCCTGTAATAAACGTGTGAAAAAAATTAGATTATCAAATTATTATAATTGCTGCACGAGATTAAATTTATATGTTTTGTCTCGAATTCCACGAGCCTAAATTTCTTATGCAATAACAACGCTTTGTTTATATTTTTACGCTATTACGCGTTGTTTACCGAGAGGTGATAGTACAAACGATTTTTGAAAATAGTATATAATTATTGTTAAATAATTTATGATATAATAACTAAGATGCACATGTTTAATTAATGAAAAATTTTAGAGAAGCTAGTAGAAAATAAATTTTGAGTAGCATTTGAAATTTGGAATCATAGAAAAAAAATGCGATAAACACGATAAAATCGACACCTGATTAAAAATAATTAAATCATTTACTTTAATTGAAAAGTAGGTAATTAAATAAAACGATATATTCTTATTATAGTAGGAATTACTATTATTACTATTACTATTATTACTAATTATTATAGTAGGAATTTCTTCTTATTATTCTTATTATAGTAGGAATTAAGATATGTAGATTAATTTAAAGTTTGTTGGAATTTCGCTCAATTTCTCCGATTTCGCATCGATTTTCTAATAATTTTATTTCAAAACAATCAGATATAATTTAAATAAAAAAACAATTTTACAAGATATGTATAACGGAGCCACTTACAAAAGGTCATTTTCAAATAAAAAAAAAACACGTACAATCTCTTAAAAACAAATCTTATCTATTGCATTTGCATGTCTTGTTACAAAGTTTAATACAACACGCCCGATTATGTACCAAAATATCAGGTTAATCGCACCGCGAAATAAATCGAAAAAAAAATTCGAAACCACTTACAGTTCTATTGCTAGGCTGCCACGGACATTTCTCTTTGCCGTTCGCACTTCCGCCGAAAACGAGCAGCGCAATTAGCACCGAATATCTCAACGACTTCATCCCGAGCGAGTCGATAGAGCAGTACCAGCCGGGAGTAAGTACCTCAAGAGTCACGGAGTAAAAACTAAGACTCCCCGGGGTACTTGCGGCACTTTTATGCCGAGCTGCATCGCTTCGAAATCCATCGGTTTCGAGTGTACATGCGGGTAGGAGCGAGCGAAAATCGACCGATCAATTTCGCACGTTCGGACCGATGGAGGATGTAACATCACAACAAATTGAAATGGTTATTTTTAAAAGTAACGCCGCGATTTTATCGAAGGAATGATGTAATTTAATGGTGCTTTGTACATTTTTTTTATATCCGCTAAATTGGTGCGTATGGTAATGTTTAGGTGCTTGGTAAAATGAGGAAAAATAATTAACTACGAAATTAATAAAGTTTTTTCTTAGATTTTTTTTTCGGTTATAATTGGATGAAAAAATTAAAATAGTTTTAAGTAGGTGAGTTGGGAAATATCCGCTATTCAAGGTGTTTCTGAAATAAGTGGGTAAAATTTGTAGAAAAAGTTGTTCAGGGGTGGGTTAAAATTTTAACCTCTTCTACTGATTTGTTTAAAGAATATGAAAAAATGAAGTTTTCTACACAAAAAAACATAAAATGAACCATTTATTTCAGAAACACAATAATTAATCTTAGTTTTTCCATAAATTAGGATCTTTTTGAATTAAAAAGCTATAACTTAGGCCTAAGCAGATAGTAAAATAAAATAGTAAAATTAAATCTCTTTACTTGTTGAATAAATTTTTTATTTTCGCAATAAAATACTACGTAATAAATTATTGTGCGCGTAATTTTCCATGTTTTTCACCTGATGCATTTACCATAATTTTTGTGTTAATTCAGTTTGTAACGAAAATATACACTTGAATATACTATTAGATACATTAGATAATTAGCTTAATTGCTGTAACTACTAACTAAACGTTGAATGTTATCAAAGCCTCGTGAAGTTCATTGTCATGTTCAGGGTGAATTAGTCACAGTATCGAGCAGGACATTGTATAATATTTTCCACGGCAAATGAACTTTTCCTTTCTTAGGCAAATTGAAATTCGAGTCCAGAAAAACAGTTCATTCACGTACTATCTGATACACGTGTCTTCTATCTGTCTAGACTATTATACTGCAATTATAATGTAACATTTTTAAATTAAACTATTCATTTAGGAATCCACGCGGTGCTATTTTTAGCGCACTATTTCTACGAAGAAACAAATTGATAAGCGCGATAAGAACAAAGAGGAGTAGAGCAGGAATTGTGTAAAACCTAATGCCTCATCGGCTGTTTTGCTTCGGACCCATCGCGAATTGTTAGTAATTCATCAACCAGAATTTCGAGCGGAAAGTTCACGGTCATACGAGAAAGCGCGTGCGGAAAAATACGCTCGCGAAATGCAAAACACGATCCAAACCAGCCGCATATTATTTAACTTTTACGCGAGTGCATTTCGAATTAAATTCGATCAAAAAAAAAGCCTACACGTGTTGTAATTAGAGACTAGACGTATCGTCTTACGGACTCGATATCGCGTTTCGAAATAAACTTCTTTTAAAGTCCTTAAAGGGTTTTTAGTTTGGTACTTTTCATCAGGCTAACGAGTAACGAGTATATGATTAATTGTTGTGTTTTATAATTGGAATATCTCGTTTGGTAAAAATTTAAAAATAGACTTATTCGAAAATGATATCGGTTAATTTGGTGTTATTAATTCCGAATATCCTGTAAAGTAAACAACACGACATTGCAAACTGGTCACCACTGCATAATTAAATTCTCAGAGATAAAAAATTATATAAGAGATTTGCATTGTGCTTTCATCTTGTGTGTATAATTATTGGCAAAACATTGCTTCATGCGTTTTCTGGGGATTTCTGTTAATTAATTAATGATCGAATTTTTTATCATATGGTAACAAGATATGCAAAAAAATCAGGGAAATTATGTAATAATAATAATAAGGCGATGAGTAAATATACTATCTTTAAATTTAATTTGGAAACTGTTTATCAAGCGGGTGTTATGAATATAACGAAAAATAATAGTTAAGCTATATTACACGTATATAAGTGCATAAAAGTTTACAAAATGATCAATTTTATGAGTTGAACAAAAAAGGCAATACCTATATAAATTTTAATGCAAAAGTTTTAAGTACCTCTTCAGTTGCAGCGTGGAAAATTACAAATGTTTAAGAACGCCTGCAAGAATTGGAATACCAATTGGTGGAATCGAAGAAAAAAAGTAGGATTTTTAAGTAACTAAATTCCCTATTAAACGCACCACTTTGAATCCTGGTATATACAAGGAAACTGCAAATCAATACACTTTGTTTTAGTCTTCCTATACAACTATAGTAACAAAAAAACCTACGTATAAGTTTTTCGTTTAAGTACCTCTCAACATCGCTTCTTGTGTTTTGTTTAAACCTTCCGAATTTCCAAATTCGATTCGACAATAAATATAAACTAAAAATACCGACATTACTAGCCGCAATACGCCGCATCGCAAGCGCCGCTATATTTGGCGGAATTAAATAAAGCCAACTAAAAATTGTCTGGCAACGGATCCTTCCTCCAGGAACATTTTAAAAATAGACAGCTGGACAATTCTGGGCCGCTTGGCTACAATGACACATTTTTTTCCTTATCGCACGCTGACCGCCGACATGTCCGATCAGCAATTCGTACTGCGATGGCACTACCACGAATCGACGCTGGTGCACATCCTGCCGTACTTCCTCGACGCCGACATCCTCACCGACGTCACCATCGCCGTCGAGAACCGCGAGATCAGGGCCCACAAAATGGTACTGGCCATGTGTAGTGTGTATTTCCTCCAGCTGTTTCAGGTATACGATTTGTCGTGGTAAGAGCGATGTGTCGCGTTTTAAAATAGCCGCCCCGCGGTCTATTTTTATAAAGCGGGATTTTCCCAGCTTTCCTACATTTCCCGCGCGCGATGGAATTCGATTATTTGCCGGTTTTTGATTGATTTTTTTTTGTGTTTTCAAGGAGTTGAAATGTACACATCCGGTAGTGGTGTTGCACAACGTCGGTTTCGATGAGATTAAGGCCGTTTTGTCGTTTATGTACAAGGGCCAGTGCGTGGTGTCGCAGGACCAATTGCCCAGTTTGCTGAGCGTCGCGAAACTTCTAAAAATCCAAGGGCTTTGTGATATGAAGGTACTAACAAACACATCGCATTTTACTCTGTACATTTGCATTTGTCGGTTTTAGGTACCTGAAGCTCGACAACGAATTAGCATACCTAACGAATCGACTGAGAAACTATACGAAGAGGAGTTCAACAGGACAACGCAGTACGTCGAACAGCCGGAGAATCTCGAATTCAAAAGCAGAATGCCCAATAACGCGCCTGCAGAGATCAAATTCGACGAACATCCAGCTTATAAACCAGCGGATTATTTCAACGATTCGGCTGTTGTACCGCGTACGTAATTCTACCTCAATTCCTCCACTACATTAAAGTGTAATTGAATATATGTTTAGTGGAACCGATTCCTCATTGTCCGTACCCGAGGAAATGCCCGATCGCCGTGAAGGAACCCAGGGAATCCTCGGAGACTTGCAAGTGTTTCCTGTGCGGTAAATACCTGAGCAATCAGTATAACTTGAGGGTGCACATGGAGACCCACGAGGAGGCCTACCACGCCTGCCAGTCGTGTCCGCACGTCTCCAGGAGCAGGGACGCTCTCAGGAAGCACGTGTCCTATAGGCATCCCGAAGAGTATCACAACAGGAAACGGAAAAAAATCGATATTTCACAATGAAATTTTAAATATTAATAAACGATGTGATTTGATTAACATTTATTTGTGCTTCATTGAATGCTGGGGAAAATCTCAATAAAATTCTTCTAGCTTTAAGAAATAATAAAATAACCAAAGCCTAATCAAGGAAGAGTCACGGAACTGTCAATGTCAACAATCAAAAATGTCGACTTGATACACAATAAAATTTTAAATTATCTATTTTAATTAAAATTAATGTGTGCTTCATTGAATTCAGTGGGAAATTTCAATAAAATCATTCTAGCTTTAGATAATATTATAATAACTAAACCCTAACCACGGAAGAGTCACGAAATGTCATAACTGTCAATGTCAACAATCAAAAATGTCGACTTGATAGTATGAAAATAAACAATTAAATACGCAAAATGTCGCTTCAAAAAGTAGCAGTGGTAATTAATCTCGCTCTTGAACAACTCGTACGATATTTATCCAGTTTTATTTCAGGTTACCGGCGCAAATAAAGGCATAGGATACGAGATAGCGCGAGGTCTTTGCAAGCGCTTCGAAGGAATCGTCTACCTAACGGCCAGAGACGAACAAAGAGGCCTAAAAGCCGTGAAACAACTGGAAGCAGAAAACTTGAAACCCCGTTTCCATCAATTAGACATCACGCAACAAGCAAGCATCGATAAATTCAAGGATTACATAGCCAGAGAGCACGGAGGGTTGGATTTATTGGTAAACAACGCAGCGATCGCTTTCAAAGTAAGCTTGTCAATAACAGCACCACAATCTAACGGTAATTGAAGAATAATTCCCCAGCGCCTGTTTCCCAACAAGCCAAAGAAACCCTCGAAGTAAACTATTTCAGCACGTTGAGATTCTGTGAAGCACTGTTTCCCCTTCTTAGAAACAACGCTAGAGTAGTAAACGTTTCGAGCTCTGCGGGCCACCTCAGCCGGATACCTTCCGAGGAGAAACGGAAGGAATTTTCACGACCCGATTTGACCGTACCCGAGCTGTCCAGGTTAATGGAAAAATTCATCCAGTAAGACGATTTAAAGCGTAGCTCATAGGTATTTTATTGTATAATTATTACTTCAGGGATGCGGAAAACGGTTCGTTACAACAAGAAGGCTGGGGTAATTCCACGTACGTCGTATCTAAAGTAGGCTTATCCTCTCTAACCATCATCCAACAAAGATTGTTCGACGAAGAACAGCCTTCTAGAAACGTATCCGTGAATTCCGTGCATCCCGGGTGGGTGAAAACGGACATGTCCAGTTACAGCGGTAATAAAACCAGCGAGGAAGGCGCCCAGGCGCCCCTTTGGCTCGCCCTGGACGCCCAATTGAAAGGGCAATACGTCTGGGATGATTGCAGTGTGGTCGATTGGTATGCCCAAAGTACGCCTAACAAGCCTTGATTTTGCCTGGAAATGCCTAATCTATGAGAAATAATTATAACGTAGAAGAATAGCACAATTCTGGATAGATATGTCGAAATTTAGGAGGTAATGTTGACGTGGAAATGTTTATATACTGGATAAGAATTTAGGTTTGTGACGTAGCCGTTGGATTAGCTTGAATATAGTATATAAGTGGTTACAAGTAGAATAAAAAGGAATACTTTTTACATATAAATGGCTATTTATAGTTAAAGAAATGCAGTTAATAAAAGAATTCGTTTAGCATGCGTTTGAAAATCCCCATTGAAAAAGCGCTGTTTTGTGTGTGTCTAATCGCGTGCAGCAACATTTTGTATGGCAACAAAACGGATCACGCGTGTTTATTCCTTAAAATTTGCTAATGTTATTGTAATTTAAGGAGATATATTAAAAATATTGATAACGGTAATGTCGACTAGCTGTTTACACGATCGAATCCAATACATCTCTGTCATGGACAAGGCAAACACGGGCTGAAACAATAAAATCACGCCCAATATCGGTTTGCGGCGAGAATTCGATCCCTTCGCGCGGTGAGGATGGGCGGCTACGGCGACCTGGCGGAGCTCGAAGAGGACCTGCGGCGGCGGTGTTTCGAAGATTGCGACGATCGGCGGGGTTATCGCGACGGCACGTGCCCCACGATCTTCGAGGACTATCTGTGCTGGCCGGCCACCGAAGCCGGCCGGGTCGTTATCAGGAATTGCACCAGCGACGTGATAACATCGGACATTAAGGTGAGCTTCTATTTTCGGCGCTTATCGCTCTTAAACGCGGTCCTGTATTTCTGAGGTCTGGAAACGTCTAGGTCGAAAAAGTGTTCCGGTATTTGAGGATAAAACGGGGTTCCTAAAACGGCCGCTACGAGGCGATGTTGTAAAGTGTAACCACGGGTTTTTGCGTGAGAATTATATAGAATTAGCGTTAAGAAAGGTTAATTCAAACTAAAAGTAGATACAAAATATAAAAATATACTTAAATCAGCGATGATTTTGTTGTTAACATCATGCCTCGAATCACGTATCTTCGATTAATGTATTCCTCCATTTTCTCCTCGAAATGTCAAATAATAATTTTTCAAGTTTTGACAGCTTGAACTGTCAATCTCACAACCGCGATTTATTTGTAGAGCGACGCTGATTGGCTGAGATAAGTTGGTCCTCCGATCGTTCGCCGCGGTGCGGCGCAAAAGTGAAGCTCAAAAATTCCCCAATTAACGGGACACTTCTCTAATGCAAAGCAGTTTCCAGACCTCAGAATAGGCCGTGCTTTTAAACGGAATAAACGACGAGTTTCGTGGGTATTACGAGATACGTTCGATTCGTTTTTTAGGGCACGTTGGAGAGGAAATGTTCGGAAAATGGTACCTGGTTACCCTTGGACTATTCGGTGGTCGCCCAATGTGGCAACATGTCGGTTATATATTCCCCGAATTCGACGAATATGAGCGAGTACGAGTTGCATTTGTACAATACTTGGATACCGATCATGAAAGACATCTCCTATTGCGGCTACACCTTGTCCATCATATCCTCGATACTCTCCATTTGCATACTCCTTAATATACAGTAAGTAACCCCTTTATCAGAATATTCCCCGCTAAACAATTAATCCCGCAGGAGATTGCGCTGCTCTAGAAACAAACTGCACACCAACTTATTCGCGTCCTTCGTGCTGAGATCCCTGATGTCAGTTTTGAAAGATTGCATGTTCGTGGACGGTACTTTCTTCTTCTTCGAACCGGTACTCGTCAAGTACCCTCAGCCCTACTTCCCGCCGGATTTGAATTACGTATGTTAACGCGACAGGAAGTAATCGCCATTTAAAACGTCTGTTGTAGCCTTGGTGCTGCAAGGCCTTCATGAGCCTTCGGTACTACGTCATCATGTCGAATTTCATGCTGATGCTGATGGAGGGAATGTACTTGCACAATTTGATGTTTTTGAAATTGTTCTCCGACCACCACAGCGTGACGATCTACTGCGTGTTGGGTTGGGGTGAGTTTTGAATTACCGCCGATAGGGGGGGGAGGAAAAATAAACGTGACGTCATTCGCAAACTGCGATGATCCATCCTTCGCAACGTTAAGACACCTTGATAAACGGTTTGTTGTAGGTTTACCGTTGATATTTATATGCCCTTGGGTGATATTGAGAGTGCTGTACGAAAACCTCTTGTGCTGGACAGAGAGCGAAAACTCTTACATTAGGCTTATAATTGACGGGCCGATCGGATTGACAGTTGTTGTAAGTTGTACGAGGGAAGGGGGAGATGTTCTCGGTTTGAATCGTTCAGAACTATCTAGAACGCTCCAGAATCATTTAGAACTGTCTAGAACTATTTAGAAAGATTCTGAACCATTTAGAACACTTTCTTTAGAAATCTTCTCACTTTACCCTTGTCAAATCAATCACATAATCAGATTCTTTACTAATTAATTTGCGTTACTTTCAGATAAACTTCATTTTATTTCTTACTATTGTAAGAGTACTAAAAGCAAAGTTGAACAACGCCTGCATACAACAGAGGAAAATTAAATACGGGTAAGTTAGGATACGCCTTGTGGGTAGGCAATACTGAATACAACAAACCCTTTTCCAGTAAACTCTTGAAAGCTACAACAATATTAATACCTCTGTTCGGCGTACCTTACGGATTCTCGCTGCTCCTATCAATATACACCAACGAAAGCGTAGTATTGGAATTGATTTACCTATTCTTCGACCAATCCTTCGCCGCATTTCAAGTGATTATGCAACCAGCAATTCCACCAGTACAAAACATAATCCACTGTTAATTCCAGGGCCTGTTCGCGGCCTTCGTGTACTGCCTGTCCAACAACGAGGTGCACGTGGAGATCCGCAGGAAGTACGTCCTGATGAAGGAGAGGAACAACCGGGAGTTCGGCAGGAGGAGCCGGACTATATCGAACACCCAGCAGACTTCGTTGCAATTGTACGACGATACGATGGTGGAGACGATTTGCATGAACAACAAACATCCGCAGATCGTGGTCCAAGGGGAGCAACAGTGCCATTTTTGAGCTAAACGATTGGATCGAAGAGCAGGAATTGTCTATTTTCGTCCAACAGGAGCGTGTGTAATGAGTTTTATCTAGTCTGGATGTTATTCTAAATTTTGATATAAATACAAAAATGCATTTTTAATGAATTTTAGTAATTAAATTCTATTTGTATAATTGTAGCTTTCACCTGTAATTTTTGTAATTAATTATATGTGTATATATTGTGTAGTTTCAATCTTCGTCTCTAATGATGGGATCGCCGTCCAATTTTTGCAAATTCGGGAGCCTTTTGGCTACTTCAGCTCTAAAAACGGCCTCGTCCGTATTCTCCGCCAGCGGATTGCCGACGAACAGCAATTCTTCCAAAGCAATCAAATCTTGGAATTTGTTGAACTCTCCTAGCAAAAACCTGCTTTATTCATATTCATTCTTTATTTATATACACTCACCCCAATCCTTTATAACGTTGTTACCGATATACAAGACCCTCAGTTTCTTCAACACCCCCACGCCTTTGGTGCGCTCGATGTTGTTGTAGGAGATCCACAGCTCCTCCAAGGTATCGGCGATGCCCTCCAAGCCGGTGAACGCCTTGATGTAGTTCCGCGCCAGGCAGAGGATCTTTATGTGCTTCAGGCTGCCCAGGCCCGAGATCTTCTCGATCATGTTCGTCGAGAGGCTGAGCTTCCTGACGTTGGCGAGCGCCGACAGCGCGTTGTCCATCTTCTCGATCGGCGGCCACTGGAACTGGAAGCCCACCTCCGTGGCCTCGGAGATCTTCTCCTGGTGCTTCTCCTCCCATCGCTTGATCGCCTCTTTGATCGTCGTGGGTTTCGGTATGGCCATCTTGTTTGCGTTGCTAGTGGCTACGCGATTTGTCGATACGCTGACTAGTCGAAGGCCGGTTTGCTTTACGCGAGTAATCTAGCAGGCGATTGCGATCGGTTTGACGTGACAGTGAACTCCGAAAAGAAATATGTCGGAGCAGTCCGAGAAGAAACCGAGCAAACAGAAAAAGAAAAAGTACCCCGTACCGCTGATACGATGGACTCCGAACCTCCCCATCGTCAAAGACGACAACATCATATCCTCGACGGCCCGCGAGAAGAACAACTTCGGCTTCATGCCCACCTACGAAGTCCACGTAAGTACCAAGCGCCGATTCGAGATCAGTAGCGAACGCTCGCGTTGCAGAACCACCCGATCAACATGTACTACCTGATGACCGGCGAGTACCAGCGCATCTGGCTGACCGAGCGCGACGCCTTCGCCAAGGCGGTGTACTCGGCGCCGGCGCGGCTCTTCGACACCAGCGACAACAACTTCAGGCGCAAGTTCGTCCAGCGGCTGTTCACCTACCGCAAGCCGACCAAGTTCTCCTGCTTGGAGGCGAGGCGGCGCGACTGGAAGCGACTGTCCGCCGACGAGGCGTTCGCCATACGCATGCGCGAGACGCGCTTCAAGGTGCCCAAGGAGTGCAACCTCGAGCCGGAGAAGGAGGAGAAGTGCAAGTGCACCTGCGATGAGAACAAGTCCAAGGAATGAGGTGCGAACGAATTACTCGCGGTGTTTGCGCGTCCGGTTTTAAATTAAATTTAAACTCGTATCAGCATGTTTGGTAGATTTTTATTGATTAATCAGGTAAAATCTTATTTAAAATATACAAGTTTTGTATGACAAAACGTTGGGCCAGTCCTATGCAAAAAGGGGAGTTTCTTCAATTTGTTAGTGCACGGAGTTTGTTCCAAGAAATCGCTTGCGATAAGATGATTCGGGCAAACGAGGAATAGTTTCATTACACGGTGTTTTGGAACAAACTTATTAAAAAAAATCCAAAGCGATAAGCTAATGTTTACCGATGATATCTTATATAAAAATTTTAACAAGATATGCACGCGTATTTTAGGTACACTCGGGGTAAGTACGATTTCTATTCGCTTCGCTAAGAATCGTTTCGAAAAGTTTAAATAATCGATACGGTTGTAAAACGCCCAGCTATTATTCAAAAATCAATCACATTAATATAAATCAATCCTCTTTTCGTATTTGACTTAACTAAAACCTCTAAAAAAGAAAAACTTAAATAAATACTAGAAAAGGGTAAAATTTTTACATTAGTACAAAGTAAAAAAACAAATATTCCTACAACGCTGGAATGTACGCGGTACCTCCCGTGTTGCCGAGTCTCTTAGCCGAATTGGAAGGAAAACGAGCCGGGGAAGCCGCCGCCGAACGAAAACTCCTGATGTCCGCCGCCGCCGCCGGCGCCGCCACCTCCGAAAAACGTTTGGAAAACTTGCGTTGGATCTATATCTAAAACCAATGCAATATTATTACAAAAAAAAACAATGTACCTCATCGAGAATAATCACCTGACATTCCACCTTCGAAATCGTCCATATCCTGCCCGTTATCGTACCTGGCCTTCTTCTTCGGATCCGACAGCACCCCGTACGCCTCGCCGATCTCCTTAAACTTCTTCTCCTGCTCCTTCTTCTCGTTCTCCGACGCGTTGGCGTGCCGATCGGGATGGTGGACGAGCGCCCGCTTCTTGTACGCCTTCTTGATCTCCTCATCGCCCGCGTTCCTATCCACACCGAGTATTTTGTAGTAGTCTTTTCGCTTCGATCGCTTCAACGCCACCTTGGCGTCCTGCAGCAGCTTCTTGCTCTCCCTGCTCTTGTCCATCTTGCAGATCTTCTCGTAGTCCTTGACGGCGTCCTCGTACTCGCCCAAGTCCATGTAGCACTTGGCGCGCCGCATCAGCGCCTTGAGGTAGGTGTCGTCCAACGTCAGGGCGGCCGTGCAATCGTTGATCGCCTCTCTGGTCTTCGTCAGTCGCGACAGTACGGTGGCTCGATTGAAATACAGCTTGGCGTTGGTTTTTTTATTCAACGGATCCACTTTTAAAGCTTCCGTGTAGAGATCGTACGCTTCCTACAAAAGGATATCATGCATAACGACTATTTTTTTTACAGGTTTGTAATAAGCTTACTTGGAATTTGCACGTTTTGTAAGCCTCGTTGCCGTCCTCTTTCATCTTCTTCAACGTCTTGGCGCGTTTGTAGATATTCATGGCCTTGCCGTGATCGGGGGCCAGCCGGAACACCTGCTGGAAGTGCTGGAAGGCGCTGTCGATGTTGTCCTCGTAGAAGAGACACATGCCCCTCACGTAGATGGCGTCGGCGTTGCTTTTGTCGATGTGCAGGATGCCGTTGGCGATCTCCTGGGCCTCCTGGAACCGTCCGAGGAACGCCAGGCATTCGGCCTTGGTGATTTTGTAGCGGTTGCAGGTGGGCGCCTCGTCGAGGCACCTGTCCATGCAGAAGACGACCTTGCGGAAGTCCTGTTTTTCGTACGCTTTGGCCGACTCGTGCTCGTACTGTTTGAGTTTGTCGAAGGATTTCTGTTCGTTGGCTATGAGTTGGCCGTCGGCTTGGAGTTCCTGGACCTTTTTTATGGCGTAGTCGGCCGTGGTGAGGTCGCCCATGGCTATGCCGCATTTGGCCATTCGTACGTAGCCTTTGACGAATTCGGGGCTGATTTGGACGCTCCTTCGCGCGTCCTCGAGGGCTTCCACGTATCTACAGAACGAAATAGGGTTACTCGTGATCGATAAAGGGGTTCGATTTATTCACCTGTTGAGCATCATGTAACAGACCGATCGGTTTCCGTAGTACGATGGCACGTCCGGGCATATGTTGATGGCCTCCGTGTAGAATGGTATAGCGGACCTGTATTGCTTGATTTTATAGAGTTTATTGCCATTTTCTTTTTTCAATTCTGCGATCCTGGAATAACAAAAATATTTAATCTGAGTGTTAGATGTTTATCGCAGCGATTCGCCGCAAAATAATTGATAAGGTGTTTACCAAATAGTCAAAAAAAATGTTTGTGTGAATTCGAAATGTGTATAGGATGTGAATTGAATCGTTCCTTTGAATGAGTCACAATTTCTGTATAAAAAAAAACACAAGAATTGAATGGGAAATTTACAGAACGGTAAAAATACAATTAATTCGCGTAGGTTTGGATTGGACTGAATATAATTGTCGTCGACGAGAAGAATAAACGTTATTGACCTTTAGGATTAAAAATAACAATGCACTTTCGAACTTTTGAAATGAAACGCGCATGTATGCCCGCAAAAATCGCCTTTACGCAATTTAATTAATCGCTTTTCGGGTAACTAGTAGGAAAAACTCAACGCGGAAGACTTAAAAGTAGGTCAGAAAAAGAAATATTTCAAAACAAAGTGATCTTTCCAACCAGGAAGACCACGATTTCCTCCTTTCCCTGCTAGAATAACACGAATTTTAACAGGTAAATCGCGATGTAGTCGATAATATATTAGAAATTGCAACGCAAACACTTACTCTTCAGGGCTTTTAGGTATGATATCCTCGTTTTCATCGGAATCCATAATCACCTCGTCCACTATGTCCGCCATCTCGAAATTTGTGGTCGATTGTCGAATTTGACGTTTGGTGAATTTGGTCTTCGCATGAGTTCCCATTTCTCCCTTTGCCAAAGAACCGAAGCGGGAAATTTGAATAATTTGCGAAAGCGATGCGATAAATTCGAGTAAAAAGTCAAATAAGGCTGTCAAAACGCGTCGAGAATCGAAAATGTGATTCAGCAGAACGAATCAATCATCGAAACGGCGAATTTTTAGCGATTTTACATTATGATTTGACGTGTGGTAGACGCGGCAACGCTGGAACAATCGCGAAATATGACAACAACGCTAAACTTACGTATGTGATAGTTATTCAAAATTTGAAATATATGAATATGAATTGCGGTAGCAAGTATTCGAATCGTCGATAATCGAAATTGTGATTCAGCTGGACGAATCAATCATCGAAACGGCGAATTTTTAGCGATTTTTACGCGTGGTAGACGCGGCAACGCTGAAACGATCGCGAAATATGGCAACAGCGCTACGATTCTATTGACAGTTGACGTAGGTGACAGGTGTTCAAAATTTGAAAAATGAATACGAATTACGGGAACAAGTATTTCGAAAGGGGAGACGCTGCGAAAAAGTCTGGTATACTAAGTAACTATTTCGTCATTCAAGATCCGAGTTTGCTTTACGAAGACAATGACGAGCAATCGTATAAACACGAATTTTTCGCCTATCAAGAGCCGCCGGTCGTGATTCCGGAACCCAAAGCGGCCATTTGGGAATTCCTATCGAAGACCGAGATGCAGGAGCTTTTGAAATGTAAAAATTCGACAGAGCTAAAGAAATACTTGAGTAATTAATCCAGATTAGCATTTCTTGCACTAAAGAAATTGTTTTGTAGATTCGGTTAAACTGGAAAAATTCTGCCCGAAAGGGAAAGCTCGGACGGTTTTCATCGATTTGATGCTTTCAGTCGCTAAATTCTGCTTCAAGCAACGCTACACGTTGGAAAAATCAGCCGCCTTGATGTCCCAATATTACTTAACCCATCTTCTAGTGGTCACCTCCTTTCACAAATCAACCGAAAAAGTCTACAACTACTACAAAGAGCTTTCATTATGCTACACCCTTCCAACGGTAACTCCCTTATTTCAACAAACTAATTCGAAAAACTTAACTCTCAATTTCTCAGTTTCCTCCCAAATTCCTGAAGCTGTTCTCCATGGAAGAAACCAAGAAAAACATGGTGTTTTTTTGCATAATGTATCTGCGTAACCTGCCTCTCATCAGGTTCCTGTGTTTGCCCAACTTCGGGTTCCACTTCAACTACTTCAAGGCGCAACCGGAGAAGAGCAAATTCAAGAAGTCATCCCAGAGGCTGGGCAAACAAAAATCGAAATTCAAATCGAAACTTCAAACATGAAACTCTCCGATATAGTTAGTATAATTGTATTATGAATAAATCTAACAGTATTGCGTATATTACTCCTCTTCTAATTGTTTAATTCTGCTTTCCAGATTACCGACTAGATTAGTTTGATGGGCGTTTAAATCGGTCACTAATTTACTTCCTAAAGCGTTCATTGTTTGAACTAACTCGGCTTGGGCGGCTTGAATATTAGGAATTTTGCTGTACTTTTCCAAATCGTCCTTGCTTAACAGCTGGTTTTCGTAGATTCCGGCTAAAAACAGAAACAATACATCTTGAACCTTCGTAAATACCACACACAACTTACTCAATAACACTAGCCGAGGGCATTTTTTGTTGATTTTTAGGACTGTATCAATGGCGGGCTCCGGGCTGAATAATATCATGTTGTTAGCAGTCAAATAAAAATCTAACACCGGCTCAAAACGGGTACCAGTAACCGCTAATGTCAAAACCTGCTTTCCGATTTTCTTCAAGTCCATGTTTTGCCTCTTGAACAAGGCGAAATATTTGTAAAATTCGTCGGATTTTATGGAATTGTGATGGTAAAATAGTATCATCTTCGAATTGGCAAAGTCCTTGTAGAGCTCTCGGCCCAGCAATTTAGCGTACATGTTTTCTTCTTCTTCATGTTTATCGTATTTGTGGTTTAGTAGATTGCACAGTTCTATAGGCGCCTTGTCTTTTTTAGGGTTGATAAACCATGGTTTGGCTAAGCTTAGGTAGGTTGCTTTCACGAAATGCGGAGGTTTGGGCTTTTGCACGTTTATTTTACCTCTGAACCGTTTGCATTGGAAAACTGGCGTTACAGTTTCTAACAAGGCTAAAATATAAGATAATTATATTTCTTTAGTATATTCTTATATTTGATTTTACCTCTTCTAGAAATAAATGCCATTTTATTATGATTAATATGTGTAAATAAGTGAGGTTATGTAAAATTTCCTCTATTTTAAAAGTGGCCTGTTATACCGATATCATCTAGCTATAAAATATAAACCACGGCACAAATTGAAGTTTTTGATAGTTCAAACAATTATTAGATTATCTAATGGTAAGTTATGCCTGCATCTCCAGCAACCTAAATATCGAATTCAAAAAATATCCTTTACAACATCGCTGCTTACCGGTCGTTTTAGGAACTACCCACTTCTCTTCAGCTAAGTTTCCAGACCTTATAATATACGACCGTTTTATAATCACGAAACACAATCAAGCACGCTGCCTCTTGTCAGTACTGTCAATTTGACATTTATCAAATCGTTACAGAATTTGAATTTTGAATTTTTTCATAAAAGAAAACATGGAAGAATTTTGCCCTAGCGCGGTAAAATGCGAGATCATGGAGTTGCTCCCGTTCTTTTTAGACGTTCCCATGTATTGCCCATTACCTAACGTGAGTACCCGCGAATCCTTTTAACTTAAAAAAAATCATCTTCTACCGCAGATACCTCCGTCGCGGCTGCTCGCCGAGCTGCAAATGCCCATGCAAAAGCGATTCGAGCAGCTCTCTAAACCCACCAGGAAACGGAGGATCCTCACCGAACTGAACTCCTTCATGAGGACCCCCGATATCATATTGTTCCAGAACTTCCAACCGTACCAAAACTACAAAACCACATTGACCTTTGTAAACATCACGCCGGTAATTACATGCCCAAACGCAGATAGAAACAACCTGCTCGATTTCGCAATTTGCAGATATCGAAGCACTTCAAGCTGAAATTCGAGCTCAAATCGCCGTTTTTCAAAATAATACCGCCTCCCTCAGACCTCGACTTCACCAAAATCGCCCCCGGCATCGCCTACGTGGTCACCATAATATTCACCCCGTCCGAAATGCGCGACTACGTCACTAAATTAGTCTGCGAAACCGACGACGAAAGTTTCTTCGTCTCCATATACGGTAAATTAATCATTAAATCATCTTTCCTTTGGCCATTTTACACACAAGATTTAGCGCACGTCTACTTTCCATATAGTTCAGTTTAGAGCAATTCTTATGTATGCAATCTCCACCATATTCTTATCACCTCATCAACCAGCTGGATCCAGCAGATGTTGGGATAAAGAGGCAAGACGCTTATGCTAATAATCGGTCTGATTTCCCGCAGGTCTGGGCAACAGGCCTTTGATGAAAATCGCCGACGAGATCAAGCTGGACGCGACGGCGATCAGGGTGACGTCGGAAAAGTCGATATTGCTGTACAATTTGGCCGAGCAACAGGGCCAGATCTGCCTGACGGTGAGCGAGCCGTTCGTCGTGAAGCCGACCAAGTACATTCTGGAAGGGAAGAAGGTGGTGGAATTGAAGGTGGCCTGTACGCCGGTGGAGCTGCGCGACTGCGAGGATCTCATCCAATTGAATTGCTACGACGTGGTGCTGAACGTGCCCGTGTCGTGCGAGGTCCAGGACGCCGACATAACGATGAATTGCAACTCGTTGAACTTCACCGACGTGTACATGGGTGAGGAAATTGCTGTCTTTTTTTTGCGAATTGAGCGTTTGAAAGAAATCGTGTAGGCTTGGAAAACTTCAAGGCGGTGACGGTGGAGAACAACAGCCCGTTCACCATCGATTTCAGCTGGAAATTGTTGGAGAGCAAGGCGGAGGACGCCGAAAGGATCAAGAACATGCTCGAGAATTTGAATAGTTTCACCGAATACGAGAAGCTCAAGTACAATCGGCTGCTCTACTACGACATAGTCAACGTGGAAGGCCACCAGTCGATACTCGATTACAAACTGTGCGAGGCCGCCGCGAGTATAAACGAAGAATTCAAGTTGATTTACACGAACGAAGCCTTTTCTATATTACCTCTGGTATATGTAGCATAAACTCGGTTTTAAGACATCTTAACGCTAGCTCGAGCGTTTGCAGGAAGGTAAAATTCTTCCCCATCAAACGTTCAAATTCGACATAATCTTCGCGCCGAGCGAAAATAAGGAATACACGAATTCCGCCTATCTCGATGTAACCGGAAAACATGAACGTTTCAAGCTCGATTTCAAAGGCACCGGAAAGGGCCCTTCTGTGATATTTAACGTTGACCAGCTGAGCACCGGCACCATCTTCATGGAAGCCAAATACCAATATCAAATCATCGTTAAAAACGACGGTAAATATTAGCAATTTGTTGGTGATTATTCATAAGCGACGTCTTTTAGGATTCATCCCGGCTACGGTGGAATTTCAAAAAACCACCACCGAATTCGGGGGAGAGATCAAATGCAGCCCTCGAACGCAATACTTGAGCAAAACGGACGATTGCAAACCGTTTGTCATAACGTTTTCCTCATGCGTGCAAGGACCTTTCATCGAGCGAGTTTACTTCCAAATCAAGGAATGCGAGGAATTGATATATTTCGTATTGTTGTGAGTAGAACAAAAGCTCACAGTATAAGACCTCTTTGAAAAAAAATCCTTTTTTAGAGGAAACGTAGTATGCCCTCTACTGGAAATCGACTCGGATAAACTCGATTTTGGCCAAGTGGCGTTCGGTAAAGACACCTCCTCATACCCCTCCCAATCGACAATTTACCAATTTCCTCTCCAGCGACGGAAGTCACCAAAAGCCTGGTGCTCAAAAACAACTCGCAGGTGCCCATCGGCTACCAGGTGAAGATGCTCCATCTCAACCACGCCGACATGCTGATCGAGGGCAAGAAGGAGATGCGCCAGGACTTCGGCTGGGAGCCGACGGGCGGCGTCGTGGCGCCGTACAATTCGGCCACCATCGACGTGAAACTGTTCACCACCGTCATCGGCGTCGTCAACGAGACGCTGCGCATCAGCATGTACGGTACGGACGCGTTCAAAATCGACGTGCCCTGCTCCTACGAGTGCCTCATACCGATGATCACCTGCGAGCCGGACCTCGTCTACATCAAGATCTGCTTCTTGAACTACGAGTACCGCAGGACGTTGACGTTCAAGAACGAGGCCAACTATCCCGGCACGCTGAATTATACGCCCGAAGAGGTATGGTCGATGTGTATGGCTTCTGAATCGTTATAGGTGATCGACGGTTTGGTTTTGTAGGAACCCAAAAATATGCAAATACGTTTGAGCACCACCGAACTCGTCGTACCGCCGCAAGGTCAGGCTAACATCGATTTGGTTATCGCCACCGACGTGTTGGGTTTCCACGAGTTTCCTTTAATGTACGAGGATAAATCGCTCGAGAGTATAAGTGATAATCGATGCATTTTCTAGGTTCACCCTATTCGGTATGGTGAAGCCGACGACCTATTGCAATTTGACGTGCAACGGTTACGGTCCAGTCGTGTCCTATCTTCCCGATGTCATCCATTTCGGGCAGGTGCAATTGCTCACCACGGCCGTTAAGCAAATGTCTCTGGTCAACGATTCTCCCATACCCGCTAAAGTTTATCTTACATCGGTATAATAGTACTTTCGACGTTGCATTTTCGCCATTTTAACCGTTTCGAAACATGTTTTCAGAGCAGTTCCTCGGAAATCCGATTGGCTGTAGACGAGCTCAGCTTACTCCCCGAAAGCGAGGTGAAAATCGACGTGGTGTGCTATTTGACTGAGGATGGAAAAATCGATTGCCAGGTACTCTTGATTACCACTTTAATAGCCATTTGAATCCCGTATTTCGTCCGTTCGAATGTTAATTTTTCCAGTTGTTTGTGGACGTGGAAAACGGCGAGAACATTGTGATAAAGGTGACGGCCGAAGGGATCGGTTATCCGATCAAATGCACGCCGAAATTGGAGCCGGTGTACGATTTGGGTTCCCAATTGACCTATCTGACTAACCGATTGCCCATCACTATATCGAATTTGGGCAGGAAGTACTACAGGATCTATTGGTCGCGACGTTGTTTCATTAAATCGCTGAAAGAACTGACGGCGGAGTTGGAGGAAACTCAGCTGTATATACCTTTATAAATCGTATAATTTATCGTTTTTCGATTGCTAATTTTTTTGTATAGGAGCGAAACCTTTTGGTTCGAACCGCACTACATAGAATTAGAAGCTAACGTGACGGAGATGATCGACATTTGCGCTCGTTCGAAAACGGCCCGTTATCACGAAGAAATGTTTTACATGTACGGAACGTTCGATACCGGTTTCAAAGTACGTTAAAATGACAATTCGCGAACACATTCCCACGTTATGCTCGTAGTCGAATCCCACTCAAACCGTCCTGCCGATCATGCAGATGATGCTCAAAGTGAAATTCATCATACCGGTGATATCGTTCTCATCCGAGCATTTGAAGTTCGTCGAAATGCACGTGCCCAACGTGGACGATCCCTCTTGTTATCCGGACGATGTCGAAACGACTTTCAAGTCGATCATCACCCGTAAGAATAAACCGATTAATTCATTCGTTCAGTTGTATTAATTTGATCGGTTTAGGCGAGGTGATAATCAGAAACGAAGTGGAGATTCCTCTGACGTTGACGATGCGGACCAGCGAAAATTTCTACATCAAACTCTACACGGAAGAATACGAAGACACCTTCGAATACACGCTGGACGTCGGCCGGGAAATCGGCGTCACCGTCGAATTTCAACCGCAGATTTATTCCAAACGCTACGTCAAATTGCTGGGGAAATTGATCGTCAACATACCGGAGTATCCCAAAACGGCAAGCGATCCATTCTAACAATTTCAATCAATACTCTCGAATAAACGCTTTTTAAATCCCCTTATACCAGGAATCGATCTACCTGACCGGAGAGATATGCTACCCGACCGTCCAATTCCTGCCGCAGGAAGTCGACTTCGGCTGCCTCGAGCTCGACTCCTACAGCGTCAAGAGCATCATCCTGCAGAACACCACCTTTCTGCCGGTCAAGTTCACCTTGGAGCTGCTGATGGACTCGTTCCACATCGAGGAATTGCAGTTGACGCAAGAGTCCGCCGTGCCGGAGGTTTTGACCATCGACAACGCTTCGATCGAATCGTTTTCGGTCACGCACGGCCCCGCGCCCGACCCGCCCGCCCGGTCTTCGGCCAACAAAGACGACGAGAGGGACCAAGAGGAGCTGGAGCCGCCCGAAGCGGACCTGGAGGACGTCGAAGGCGAGGACGACGTCACCGTGTACGACGTCGAAGGCAGAGAGGACACCGAGCGCACCAAGGACGAGCTAATCGAAAAGTACCGCCGTCTAGTACAAGCTTTTTTTTTGTAATAAACCGTTTTTTTTCTTCTTCTTCTGCGTTTAAAGCGTGACGACCTACATGGAGGAGACCGAACAGTTTACGACGCGTTCGGAGATGACGGCGAAAAGCGAGAATCTAAACTCGATGAAAATGACCTACTCGAGCAGAATGTTGTTCGCAACGCCCGAACCGGTACCGCAAATATCCGAGAAACAAGTCAAAGATGCGACCGTCAACCTCATAAACACGCTCTTGTACAACACGGTACACTCTCCAAATCCTTTCGATTTATCCTCGGCGTTATCATCTATGGGTTTACAGTACGAAGAACCCTACTCGACCGAACTGACGACGCCGGATTTCTGGCGCGAGATGCAGCGCAAAGAGAGCAAACGAACGCACATGCTGCGCAACATACTGACCATCGAACCGTGGGAGGGATACCTCAAGCCGTACGAGTACTGCTTGGTGAACATCTACTTCAGCCCGCCGCCCAACACCATCATCCAATGTTCGGCCGTGTGCAAGATCGAGGGCGGCGAACAGGAGAGGGTCTACTTCAAAGGCAGCTGCTCGTACATCTACTTCAGGTTCGACAAGAGCTTCATAGACGTGGGCAGAAAGGTGCGTAGCGTCGAGTTGTCCGAGCGATATTGCATCGTCAAAACGTTTCCCAGCTGTTTTGCGAAATCTTCGAGACGAGCATCACGCTGACGAACACCGGCTTCAGCAATTTCCCGGTGATGGCGCGGTGCGACGACGAGGAGATATTCAACGATAAGAAAATCAAGGCGAAATGGTTGAACGTTTCGCCGAAGAGCTATTTCCTCGAGGTGGGGAAATCGGTGACGTTCAACATCAAGTACTTTCCCGGCATGTCCGGCGCCTTCGAAGAGGACATCATCTTCGACGTACGCGCGTTTCTACCACTCTCTAAATCGCAGGATTATCTTCCGCCGGACTTTTGCAGGTCTCTTACATGGACCCCATAAGGATACCGATGAGGGGCTACGGCGTCTGTTCGCAGATCACCATCAACCTGCCCAGGCTGCCGTTGCGCAGGCGATACCTGAAATTGGGCTATCGCGGCATCGCCAACGTCGACGAGAAGTACCTGATTGCCGATTTGCCGCCGAAGAGCACCAGGGACGTGATGATGTCGGTGTCCACTAAATTGTCGTTGATATCGCGCAACATCGATCGGTACGCCGAATGCCGGTTCGATGCGAAATTCACGCGATTGAAAGAGGAAGATTGGGAGGTTATATTTCGAGATGTAAGCACCTACAATCGAATCGCGACGGAGATTATAGCGCGTTGTTTACGGTAGGATCCGATCCCTTCGAAGAAGGACTTGGAACTGGCCGTGGAGCATACGATTTTGAACGAGCACCTGTGCAACAACTACGACGAATTGAAGAAGCACAGCATCTTCCGCAGGTGTCGGGTGATACCGGATTTCAAAGTGCCGCCGTATAAATTGGATTTCGGGAAAGTGGTGATCGACACGTCGATGGTGTTTTCGTTGCGCATCACCAACATCAGCCCGGAACCCACTTACGTTAAGGTACTCATTAAAATCCGCTCTTTCTGAAAAATCTTTCGTACTTTCCAGCGACTGTATCGATCCTTATTTCCAGGTGGTGAAATCGAGTTATTCGACCTTGTACGCTTTGGACATGGTGATCGACTACAAGCCGACGATGCTCGGCTACGGCGAGTCGTTTCCCATGCACGTGATATTCAAGCCGAGCTCGAAGAGAGTAACCGACGAGAAATGCGTGCAGGAAACGTTGGATTTGGAGGTGTCCCACGGGGCGATCGTGCCCATTTTGATCTCGGCGACCATTTGCTTTCCGCGGGTGGCGTTCAAGCACAAGAGCATCGACTTCGGCATGGTGAAAATCGGAAACGCCCTGCGGAAAACCGTCATCATCGAAAACCTGTTAGTAGAGACTTGTAGTTAGATTTGTATTCGCGTTTCTGAAGTGTTAAAGGCCGTTGTTTTGTCGTGATTAGAGGTTCGTTGAGTTGCAATTGGGACACCGACATTCGATCGTTGAACGACATGAAGCCGTTGTACTACACTATACCTAATAAAGGGGAATTGCCGGCCTTCCAACAAGGTGTTATGAACATCTACTTTATGCCGGAGAAAAGGGGATTTTACGTGGCGGAGGTCATTGTGAATTTGCAGGGCTCGTCCAAACAGGTTTGCCAAACTCTTCTTACCGATTTACTCTTTGTACAATTTCATTGGGAGATTTGTTAGGTGAAAATGAAGCTTTGCGGCGATGGCGTCCAACCGACCTTGGTGTTCAAAGATTCCAACGTGAAATTCGATCCTTGCACGCCCTACGCCAGCGACACCATACCGCTCTACATCCAGAACGTCTCCACGTTTCCCATCGAATTTTGCTTCTCCGATTTCGAACAGTAAGTAGGCAAATCCCACTGAATAACTGAGATTACTACCGTCCTCTATTTAGCTCGTACAGCGAGGAGAAATTGCTGATCGGCCTGTTCCTGAACTATTACAATTTGAAAACGGTGCTGATACCGGAGAGGAGATTGGGCGCTGGCATACCGGAGATATTCGTGTTGACCTACGAAATGCTCGAGGCCGATTTGAAGGACCTCTATAAGAACCTGTGCGGCACGGAGAATCCTCTGGTGGGAGTTACCAAACACGAAATTATCGAATTGATCAACAGTGAGATACACGCGAGATTTGTACAAACGATGATTGTATATGATTGTATTTTGAAGGGTACATAAACAGTATCATAGAAAGGACGATTTTACGGAATCGAACGGATAATACTACGGATATGTATCAGGTGGATAACAAGCGAATTGAAGGTTTGGCCATAATCGATCCGGTTGTTTCCGCCGATGGGTTGTCCAGTAGAAAAGGAATTGTAATTGTGTTCCACGGAGCACCCACAACAGGTCTATATAGTACCCCAAAAACCGAAACGAAACTCGTTTTATTCGACGAATTTGTTGTTGTTTTCAGACTATTTGCGTATCGCATTTCGCTCTGCCAAATTTTTATCGCTAAAAACGACGAGCGTGGACGCTTTGATCATGGAACAATTAGTGAATAACGACTCGAAATTCGCGGAAATCGTTAATTTCTGCATCGACGAGGCTCTCAAGGATTTCCCCGATACCATATCCATCGAAGAGTTCGATGGTAATTCATACACAAATTAATAAAAATATTTTTTTAATTAAGCTGTACGTTGTAGACAACTACGATATATTGTACAAAAAATTGGACGTGCTATTGAATATGAGACACCAGTTGCCGAAGAGAAAAGCGAAAGACGAGGCCCTCTCGAAAATCGACCTTCCCAGAGAAGTGTTCAACGATCCCACCAAGAAGAAGAAAACCGAAACGTTTTTGGACTTGAACATCACCATTTTCGCCGACATGTTGAAGTACCATTTCGAAAAAAATCCGTGGCCTCTTATGGTGAGCAAAACGTCATTTATACCTCACCAAACGTAGCTCGGCACTTGGATAATTGTATTTGTACCGTAGGTAATCGAGACCTTGGATAGCATCTTCATCAAACAACCTTTGATAACTTTGGAATGCCTCTTACACGGAATCGGTAATATGAAATACGTTCAAATAGTAACCATAACGTTGAGTCTTGAAGAATACGTCGCCCAAATGGCCAAAATAGCTCCCGAACCGGACGAAGAAGAACTAGCAGAAATTAGTAAATTGCCGCCATTAATACACCTAGGTACTGTATAATAATCGTTTCTTCCAGCGCCTCTTCCGGTCGAGATTAAAATCAAAAAAACCCCGAAGGGCGGCTCCAAAAAAACCACGGACAGGCAAGATACAGCTAGTAGAAAATCGGACGCACTCTCGGATGAGTCCGATCACGCCGAAGCCAAACTGGCGATGAAGGCCGGCCAAATAATGCGCGATCTATCGCCGGAATTCGTGCAGAAATTCCGAAATTTCGATCAATTCGTGCTCGATCTCACCCAAGTGTGCGAAGTCTGGGACAGGACCCGCTGCGTCCTCACCGAGGTACACCCATGTCATTCATTTTCATCTTTCCTCTCTTCATATTTCCTCTTCATCCGCGTCTTTTTCATCGATTTCTTCCACTAATTACTGTGTAAATCCATTTTTTATAGCAATCGGACGACCAGGGGATATCCAAAGTGAGCAAAAAGCGGACAAATACGACTTTACTGTCGTTTACGGAAGTGAGCCTTGCAACAGACGTTTCCCAAGTGGGTGAGTCCCGAATGTACAATTGCTTAATTTACCGAACGATCGCAATTTGGTGGAAGTCCCGTTTTCATTCTGCATCGTTTCCCAGGCGTACCGATAATGATAATACGCAACATCTTCGGCGAGAGCGAAGAGGAGGATCTACTAACGGGCCCCATCAGCCGAGCCATATTCAACGATGAGAAATTCGAGAGCGCCTTCGACAGCATCAAAAACGCCAACAGAGAGGAGATACAAGAGTCCACCTTCATGTATTCGGTGATCAAGAAGAAGAACTCGTACCAGAAGAACCTGTCTAACGTGTTCAAAATCGTCAACGCCCCGTCGCCGGCCGATCACAACGTCGACGAGGACTCTCTGGCGGTTCGAACGGCTTCTCTAACGCTTCGTTTTCCCCGTTATTTTCGTTCGATTTCCAGGCGTATCCGGGCGTTTCGAGCGTTTCGTTGGCGCGCCCGCTGATGGCAGCCAGCGTGGGTTCGATTAAATTCAAAAAGAAGAAATTGAAAGGCACCAGCCAAATCAAACCGCTGCATTCCTTCAAAGGTACATCGCACGCTTTCCAATTCGAACCGATCGAATTTCTGATAGACGCTTTTCCAGACGAAGAAGACGTGTTTACGAGCCGCACGGTGATCGGTCCGGGCGACATACACAAATACGAGATCACCTTCAATCCGCAGTATCTCGGCACGTTCAGCCACAAGTACCGCTTGGAGATCATCGGCTACAGCCACAACAATTTCATCAAGTGCTTGGGCAACGGCCAGCTGCCCTGTCTCGATTACACGCCGGAGGTGATGTTCTCGAAGTGCGTCGACGGCATCGTCGACAAGGAAATCGACGACAGTTACGTCTACATCAAGGAAATGCAACTGTTGCACTTCGGTACCATCATCGTAGCGACGCCAAGGTAAAACTGATGGTGGTTTATTAACGAATTTTGCGAGTAATTGTTTCGCAATCGATCAGAACTCCTCCGTACGTGACTCGGATTACGCTGAAGAACATATCCCAGATACCGTGTTACACCGTCGTGGAGTTGGAGGAAGACTCGCCGTTCCAAATCAATTCGAATAACTTTACGGTGTCTTCGGTCGATCAGGTGATACTGGAGTTGTCGTTGCAAGGCAGCCAAGTGGGCATCGTGGAATCCGAATTGTACATCAGCATCGAGAACAATCCCATGATATACAGGTAACCGATATTTACCGTTAAACTGGAGAGAAAACGGGTACATTGCGCTCGTTCAGGTTGAAGTTGTTCGCCGAAGTGGTGAAAATGGACTTCAACATAACGCCGAAATTCCTGAACTTCGACCAGGTGCCGTTGGACCTGTCGTCGAAGCAGCACATCCGATTGGTGAATTCGACGCCGGTGAACCTAAAATGGCGCTTCGTGCGCATGGATTGGGCCACCAGGATATACAAGATAAACAAATTGCGCGGCGAGACCAAGTTGTTTTCGTCCGATCGAATCGAAATCGAGTACAAGCCGACCAGGGAGGAGATGTACCAGCCGAGGGCCATCGAGATTCAGGTTATCTTAGTCTATTCATTCAGAATCTTCCGGACTAATGGTTGAATTTGTTGAAAGGTATTCGATCCGTTGTGTTGCGAAGAAATCCCGTTTTTGGTGGAGTACATCACGTTGCAATGCAAAGCCGTGGAGTTCCTCGTAAGTTACACCGAACACATTGACTTGGGCGAAGTGAAAGGTAAAAAGGAGTACAAGCTACCGTTGAAGGTTACCAATACTGGTATAACGAACGTACAAATAATGTACGTTTTTTTTTAAATAGTTTGCATCAGATCTGCTGCGATTTTTCACTTGCAGGTTAGAAAAAATATCGAAAACCGTCAAGCAGTTTAGCAACAAGGTGAAGCACCTGTTCCAATACAACATGAATTCGGAGATTCTGTTGCCCAACAAAAGTTCCTCGATAATCATCAAATTCAGTCCGACCGAGGAGATCGATTTCGAAAAAGTGCCGGTGTTCCTCTGCAAGATCTTGGATCCCAACAAGCCGCAGTGCGTGGTCAAAAAGTTCCAACTGCAATACTCCGGTACCGTGGTACTATCTAGGTAAAACGATAAGTATATCCGAGAAAATTGAAGGTAATTCGGTGCTGTTTTAGATTCACCATTTGCCCGATAAACAACATCCACTTCGGATCGCTGGAAGTGTGGAACAAGAGAACGCAAATCCTGCAATTGAAGAACGTCGGAAGGGCCGTTTTTAGCTACAATATTTCTTACATTTCCAAGCACGGTAAACGCATTTCCACTTTTAAACGTTCTTTTAACTCGGTTTTATCGACAGGCGAGGAAACTCCTACCAGCCAACGCAAGGACGTGGTGAAGAAACCCAAGAACCTAAAGGAACCGACCAAATCCAATTTGAACAAGTTAAATACTAATCAAACTACATTCTAACCCGTTTTGATTCCTCTATAATCTTCAGAGATTCTCTGGATATACCGGGCTACACGCTACACCCTTATCGAGGCGACGTGGATACCGGCCAATCCGTCGAAATCACTCTAGCCTTCCAGCCCACCTACCTGGGGGTGTTCAAGGAGAGCGTCCTGTTGACGGTCTCCGAACCGGCCAAAGAACACGTCGACGGCAAGGAGATCGATTTGTACGGCGAGGCGTCGGAGCCTTGGGTGGATTTCACCACCTACAGCAAGATGTTCAAGGAGCACCACATCGTCCAAAATTTGGAGGACTACGTGGTGCCGGTCGATGTAAATTATTAGCGATTTAGATGGAATTATTTCTTTGGAATTTCTGTATTAAATTTCCAGATCGGATCCCACACGTTTTTAGTCGTGTCGCAGAAGACCTTCTACTTCGGCCACGTTTGCGTCAAGCACGAATGCCAAGCGAAGATCTACCTGCAGAACGTCGGGCAATTGATAGCGGTGGTCGTTTGCAAGATCCGCAATTCGGACAATTTCACCGTGTCCCCCACGCAATTCACCATCGATCCCTATCTCACCCAATTCATCACCGTCACCTTCAAACCGGACATCATCAGCGTAAGTGGCCTTTGCTCTCTAATCGCCCTCTTCTAAGTAGGCACGATTAATGCTTGTTTTTTTTTCCATCATCAGTCCTTCGAAGGCGTGTTGGAAATTAGTTCGAACGCTGCGACCGACAACACCTTCGAGCTGGCGTTGCGCGGCCAAAGTTGCGTGCCTCAGATCAAACTGGAAGGTCTACCGGCGCCGCACGGCAACGAGAATTCGTACAAGGTCTACCTGAGGCCGACCTACGTGAATCAAATCGAAACCAAGAAGGTGCGCATCGTGAACATCGGCGTGATCAAGTGCCAGGTGATCGTCGATGTCACCGATAACAACAATTCCATATTCCGCATAGTGCACAGCGACGAAGAACCGGATTTCGCCAAGAGTGCGTATCGCGAAATTGCGAAATTGCGAAATTAAATGATGGTTTTACAGTCGATGAATGGGTGGCGTCGTCTATTAAAGTGAACATCAGACCATCCGAAGCCACGAACGTTTATATAGTATTTAAAGCTGATAACGAAGTGACTAAACATACTTACGTTAACCTCTACACGATCGATAATCCGTTCGAAACGTACAAAGTAAGCGACTATAACCTCTCGTACATTAATTAATTAATTAATTGTCGTATTAGATCAGCGTGTTTGGTCAATGCTACGGCGGCGACATATTCATCGGTACGTTGGAGGCGTTCAAGCCGGCTTCGTTCGAGAAGAATTCGCTGGAGAAGAAATCCGTCTCGTACATTTTGGATTTGGGCGTGAGCCCGTTGAAATTGGTGCAGAAGAAACGGTTCACCATCAGCAATTACTCGCCCGATCACACCTACCGCTTCGAATTCTCGCACGACATCGGCTCGTTGAAGTTGATACCGAAAGTGGGCCATTTGAAGCCATTCACCACCAAGGAAATATTGGCGGTGAACATGTCGAACGCGCCCATTAGCGTTAAGGTACATCCTAATTTATTATACAATGAGGTATACTCGAGTGTATCGATTATGCAGGATACTATACAATTCCAATACATTCCCATTACGTACATGAACGAGGAGCCTTTGAAGCTGTCTTGGGACGAACGCCAGCAGTTGATGTCTTGGCTGGAGACCGGCCTCGGCGTATTCGACGACGCCTACGTGCAGGTGTACTTCAAAAATTGCGTGGAAACCGCCACCGACGCCTTTATAGCGTAACCGACGCCCCGGACGATCGCCGGCTTCCTTCTAATCGCTCGCCATTTTGAAGGTCGGAGAATTGCAAGCGCGACGAGGTCGTCGAACGGTTGAAATTGTCCATCGAACGCGAAGAACCCGACGTGATTTACACAGCTGAATCGTGCGACGTCATCGACATCGTCGTGTCCTTCACCACCGATTACGCCGTGTACGAATGCAACTGCAGGAACTTCTACTTTCCCGATACCTTCATTCGAGACGTACGTTTTCGATCGATTCGCTTCGATTACTTTTAATTATGGCGCACCTTTCAGAAAAATCACGTTACGATCAAAGTGAGGAACTCCGGTAACGTTCCTTTGATGATCATCTGGAACGTTGTGCTGCATTCGGTCAGGACCTCCACGTCGCCGGTCGAGCCAGAGCACAAAGACCAAGAAGACGACGTCATTTCCACAGGTTATTTCCACACACCTATCCAGCTTTCCTCTTCTCTTCATTCGCCCGGTTTCCGACAACCCTACAATCTTCTAGACTTTCGACCGGTTCTCAAAGAACATCCCTATTTCTTGCTATCGTTTTCAGTGCCGTCGTTGGAGAGCTGCGTCAGCCGGCCGCCCGAAACGCTGGACGTGCACGCGCGCGTCTTCGCCGTGTCGCCCGCCAAGGCGCTGATCGACGTCGACGGAACGGGCCGGTTCCGGGCGACGTTCGAGCCGCGCGTCGCCGGCGACTACGTCGTCCGGCTGACGGCCGACGTCGAATCGCTGCATCCCGAACTCGCCGAATTGGACGTGATGGCGACGGCCAAAAGCCTCGAGCCGGACTACTACTTCGAAATCGACGATTCGGATTACCTCGAACGGCGCACCATCAACCGATGCCTGAAGGTGTCCGATTCCAATTTGAAGATTTTGGAAATACACGCCGTCGGCGTCGGCATCACCACCGTCAAGTAAGTTCATCAAACGGCTCGGTTTACCGTCCGACTAGTTTAAAACAGCTCGATTTACCGTCCGACTACTTCAAAACAGCTCAGTTTGCCGTCCGACTACTTTAAAACAACTCAGTTTACCGTCCGACTACTTCAAAACAGCTCAGTTTACCGTCCGACTACTTAAAAACAGTTCAGTTTAGCTTAATACATAATTCTTTTTAGGGGATTCTTCGTATTCAACACGGGCCGTCAACAGTTGAGCTTCAAATTGGACCCGATCGAGCGGGACACGTTGTCGTACATCAGCTGCAAGACGCGCTCGGGCGTGTTGCGCAAGCAGAAGAAGATGGAGCTGGTGTTCGCGTTCACGTCGCAGGAATTGGGCACGTTCGAGGAGGAGTACGCGTTCAGGACGGACCGCAGGACGGAGGGCGGACAGGAGGCGGCCGGCGACGAGGACGAAGGCGGCGGCGGCGGCGGCGGCGGCGGCATCGTCGTCGTCAGCGAGGAGCCGGCGGAGTACTTGGAGACGAGATTCCTGATCGTGGGTATTTGCAGGAATCCGCGCGTGTACTTTACGCGGGCGCACATCTACCTGGCGCCGACGCTGCTGAGGATACCGACGCAGGAGACGTTGCACCTGTGCAATCACGAGAACGAGGAGTTGGGTTTTAAGATTTTGAAGCCGAGTTTGTATTCGTACGATCACTTGCAGAAGTTGAAGATCGTGCCGATCGCCGGGTACATTCCGGCCAATGCGGAGGTCACTTTGCAGTAATTACATTGATGCTAGAGCAGTACTGGTGTCTGTATGTTTAGTATCGTTTGGTTCGTTTTTAGATTGATTTATAACGCTGAAACGGTGGGCGAATCGACATTTTCGATCCAGTGCGTTATCGATAGAATGACAACGCCTTTGACTTTAAATATATCTAGTAATTGCCTGGAAGTTGAAAGTAAAATACAATATATCGATCCCACTGGTGAAGAGGTCACATTGGATCCGAACAATGATAATATAATCGATATAGGAAAGGTGGAATTGGCCGTAGAATATTTTATTGTATTTTTATGTGGGGTATTTCTAGATCGGAATTAAGAATAAATACGTAATTAATTTCATTTTTACCAATACCGGTAAGAGCGGATTTTTCTACAAATGGAGCTACAAAATGGAGCACATGGAGCACCTGATGAACATCACGCCGAAGAAAGATAAGGAATTTATATCGGCGGGGGTTTCGGTCAAAAGAGAATTGGTCTTTCAGACTTTCAAAAAGTACAAATTGGTCAATTTTCCGATGAAAATTGAGGTACAAACTACGATTGAACAGCGAAATTCGGCGATTATACTCGTTTCCTTTTTAGATACCTTACGGGCCAGTGTACAATTTGAAGTTCTTTGTCGTGGCCGATTTCCCATCGTGCAAACTGTCTTTTACCAACTACAATTTCGGCAACTGTCTGATACAACCGTTCTTCACCAAATACTATTCGGTCGAGTTGACTGTGAAAAATTTCGAACCGAATCCCGTAAAGTAAGTCGAAGATTCCACCGAACTCTTCGCGCTCTTTCATCCCCAACAATTTCCCCGTTTAGATTGGACAATTTCTTCGAAGAAAACGAACATTTAACGGTGGATTTCACGACGGCCATCATCCAACCGCAGGACACGATCACCATACAGGTCTACTTCCATCCCCGCAAAGAAGGCCACTACGATTTCCTGATACCGTTCTCGTTGAACTGCACCAAGCGACCGATCAAAATAACCGGATGCGGCGTCGCCATTAATTTGCAACTGATGAATCCCGCCGATAAATTCATCGATCTAGGCGAGGTGCTTCGTTTCCCAACCACCCACTCGAACGTTCTCTAAACTTCGTTATTGTCAGGTTATTTTAGGAGAAATGAGAAGCTACTCTCTCTTCGTGGTCAACAGATCTTCCACGCAACTCGACGCCAAGTTGTTTATTTCCGACGATCTCACCACCAGCAAGAAGGAATACGAGAAGTTGAAACCCGAGATCACCGTTCCGGACGTTCCCGAGGTCGTCAAGTACGTTTTTAAATAGTAAATACAGTTGGTAGAGATCATCTGATGATTCAACCTGCTACTCTATACAACCTTGATGATAATGCAATTGCAGTTTATAAGATTTTGTGGTAATTTCAGATCCAAGAAAGAGGTCAAAAAGGAAGCCAGCAAAATGGAGAAGGAGAAGACGAAGAGCGTGTTGAAATATCCTTCGTAAATAAACTGCAATAATTGTTTGGAATCTTATTGAAGATCGTTTATTTGTAGCGTTGTTCGGCTCATTTCGGATGTGGAAACGGAACCGCGCGGGCCGTACTTTTTCATCAACCCCAAGGAATCGGTTCGAATGGAAATCAACAAAAAGTACCAGTTTACTATCGAATTTCGGCCGACCGAACGTTTGGATAATTTCTCGCAAAAAGTAACCAACAAGTAAACTTCTGCAGTAAATTACTCCTCGATTATTCGCAGGTGTACTATCAAATCCAACAGATGACGGCGCCCTTGTGTTCTGTGAAAGGCAAGTGCTTGATCAGGGAATACTCCTTGGACAAGGAAATATTGAATTTCTCCAACGTGCTGATCGGCGCCACGCGGCTCAAATACGTTTTGCTCAGAAACACCGGCGATCTACCCATCAAGCTAGTCACCAATATCTACCGAAATTGAACCACAACTAACTCGTTGGTACGTTTCCAGGTTCAAGTGGAAGCACGAGCAGCTGGAATATTTCAAAGTCCATCCCGTCGAAGGCTACGTGAAGCCCAAAACCGACGTCAAAATCGACTTTTCCTTCAAAGTCGATAAGGTCTTGTTCCAATTAACCAAAAAGGTGAGTTTCATCAAAACTCTAGCGACTAATTTTTCATTACAATTTTATTCCCAGTGCATCTGTTTGATAAACAACAAAGACCCATTGGAATTGACGTTGGTTTCGAATTCCGTTAGCCAGCCTCCTCCCATTTCCACGATAACCTTCAGCTGCCCCGTCAGGCAAAAGTTGATCCAGAACGTCGATATTCAAAACAAGTTAGTGATAGGATCGTTCGCGAACTCCCCGGAATCCGGACAATTTTTTTTTTGCAGGACAACCACCTTGTGGCATTTGAATCCGATGATAACGAACAAGAATTTCATACTCCCGTCCGAGGTGGTGGTCGATCCGGAATCGGTGAGCGCCATTCCGGTGATTTACTACCCCAAAACGAGCGGCGACGACGAAGTAAATATATCATTAGATAGTATTTCGATTAAAAAAAAACATTGGCGGGATTGTAGGCGATTTTGATACTGCCGCTGCCCGACGAAGAGATCGTCTACAGCTTCATCGGGAAGCCGCTACCGCCGTTGCCCGAGAAGAGGATTTACCTGGACGTGCGCTGCAAACAAAACTATTGCCAGATATTACCGGTGTACAATTGGACGGACTTCAAAATGTGCTTCAAGGTCGAGAACGTGCTGAAGAGCGTCGTGACCAAGAAGACTCTGTACAAAACGTTCGGTTTGGACATCGTCGACTTGTTGCCGGGCGAGGTGAAGGATTACAAATGGAACATTTACACCATCAACGAGGAGAACTTGGAGTTTCACGTAAATTGCACCAAACATTATCGTTTCCTTTGCGATAATCACGCCAATTTTAGGTGATTTTTAAAGACATGCAAACGGAAGAGTACATGTTTTACGAAATCGTCGTCAGAGTGATGCCCTCCGATCCGATGGAAGTCGTACAACTCACCACGTGCGTCAGGAATCCCATTAAAACGGAAATCGTATTGCACAATCCCATAAATTTGCCGGTACTATTCCACATCACCACCGCTTGTCCGGATTTGCACTTCAAAAACACCATTTCCATGGAACCCTACACCAAGGTAACTACTAGCAACATCATTACGACGCCATGATGAGATTGTGCACCATCTATCAATTAAATTCAATGGTCTTCCTTCCCATAAGTTAAGGTTAAGGATGGTGGTGGAAGGATGAGATTGGTAGAGGAAAATTTATTGGGTTTTGGAATGATTTTTTGTTCCCAGTGGCATTCAGCGAATTTTCTAAAGATTTAGGGTGGAAAATGGAAGACGATAGACTGGGAAAGGATACATTTTTAGGTTCTGGAATTTATTCTTTTTCCAAGTTTATTGCCTCTTTCCGCAGGTATCCAGCAAGGTTTCTAAAGATTTTGAGGTGGAAGATGGCAGATTTTTGGATTCCTTTTCGTCCTAGGTTATGACCTCTTGTCCCTAGACTGCCAGTAAGGTTTCTGAAGATGTGTGGATGGAAAACGGAGGAGAATAGAGTTTTTGATTGGGTTTTGGAATGCATTCTTTGTGTTTGCAGCAATCGCTGGCGGTGACTTTCTGTCCGGTGAGGGCGGGCGTGTTTACGACCAGCATCGATGCGAGATGCGAGGAGCTCGGCTCGTTTTCCTACGAGTTCGATTTGACGGCGAACCAGCCGGAAATCGAGAAATGGTTGAAATTCGTGGTGGAACTCGGCGGCAGGGAATACGTAACGTCCGACATCAAGAACGCTTTTAACACCACCATGGAGGTGCACTTTAAGGTAAAACTATTAATTTATGGTCGAAGCGTTCGGTATAGCTTTTTCGGTGTGCTCGCAGTGCGATCATCCGGAATTTTGGGTGGAGAAATATTCGAAGTTTATAGCGCCCGGTGAGACGGGATCGTTTACTGTGATGTTCGAGCCCAGCAGTATAGGCGTATTGGAAAGCGTATTGACGGTAAATTCGACGATATCCGGACCTTACTTGTGAGTATTCGCGGGTAATGGACTTGTCTCCACTGTACCGTGAAATAACACAATTTTTCTTTGTACTATCTTGTATGAAATGTTTCCGAAAAAATTGAATTGATATCCGAACAGTAAAAGATCAAAAGTTTGCAATTTGACAGTGACGTTTCGTTTTGTTAAATTTTGACGTTTAAACAATGATTAGTGCGGGCGATTACTAATCTTTTTTTTAGTACGGGCGATTACATCAAATTTTTTTTATAACACACTTCCGTAAAATATGAATATTTATGATTTGAATAGATACAAATTATACGGCGAATGTATCCATCCGACGCCCAAAGGACCCTTCATGATAACGATGGACGGTTACGCCCAGGTGCCGTTTTTCAACCCCTTCAACGAAACGATGACGTTCTCGTACAGCTTGGACACGAAAACGTTCGAATTGAAGACGTTCACCGAGGAAATCAAGCCGAAGAAATCGACCAAAATCATCGTAACCTATCCGGAATACCTGAAGAAGACCGTCGACAATCCGGCCCCCGCTTGCGTACAAACCGGCAGATTGTTGGTAACCTGCGGAGACGTCAAATGGCCGTTTTACATACAAACCGAATGTTAATCGCTAATTTATTTTTGTTTTTAGTAAAAATTTTTATTAAACGCCTCATTTGCGAATCGTATAGTGTAACGGAGCCACTATTTCCCGCGTTTATTGCGCCATAAATCTCTCTAAAACCTAATAAACTTTAGGAAAGTCGCTTCGAATAGTGGAAGGAATTAACCCTCACTCGTCGAGTGGCTGTTGAAACACCGCGAAGCTACAGGAACCTGTTAGATTCCGGCCGGCCCGGCAGAGTTTGCGCGAAATTTTTCCGGCAAAATCGCCCGACGAATGGAACGTCCGCCGCCTCTCCAGTCTCTTCGCGGGGGCTTCACCGGCCGCGCTCGACAACACGCCGCATTAAAATTCCCACGCTAATGCGAAAATGATCAAGTTCATTCTGTTGGCGGCTTTCATTCGCACCATCGAGACCGTCGCCGAGTGCTCGATGGACGAGGAGTCCGAGGAGCACGAGAAGATCAGCTCGAACTACACCGTGTTGTACGAGTACCTCACCGGTACCGGCGTTCATAATTTCAGCGAATCGGTCACCATCGGGTTCTTGGGCGCCTACCGGCAGGCCCAGGTCATCCTGGGCGCCCTCCCCTTGGTGGTGGAAGCGGTCAACGAAGACAAACGTAAGTCCGCTCGGAATGTCGCCGGAAATTTGATTGTTCGTTGATTGTAGATTTGCTGCCGGGTCGCCGGTTGCACTACGTGGCTGCCGACATCGGTACGAATCCTCCGGCTCTGGGTCTGTCCAGAGGGAAGTCCTCTTTGGCCGCGCACGCTATCAGGGTGATGACCGAGATGAGGGACAACGGGACGGTGGCTTTCATCGGACCGGACGATACCTGCTCGTCGGAAGCTTTGGTAGCTGCAGCTTGGAACTTGCCCATGATATCCTACGTAAGTAAATCCTCGAAGATAATTTTATGTATTGTCGTGGAGATGGTAAACACCTTGCGCTCGTGTAAAGGTGTATACAGCCATGAATTGGGAGTAACGGAAATTGTTTTTGTTCCAATTTCTGTGAATGTATACATAACGATATTTTCCTGCGGGCGAAGATTGCGCGAAATTGGAACGTGATTTTCCCCGTTGGATACTACATTGCAGGACCGTATCCTCGATTATTATAATTTCTTTTTTCGATCAATTTATCGCTAAATTTCCTGAATATTTTAATGCGTAATTATATCGCTTGTTTACCGTTGTTTTTTACTACAAACAACGCAACGAAGTCGATCGATTCGCGGGACGTTTTTCTTGTTTTCGCCCAAACGGTTTAAGTTTAATTAAAAATGTATACCTAACTGGGCTTTACGGGGGATTAATTGGAGTAAGTGGCTGGAATGCCGTTCGGCGAATTACTCCGTCGTGTTCGTGATTTTCCTGTCATTTCTGGCTTTAGGATCTTGATGGATGTTTAATTTAGTAATTCGAACTCTTAGAAAGTTTCCAACGGAGATGTATAATTAGTTTGTTGGGAAATTTAAAGTCATTTTGCTACCTCTTGCAATGTAATAAAATTGCGTTGCTTCGATTAGATGATTTTTGCGTATACGAGGGATGTTTGATCGGTTAATACTCAATATACAGGGTGAATTTTTGTTTGGATTTTGTACTAAATTTATCAATGAAACGCCCTGTGCGAGTTAATATATTCGTAAAGTCATAGAGAATTATTGAAGTCGATTTGAATTACCTCACCCGTGAAAAAGATGTAAAAGGGCTGTTTATTACCTGTCCAAACGTGTAAGATTCGAGCAATTATTCATAGCTGTTGCGTGTTTCATCAAGTTACTATAAATATACATGGGTAATCAAATGGTTCGATTGGTTTTTCCGACTCCGATTTTTTTATGTGGGACGTTCTGTGCAACGTGTTATTTGACTGTGTACAGATTATTGTGTCATCCCGTTTTAGATAACAATTCCTTTTCGATTTTCCCTTCGGGTTATTTATTTAATTTACTTCGTTTCAACACTAATTCAAATCGGTTTCTACGGGCTTAAGTGGTTGTTTTTCTCCGATCAAATTGCAAAATAATCATGTCTCTGTTTAAAATTAAAGTACATTTCGATATGAACAAACCTAATTATTGTACTTTGCAATTCAAATATATTAAAGTTGGTTCGTGATTTATATGCAAGTGCGATTATCTTTATTCAGCTTTATTGAATTAAAAAATCCTCGAGTAATATTTAATGATATTACATTACCTTTACCGAAGCTTTTGCGAATCCCACTCGTTTAGGAGAAGAAATACAATTATCTTTTTTTTTTCCTATCCCGGCGGGTTCTTTTTTTTTTGGTCGGCGAACGGGAGGAATGCGAAATAACAAAAGGTATTTACAAGAACAGTAAAATACGATGCTAAATTAAATATTAATGAGTACTTGAAACACGCAGTTTTGATCTCACTTTCTCATTAGGTAGAATTTGAATGAAGTAAAATTTAAATGATGAACGAACTTTAAACTAATCGCCCGCACTATTACACTATAAAAATTCGAATATTAGTCTGGTGATTTACGTTAAATATTCAGAAATAGTATAAGTTTATTATTATCGCATATTATTTAGTGTGTTTCTGAATACATACGCCTGACAACAAAGCCTTTTTCGCCCATAAATAATACACATAACGCGTTTCGTTTGGATTAAATGGATATTTTGACGCTTTTCCTATAATTACAAGTAATTAACGCTACGGTGTTTAATCCGCAACAATTAATAATTACAACGAGACTACAAGTACGAAGAATCGAGATAAATTTGAATAGAAATTCGATAGTATGTACGTGCACAAAATGCCTACCTAATTAATGGATCTTATCGGATAATTTTACCACCATGTTTCATTTACAATTCGACTTCTTTAAGCTACCAAAATTGTTATTCAGCTACTAATTCGCAAAAGTTTCCTCCTTCCACTCGACTCGACATTGTATATTATTAAACTCTGAATAAACCCGTGGCTTTGATATTTACGAAAATCGTACGGCTCCGAATCCATTTGCATATTAATTAGATTTTCGTATATAATGTCTTAAGAGAGAAATGATTTTGCAGTCGATAATTAATTTCCAATATTCCCGGATTAGCGCCCGACGCAATGTCAAAAACCGGATCGAAAGCCGCACGGAAAAAAACCGTTTTATAGCCCAAAAGATTTATCCAATATAACGAGTACAGGGGGGTTGAAATTTTAGAAACGAAGACGTTGTATATAAGGGTAGTAAGATCCCCCCAATCTCGATGTTTACGGTGAATACATAATTCGACTTCCACGTTCCGCGATACTCCCGTTTGTTCGATAAAATAAACACTTTTGAAGTTGATGAAATAATTCGAACATATACCCGGGAGGGCGCCCGGCTAAATTAATGTTTATACGAGTCGCTCTCTAAACACCACCCGACGGAATTCTTCCACACATATTACCGATAATATACAGTTTAATTTGTTTCTCTCGTATATACGGTCTCGTTTTAAGAAAATAACTGAAACGTCCGGCTCGATTTTCTGTTCCGCCAGCGATGCAGCGACACGAGAGTCTCCGACAAGAAGATATTTTTCACCTTCGCCAGGACGCTGCCGCCCTCCAGCAAGGTTTCGAAGAGCGTCGTCGCCCTCCTCAGGGCCTTCGATTGGCACACGTTCGTCGTGGTGTCCGGGTCCCATCCGGCTTCGGGTAGCGAAGTCCAGGAGGCCATCGAGGTAAGAATTGTGGCGCGTTTCTTATTTGAATTTGCTATTTTTTGCCAAAACGTGGCAACCCTGTCGGATTTGATATGTACCTGTCATTTAGACAGTTTTTTTGTGTTTCGTGATTGATGTCAAAGGTTTTGATGTTTCGAGTGGCAAACGTACAAAATATTTTAGTTGTGGTGCGATATTAGGTATAAATTGGGTGATATTGTGATATTTATTAATTATTGACGGGTTGAAATAATTCTTGGCAACGGGATTTGTTTTTTTAATTATATGATTGGTAGCTGTCATTTAGATATTTTTGTGTTCTGTGTATAAAGTAATTTGAAAAAAAATTACCAGAATGATCACAAAATATTTCATTTACTACATAAGAGGTACGATACTAGGTATAATATGGGATATTTTTTTAAATTCACGAGAAATGAATTCATGGCAACGGGATTTGTTTTTGGGTATTTGATTTGATTGGTAGCTGTCATTTAGATATTTTTGTTCTGTGAATAATGTCAATTTTAAATGACATTTTTTGTAATTTGATAATGATTTATAATAAAGAGCACAAAATATTTTATTTACAAGATAAGAGGTACTGATACTGTGTAAATATGGGATATTTTTTAAATTCACAAGTAATAAATTAATGGCAACTGGATTTGTTTTTTTAATTAAACGATTGGTAGCTGTCATTTAGATAATTTTTGTGTTCTGTGATTAATGTCAATTTTAAATGTCATTTTTTTTAAATTTGTTAAAGATTCACAATAATGGGCAAAACATATTTTATTTACAAGATAAGTTTTCTTAATATTACGCATAATTTAATTTAGCATTATTTGACATAGGAACAAAGCCTACTTCACGGTCTTACAATAACGGACACAAAATTATATTCCGATTACATCCCGGAGTACATTCAACAGATGGACAACATCGTCGAAGATACCTATAAAAAAACCAGAGGTACGAACATTTTGTACTCACATTTTTTTAATTTCCTACTAATGATAACAATTTTTGGAATTTTCTGGACCTGTTGTACGGATTTTGTGTTCCAGTGTACGTGTTCGTCGGTGAGCACATCGCTTTAATAGATTTCGTAAAATGCCTCCAGAGGAGGAAGCTGCTGGAGACCGGCGACTACGTCGTCATATCCGTAGATGACGAGATTTACGATCCGAACAGGAGGATAAAATTAATTAGAAGAGGTATTTTTTTTTATTCAATTCTACAGTAGATTGTAAACACAAGCTAAAATTTCTCATTGGCGCAGATTTATCGAATTTAATTTCGAACAATTTACGCTACAGTAGATTCGTTTTCTCTGTTTTTTTTTATGTAGGAAACCTTACGATTTGTTTCGCAAAAAATCGCGCTCTTCGACAAGAATAGGTAATAAAAAGTGCGAGCCCACAAAGAAAACGCCATTAGGAAACACTTTAAATGCCAGACATGCAACTGATAAAATACGCAGAGTACAAATCTTCGCATAATAATGTTGGCGTTGGTAGAATCGGCGAAGCGAAAACAATTTAATTGCTCCCTTAACGAGAAAAATTATATACACCTATATATTTCTTTTTCAGATTACCTGGACCCGTTTCTGCACCACGAAGGCTGGGGAAACATCACCGACGTTATGGGATTCAGGTCCGTATTGAAGTTGACTCCGTCGCATCCCAGAAATCCCAACTACAAGTACGTTATCCACATATCATTTATTACAAGATTATATTCAACCCAACGAGTGCAATTGGCAATTATCATTACCGCACCGAAAAATCACTCGAATTTTTACGTAAGGGAGCGTACCAATTGCACTCGTTCGAGCAACAATCGAATCCTAAATATTTTTTGTACTAATTTTGTAGGTATATATGCGAGCAAATTAAAGCGAACTCGGCCAGGCCGCCGTTCTGCGTGCCCTACCATCACAAAATATTCGACAGCATATCCGTAAGTCAAACAATGCTAAAGACTCGAACGAAATTTAAAAAAAATACACACCACCACGTGTACAGGTTCCCATCCAAGCGGCTTATCTCTACGACGCCGTAATGATATACGCCAGGGCGCTGACGGAAATTTTCGAAAATCACGAAGACCCTCGAAACGGCACGGCCGTCCTCAACAGGATAATCAACAGGTCCTATCACTCCATTCAAGGATACGATGTAAGCGGATAAAAAAAGAAACGCCCGATGCGAAAAGATGTTTTTATCGATCACCAAAATTTAAATTGTTGAGCTATCTGTACTTATAAGTAGATTCTAATCGAATGGAGGACCTTTCTTTTGCATGTTTCTGTTAAATAGAACCTTGTATATATTTACTAAACGGCTTGTATATTATGATTTGTGCAGGTGTTTATCGATGGTAACGGAGACGCTGAAGGTAATTTCACTGTAGTGGCTCTCCTGGACGATAAGGAAATGAACGGATCCATCAGGATGAGCATGCAGCCCGTCGGGTTTTTCCAGTACAACCAGAACGCGAGCAACAAAAAATTTTCGGCGTTGCCGGTGAGTTTTCTTTTTGTATTTTCTCGTCGCTTCGTAGAAAAAAAAAATGAGTCCATCGGATTAGTCGATTCGATTTTCTCTCACGAGGATATCGTGATACGGAGTGTCCTCTGTAAGATCGGGTATTGTATGGTGGGCTTGCATGATCCGGTGCTCGGTTCGTGTCGTATGTAGAAAGAAATTGTTTGCATAGGAATTTAAATACTTCGATTTGGAGAGGCCTATTCAATGGGTCGGTGGGAAAATGCCGCGTGCAGAGCCGAAGTGCGGGTTCTACGGGGAGAAGTGCATATACAGGATCGACTGGAAGTTGGTGGCGAGCATGATTTTGGTATCGACTATCGTTGTTGTGGGAATACTATTCGCATTAAAGTAAGTTAATATAAGCTATAGAATGTACAAAAATTAATTAGGAATGAACTATAAAGGGTGTAGGTTTGAAATCGTTGTATTGAATCAGTTTTACGGCATTTCGTTGGTGTTAAACATTGATGGAAATTCGATTATAATTGTGTGCTGAACGAAAAACTTTTTGTCTGCAACGACAAAAGCGATTTCCGTTCGGAAATCATTTGGCGGGAATATTGCGAATAATTATAAATTCCGAACAGAGAAAGTCCATTTCAATCCTTTCGCTAGTCGTCGATTCCGATGCATCGCTTTTATTGTTAATTGTTTTTTTTTCCCAATATGATTCGACGCGAAAATTTGATCGAACGAATATTAATGATTGACATGTTTTCCAGGCATTATCGCTACGAACAAAAATTGGCCTGTTTGCTGTGGAAAATCGACATGAAAGACATCACGATTATACCGATTGAAACGGCGGAAGTCGAAAGCCAAAACCTGAAAATGGCGAGTGAATTTTAACCGAATCGCCCTTACTATAATCCCCGCATTAGTCTGGGGGCTTCGCTAAAAATTTTACTATAACGCTCAATTTTACAGATAAGAGTGTGCAGACATAGCATATTCCAACCGCCTACCAGCGACAGCATCGGAGACGTTTCCGAACAACCGACGAAAAGGGCTCACACCACCATCGGTCTGTACAAGGGCAACATCGTGGCTATCAAATACCTGCACAAGCGATCCATCGACTTGTCTCGATCGATAAGAAAGGAATTGAAACAGGTAAAGGTATTGCAAGACGATGTAATACACTTAAGTTGCATATTTTCCTGTAGATTCGCGAAGCCCGTCACGAGAACTTAATACCATTTATCGGAGCTTGCGTAGATCACGGCAACGTCGCCATCGTCACCGCCTACTCCGCAAGAGGAAGTCTGGAAGACGTTCTCAAAAACAAGGATTTGAGTTTGGATACGATGTTTATATCGTCGTTGGTATCCGATATACTAAAAGTAAACTAAATCTCTCATTGTTCTCGATACACAATAAATTCCCACTATTTATAGGGAATGATTTACCTGCACGACAGCGAAATAGTGTCTCACGGCAACCTGAAATCGAGCAATTGCTTGATAGACAGCAGATGGGTGTTGCAGATATCCGATTTCGGTTTGTACGAATTCAAAGGTAAACTCCTTCTAACGTCATAACTACCCTCTACACGCTATCGCTTTTAGCTAATCAAGACGACCCGAATTGGGAGGAGAAAGAATTGAAGAGGCTCATCTACAGAGCGCCGGAACTGCTCAGGGATCATTCGCCGCCGGCGAAAGGTACCCAAAAGGGCGACGTCTATTCCTTCGCTATACTTTTGTACGAGATTATTAGTCGAGAGGGTCCTTGGGGAGCCATTGGTGTCGATCCGAGAGGTGAGTATCTTCAACGAGGCGTTATAAGTTGTATATAAGTGTGTTTTAGAAATCATTAAAAACGTTAAAGAGCAACACAGAGATGTACCGTTTAGACCGCCTTTGGAGCAATTGAGAGCCGCAGAATATATAATTAAATGCATTAAAGCCTGTTGGAACGAAGAGCCCGATCAACGACCCGATATTAGATACGTTAGAATAAAGCTCAAAGAAATGCAGGTAAATAATCTTTATAATCGCGTTGCGTACGATACGTTTAGGTACCATTTTAGGCCGGTTTGAAACCGAACATCTTCGACAACATGCTGGCCATAATGGAAAAGTACGCCTACAATTTGGAAGGATTAGTGCAAGAACGAACGAACCAGCTAACGGAAGAGAAGAAGAAAACGGACGCGCTGCTTCACAGGATGCTACCGAAGTAGATAAATCAATTTCGCGATAAACGGTTTTTTTTAATTCGATTTAATTCGTTCCAGAACCGTCGCGGATTCGTTGAAGAAAGGCGAACGAGTCGAGGCCGAGTCGTTCGAATGCGTGACCATTTATTTTAGCGACATCGTGGGATTCACCGAGATATCGGCAGTCAGCACGCCGTTGCAGGTCATCGATCTCCTCAACGATCTGTACACTTTGTTCGACTCGATCATATCGCATTACGACGTTTATAAGGTCTTTACCTAAGCGGTTTTTCAGCCACTGTGAGTTATTTATTGTCTTTTATTCTAGGTGGAAACGATAGGAGATGCGTACATGGTGGTTAGCGGATTGCCGATAAAAAACGGAGACAGACACGCCGGCGAAATCGCTTCGATGGCTTTGCATTTGTTGAGCAAAATCAAACGGTTCGACATCAAGCACAGGCAGGGCGAGGTGCTGCAACTGAGAATTGGGATACATTCGGGTTGTTTGGGTAATTTTCTGTAATGTACAAGCGTGTAAACGTACGTATTTTAAGGTCCCGTCGTGGCTGGAGTGGTGGGATTGAAAATGCCGAGGTACTGTCTTTTCGGCGATACAGTAAATACGGCGTCTAGAATGGAAAGTTCGGGCGAGGCGTTTCGAATCCACATATCTCACGCTACGTTCGTGCTGCTTCAACGCCTGGGTGGATATCATTGCGAGGAAAGAGGAGTCATACCTATCAAAGTGAGTCGAAATAATATAGTAATTTTTGTTGGATGTATAATCGATGTATTGATACCGTAGGGCAAAGGGGAGATGCGAACTTATTGGCTAACGGCCGACGATCCGGCGCAACGATTGGCGCGCATCAGGGAGGAAATAGTCGGTTCGTCGTTGTTCAACAGCATCAGCTCGGAGAGTAAGGAAAACATTTTTCTCGTTGTTTGGATATCTAAACGGGTTTAGTTTGTCGTTTGTGAAGTGCGTTTTTTTTCTGGCATTTGCAGGACTGAGTAACAAAACGCCGGATTTGTTACGGCGGACCGGGGTGTATTTGGAAAATGATTTGCACGTTTATGAAAATTGTGAATCTTGTTTGTTCCAAGCGGCCTGTCCCGTTGTTCAACTACACGAACGAGCCAGAAGGGCGTTCAATCCCGTCGAAAGTCAGGTATAAAAATCGTATATTCAAATTACTCCTAATAATAAGAGAATTATTGATAACTTTTTAGGAAACAATCGATGGTAGTTTTGATATGCTGTGTCCAGAGATGTACAGATATCACAAGACAAGGCTGAACTACGCGTGTTCGCACAGAAATCCCAGATCGGCTCCCACCGTTATATTTAAGGATAACGAGCAGTTTATTTGATCGACTAATTGTAGGTAAATATTTTATACCAATTACAACATAAATACTTGTAATTGTTGAATGAATGTTAATCAATAAAATTAACGTTTTCAAAATAATGGTTGTTGACGAAGTCACAAAACGGCATTTAACTTCTCAAGGGATATTGGGGTCTTTAGACATAATAAAGGACTCTTTAGAAATAATTAAAATATTAACTAAAAGCGGCAACAGCATATTCATTTTGTGACGCTCTTAGATGAAGTTCAAGTGAATTTGAGACGGTTACAAGATTTCGTATAAAATTACTATTTTGTACATTATATCATATAATTTTATTCAACTTAGTAAAAATAATGAATAGAGCCCTGATCCCTCACAATTATGCTTAGAGATATTTACAAAATGCATGAAAATTCTTCGTTTATACAAAAACGTGTTTATCAAAATCTCGTCGGACTAAAACTTGTTGTCTTTACAAAATATATATTCTACAAAATATGCGTATCAAAAGGTTAAGTTTCATATGTTATTAGCATTATTAATCCTTATAAAATTGATAGAGAAATTAAAAAAACTGGTACATACATAATTAAACAAAATACTTGTCATCGGGTTATAATAGAAACATACATAATAAACAGGAGGCGTAATAATGGTTAATAAAAATTTTTATAAATAAAAGCTTAACTTAATTGAATGTGTAAATTAATACACGCGGGTTTGCCAGCAAAAAACAAACACCTTGTGTTCCCAAACGAAAAGAAAAAAAAATCCAATAGCAGGCCTTAAAAAATAAATAAATGCTTCTGGCCACTTTGTAACTCATAATTGTTTAGATTAGTGTCCATTTCTAAATTAATAGAATAACATATTTATACATTTCACCCACCCACGTTTCTAAAAAAACTTTTATACTAAATCTATAACGGTATAATTTGGAAATTAAATAAACCTTAATCTAAACAAATATAAATGCGTTTGCTAAGTACTAGACAAATAATAATTATGTACAAGAAGCGATTTGCTCGGGTAAAATAAAAAAAGCGGTTAATTCGCTCGGAAATTAAAAAAAATAACCGTGATAAATTAACGGGAAACGACGAAAAAAAGCGTCTAATTAGGAGCATCGTCTCCGTCCATGGCCTCGTCTTGAGTGGTCGAATCGTCTCCCGAACCGTTTCCGCTCGTTTGAATCGATCCGCGTTTCGTCGTGCTCAGTCTCGACGAAGAAATGCCCATCGTACCTCGCCTGCAAACATCCATCAAGTCGTTTAAAAAAAAAAACCGAAAAAGAACAGAAAAAAAAATCTACCGGCTCGACGAAAGAGTCGCATGCAAATCTACCAGAGATATCGATTCTAAATAATAGTTTAATCGACATCCCCTAAAAACAGATTCTTTCGCGAGTCGAGTATAAGCCACACAAATTAATAAAAAAAAACATCCATGCGGAATTCGAGTAAGTTTTCTTCGAGTGAGGAAAGATAAAATAATTACGATTAAACGCAAGCAAAAAAATAATCTCAAACGTTAGTGGGGACTGATATTTCGGACATTTTTTGGGGGCAAAGTCCAACTCACTTGGCCTCGATAACAACCCCCCATAATTTCTTAATCGTTTCCGGCAAACTCCCTTGTATTTTTTCGTTCGTCGTAAATGCGGGAGCCGCAGTGATCTGAGCCAAGCTGAATCACATAAGCATTTTATACAGGGTGTTTTCGTCGCCCCGTATCAACCGCTTACTCTTCAGCTCAAAACGGCGCCAATTGAGCTCAAGAGTAGCTAGTTAAGTTAAAGTAAAATGAATAGTTTTATTCTAAAAATAAAACGAACACGTAGACGGCGATGGTTTTATTAATGAATAAAAATCGAATTGGATCGAAAGAATAATGTTTCGGATTAATCACAGTTGCGACGGCCTGCGGCTAATTAAGTTATCAAGCTAATGAGTTTATATGGAAACGTGAGTGTATTTTATTTTTATCCTGCGGCAAACACATTGTTTTTGTATTCCATTTAATCACATACCGAAAATCATTTCGACGCCGGTCAGTTCATCAGGCTAGAAAGTAATTTCAAATTGTAGTTGGGACGTTTCAACTAAATCACGTAGAAAATTGACAAAATTTTGAAATTTTTCAAGATAATTATTTAAACACCAACCAGTCGATGTATACAAACTAAGGTAGGATAGCGGGAACGAGTATAGAAGATTGGTAAAAGATAATTAATTAGAGCTGAAACGGTTTATTCGAGTTATAAAACCGATTATTTGCTAAATTGATCTTGTACAAGGTGTTTAATCGGCCAATGTACAAACTATATGGAATTGTAATTTCCCAAACAACATGTTTATACATTCACCAATAAAACAAACAATTCTGAAGTTACTAGTGAACACTACTCGTCGACGAAGTGAGCGAAATCTCTCGTAATTATAATAAAAGAACAGCAACACCTTCGTATACAATTTGTGTATTTTACAAATCAATCAAACGACTACGAGTAGAATTTAGAATAGACTTTTCACAGTGCCCAAAAAAAAAAACCACGGATTTGTCAACTTTCCATAGCGCCCGATTATAATAACCACCAGAAAAATAACCTAGACCTTTTTCCGCAATTTTACGCACCTTAATTTGCTCTTAAGATTATTAATTTCCCTGGTCATCGATTCGTGCGACTCGAGCATATCCTCGCACTCGCGCTGCGCCTTCCGCTTCTGCGCCTTCTCCCGCGTCACCTCCTCCTCGGCCTCGTCCAATTGCCGCTTCAGCATCTTGACGCGCCCGTTCGCCTTCTCCACCTGCTCCTTGTACTGGTCGGCGTGCCGGCGCTCGTCGTCCACCTGCATCACCAACTCCTTGATCTTCTTCTCCAATTTGCGGTTGTTCTTCTGCTGCACCAGCCGCTCCTTGGCCTCCACCTGTGAGACACCATACAAATAAACATCACGTTAATCAAGTTGTATTATAAACGTACGTCGAGTTGCTCTTCGAAATTGGATATTTTGCTTTCCAAAGCGGCGATGTGCGCTTTGGTCTTCGTCCTTTGGGCCGTCTCCAGTTCGGCCAGTTTCGCTTTGAGCTCCTTGTTTTGCCGTTCGAGCAACAGCTTCTGCGATTCCTGTTTCTGGGCGGCCGATCGTTCGCTCGACACTTCGGCGGTGAGTTGCTCGATGGTAAGTTGCGCCTTTCTCACCCTGTCCTGTAATATTTCGTTGTTGTTCTGCTCCTCTTCGATCTCCTCCTCCAACGTCGCTATTCTCGTTTCCAACCTGCGCTTCTCGTCGACGAGGGCGCTACCTGTAAATACAAAAATTACTCGTAATTAGATGATTGGGCGATTGTAGTAGTAGTGCGAACGTTACCTTTACTAATACTGTTGTTAATTTCCTCTAATAGTTCTTCGCGTTCGGCCTCTGCCGTACGCCTCGATTTCTCCGAATTGGCGAGATCTTCGGTGAGCTGCAACACCTCCGCCTCGAGCGTTTTCACCTTCCGCTCGGCCTCCTTGCTGGCGGCGGCGTATTCGTCGCGCGCCGCCCGGCTCTCCTCGGCGTCCCTGACGGCCTCCTTGCACTGTTGCTGCGACTTCTTCAGCTGCTTGAGCGCGTCCTCTTTGACCTTGCAGTGCAACTCGATCTGGCCCTCCAGCTCCTTCACGTCGCCCTCCATCTTCTTCTTGGCGCTGACGGCGGCGGCGCGCTGCTTGCGCTCCTCGTCCAGCTCGGCCTCGAGGTCGCGCAGCTGCTTGACGATGCCGCGCCGCTTCTCTTCGGCCTGCTCCTCCTTCAGCTGGACGTCGCGCTCGAATTGGGCGCGCAACGCCTGCATGTTCACTTCCAGGCGGAGCTTGGCGTCCTCGGTGAGCTGGAGCTCGTCCTCGAGCTCCTCGTTTTGCGCCTTGAGCTCGGTGAGTTGGCTCTCGAGCGAGCGCTTCGCCTTTTCGAGCTCGTGCACGTTCTTGTCGGCGGTGCCTTGGTTGTTCACCAGCTCGTCGAGCTCGCCCTGCAGCTGCCGTCTCGTCCGCTCCAATTCCTCGATTTTCACGTTCGAATCGTCGAGCTCACGCTTCAGCGACAACACGAGCGTCTCCTTGTCTCTGGCCTCTTTCTCCACCACGTCCTTCTCGGCGGCGAGTTGCTCGCTGATCGCCTTCTCTTCGGCCAGTATCTTATCGAAGTTCTTCTGCTTCTTCTCCAATTCCGATACCTTTTGCCTTTGCGTTTCCAAATCGATGTTGGCGTCTTCCAATTCGGCGGCAATCTTCTTTTTGCTCCTCTCCAATTTATCGTTGGCGGCCGTCAATTCTTCGACTTGCCTTTGTAGCAACTCCAAATCCTTGGCGAGCTTCTTTTTGCTCTCTTCGAGTATGGCCGATTGTTCGGCCTCGTCGTCGGCCTTCTTCTTCGCCTCGGCCAATTGGGCGACGAGCAGGTTGACCTGCTTCTCCATGTTCTTCTTCGCCTCCTCCTCCTCTTCCATTTGCTCTTGCAGCGCCTCCTTGTCGGATTCCAATTGGCGCAGCTTCGAGCTGAGGGCGAGCTTCTGCTTGGTCTCTTCTTCGAGCGCCTGTTGCGCGTCGGCGTATTGCGACTCGATGGTCGCCTGGTTTTTGGCCGCCGCTGAAGCTCTACAAGATTAACGTGAATTCGTAAATAAAATAGATATAAATTTGGTTTCGATGTATTTACTTGAGTTCGGTGGCTTCTAATTGTTGGACGACGTTCTCCAGTTCCTGTTGCAGCTTCACCGTCTTCTCCTGCAATTCGACCTTCGATCGATCGACTTCGATGAGTTTGGCGGAGAATTCCGCTAGTTGACTTTCGGCTTGTTTGCGTCGCCTTTCGCCTAGAAAAATCGCGAGATAATTACCTAATTAAAGCTACAAAAAAAAAGGTGATGTACCTTCTTGTCTGCTGGCGCCGACGTTCCTCAGCTCGCTGGTCAGATCGGCGTTCTCGGCCTCGAGGCTCTGCTTGGCCTTCTCGAGGTTCGCCCGGGCCTTCTTCAGGTTCTCGAGTTGCTCGTTGAGCGAGGCGAGCTCCTGCGAGTGCTTGTGCCGCATGTCGGCCAGCGACACCTCGTGCGTGCTCGCCTCCTCTTCGAGCGACTTCTTCAGCGCCGCCAGTTCCTGTTCGCGCTTCGAGCGCAACTCCTGCTGGGCGGCGGTGGTGTCGAGCGAGTCGAGCAGCTCGTTCTTGAGCGCCTCGAGCTCCTCGTTGAGGTCGCGCTTCATCTTTTCCGCTTTGCTGCGGGCCGCCTTCTCGGCCTCGAGGTCCTCCTGCAGCTCGGCGAGCTGGCTCTCGAGCTCCCGGAGGGCTTTCTGGGCGAGCGCCTTCTGGGCGCCCTCTTCGTCGACTTTCACCATGGCCTGGGCGAGTTCCTCTTCGCGCTTGCCCAGGTGCAGTTGGAGCTCCTCGATTTGGACGCGTTTCTCGTTGATTTGCTCTTTGAGATCGTTGACTTCGGTTTCGATTTTTCGCTTCGAACGATCGGTTTCTTGCCGCTGTTGGTGGTCTTTGAGCAAACGCTCCTCCAATTCGGCGATGGTGGTTTCGTGTTTCGTTTTCAATTTCGTCAGGTGCTTGGCCTTTTCTTCCTCTTCGGCTAGGGCTTGGCTCAAATCGTTGCTTCGTTCTTCGAAGACCTTCTTCTCCTTCTGGAGTTTCTGGTTGATGTCGTCGCTGAGGGCGAGGTCCTCTTCGAGTTTCTTGATCTTATTGTCGCACTGGACTTTTTCCAGTTGGAGTTTCTGCCTGGCCGCCTCCTCTTCTTCCAGTTGCTCTTCCAAATCCTGTATGGTGAGTTGCAGTTTCTTCTTGTCGGTGTTGAGCGTCGTGTTGCGTTCCTCTTCTTCTTCGATCCTCGCTTCGAGATCGTGCAAAATTTCTTCTAATTCTTGCTTGCGAGCGGTCAGTCTGGCCCGCATCTCCTCGGCTTCGGCGCACAATTCGACCTCGGCTTGCAGCTGTTCCTGTATCATGGTCTTCTCCTCTTGCGCTTGCTGGTACTTCTTCTGGTATTCCTCGGACGTTTTAATTTGAAAATCCAATTTATCTTTCACCTGCTTGAGCTCGTCCTCCTTCTGCATGAGCTTCTCCTCTTGCTTGGTCACCTCCAGCAGCGGTTTGACTTTGGTGTACAATCGCCACCATTGCCAGTTCCTGAGCTTCAAATACGCCGAGCAATTCCTCTGGATGATGCGTATGGCGTTGAGCTGTTGCACCCGCTTCTGGTAGTTCCTCCTCGACAGGAATCCCCTGCAGAAGGCCTGGAAGTTGACGATCAAATCGGTGATTTTGTAGTCTCGCTCCTCTTCGAGGTGCGCCAGCACGCCCGCCCTGAAGAAGATCTTCGACTGTCCGACGCGGTACAGGTTCTTGTCCAATTCGAGCGACTTGATCATCGCCTCGCAGGCCTTCTTGCCGTCCATGAAGCCCTTGTTGATGACGTTCGGCGTGAGCAGCTCGTAGCGCTGCCGGAACTCCTGGAACGGTATGCGATTGGGGAAGCCCTGCCTGCAGATGCGGATGCCCTCCAACACGCCGTTGCAGCGCAGCTGGTCCAACACCAGCGGCGCGTCGATCTTGCCGGCCCGTTTGTCGTGGTTCGGGATGATGCAGCGCACGAAGTTCGGATTGGTGTTGCGCAACGTCACCATCAAATTGGCCAGTTGGTCTTTGTAGAGGTACGACACGGTGCGGAACATGCCCTTGGCCCTGCCCAGGCTCTCGGCGTCCTTCCAAATGTGCACGACGAACGGATCTTGCGAGGCTTGCAGCAGCGAGACGACGTTCTCGTTCTGCGGATCCATGTTCTTCATCAGCCACTGGTTGGCGCAGTAATCGACCTTGCCGGCGTAGTGGATGATGGAGAAGTCGGCGACGCCGCGGAAGTCGCTCTTCTTGAATTTCGGATGCACCGAATGGGCCGTCACCAATTTCTCCACAAACGTTTTATCGGTGGCTTTGGGGAACAGACATTCTTCGTCTAACAGAGCCATAATGCCCATCGGTTTGTCGATCAAATCGATCGTCGGTTGTAAATCCAAACCGAAATCGATAAACTTCCATTCGATGCCCTCCCTTTGGTACTCCTCCTGCTCCAAAATGAACATCGTGTGATTGAACAGCTGCTGTAACTTTTCGTTCGTGTAATTTATACACAACTGCTCGAAGGAATTCAAATCGAATATCTCGAAACCGGCTATATCGAGTATACCTATGAAGCTAGCGCCCTGTCGTTTAGTCCTACCCAACGATCGATTGATCCTGGTGACGAGCCATTTGAACATTCGCTCGTAACAAGCCTTCGAGACCGCCTCCACGGCGAACTCGACCTGCTCCTTGGTCTGGCTCTTGGTGACGAAGTCGCGGCCGACCTTGATGCGCGGCTTGAGGAAGGCGCGCGTCATGTCGGTGACCGACAGGCCGAGCAGATGGGCGATCTTCTGGGCGACGGTGTTGTCGGGCAACGTCGCCTGGTCGGAGTTGCGGTCCTGCTTGAACTCCATCTTGCCGAAGAGCATGACGGCGGAGACGACGCGAAAGATGGCGGCGAAGTCCTCGTTCGTCATGCCCATGATGTGCATGCTCTTGACGGTGCCCTGGAACTCCTGGGCGTCGTCGACGCCGGGCACGATGTGATTGTCCTCGCGCAGGAAGCTGTAGGAGCGCAGGTCCTCCAGGATGAACTCCTCTGAAACGCGATTAAGAAATTAGTTTATGTGAAGAGTAGATTGTAGGTAGAGTGAAGTTATACTTCTTTGAGCTTCCGAAGCGCCGGCTAGGAGTTGGTAGAATATGTGGAAGGTTCGTTCGAATTTCGCTTGTCGAATGGCACGGGATTTTTCCAATAAATACGTTTCTATGTTGGCGCCTGCGATGTAACCGGACGCGTCGAAATTGATCCTGATAAATTTCCCCTAAAAAAAATCGAATTTAAGAATATTTCGATGGAAAAAACGAACAAGTACTTACGAATCTTGACGAATTGTCATTTTTTATGGTTTTGGCGTTACCGAATGCTTCGAGGATCGGATTGGCTTGCAGCAGTTGTTGTTCTAATCCACCCTGAATCGCAAAAAAAATATCTAATTTAATCTCTCTTCGATAGCAATCGAATAAAAAGCACACAAAAGTTAGAAAAATCAGATATTTACTTTCGACTTTAACTGAAACTAAATATCCTATTAATTCGATTTCGAAATGTAGCAAACATATAAAAAAATAATGGTTAAACGAATAAAATAATTAACGTTGAATTGGGAGGATAAAAAAAACAAAGTAAGGGAATTAAATGTGCACGAGGTGAGCTTAGTTTTTCAATTGTGTTAAAGAAAATGGGAAACCATGCGACGACGGTGCATGTGTGTGATATTTATAGCGAATTTCCAAAAAAAAAGAAAACAAAATAAACTAAAAACGTCAAGTTTACATACCGAGAATTCTCTCGTAGGGCTCTGGCATTGACAGCATGTAAATTAAGGAAAAATAAAGCTGAGATGTTTGAATTTGTACGTAAATATTAAATAGTATAAAAAAGAATTTCCAGCGAATTCTACTGTGCATAACTAACAGAATAAGCGAAAAATAACCTAATGTGTAATATTTTTATACAGTCGACTACCTAATAATTTTTTTTTAACAATAAGCATTTTAGGGAGCAAATGATACATTCGGCCAATAAATATTCGTATAAACTTCCAATTTCCATAAATATATACAAATTTTTACGAAAATTATAAATTATAAATAAATATAAAAAATACCGAGTACTTACGATAAGATCTTTCTGCTGTACATTCCCCACAAACAACGAGACCATGCAAAGAAAATACAAATTTTAATTCGACAATCACCATAAAATCCATATGAATAAATAATATACAGATCGTGTTCGCTAATTTAATATATTTTTAGCGACTGTAAAAGTGCATTTATCCGAATCCTAGCCAAAGAGGCGAGAATAAGATAAATAAAAATCACCAACTATCGAAGCCTATCTATAATAGACCTATCCTTGATTGCTGTGTTTCCGCCATTTAATGACAGCTGACAGAACGTCAAATTGACAAGCAACAATAGGCCTACTACAATCGAACATCGACGCTTCGTACATGCAACAATTTGATTGGTCGTGTAATGTAATATGTACAGTATCGATCGAAAAATTCGACTCACCGCTCCGGATCCCTTGGGCGATTTGGAGGCGGCTACGTAAGCCAGATACTGTATAACTTTCTTGGTGTTCTCGGTTTTACCGGCTCCGGATTCTCCCGTACAAAGAATCGATTGATCTTCTCTTTCTGCGAAAAATAAATTCAATTAAGTTAATTAAAAATTCGAGGCCCATTGGGGGGGCGGCTAATTACCTTGGAGCATAGACCGATAGGCGGTGTCCGTGATGGCGAATACGTGAGGCGGCACCTCGTGCCTCTTTATCCCTTTATACCTCTCCATGATTTTTTCCGTATAAATTGGTAGCTTCTTGTAAGGATTCACGACGACGCAGAAGAGGCCCGAGTAAGTCTATAGAAAAATGAATAAATAGGTATTTTAAAACCCGCTGCGTTAGTTTTATCCAAGGGAAACCGTAGAAGAGACTCCCCAAATTGTTTAATCGATTACAAAAAAATATATAGATACGGACCGATTAGAATAGCTAGATATAATGCCTGCGCAACATCTTTCTTGCGAATAAATTGACAAAACCAAAGAACTTATAACATTTCATAAATAACTATTACATAATAGAGTTTATAAAAAATAAATGGATATTTTAAAACCCGCTGCTTTAGTTTTATCCAAGTGAAACCATAAAAGAAACTCCCCAAATTATTGGTCCGAGATACAGACCGATTAGAATAGCTAGAGATACCGTCTGCGCAACATCTTCTCGACTCTCTGAATAAACTGACAAAACCAGGAATTAGCGATTCGTAAGAATTACATAAATTTATAAAAATTCCATCATCGCAGACTCGGTGACGGGATTAGTATTAGTACCAGCAATAAATCCATAAATTCTCGCCAATTTTCGACCGACAGCCGTCAATCATAGCTCGAATGATATTTTCTAATGCACATAAATTAAAGCGATATTTTAATGGTTCCAACATCCAACACCACGGCCCATTTAACATTTATTTTCGTCCGTCAATTAAATCTCAAACGACCGATTTATTAACGGCGTTAATAAAATTTATTGGTGGAGAGAAAAAAAAATCGGTCCCGTTAACTCGGACTGTAAGATAAAGCGTATTTTTTCTTCTCTCTCGCATTAATTTCATTAAAAGCGGAATAATAAGGTCGTGTGTTTGCAAACAATATCGCATGTAGGATTGTATTATGGGCAATTAATGAGCAGTTTTCCCATTTTCAATTCGCTTTTGTGTAGGTATTTTATAAGGATAATGAAACGAAAATACCAACGATTTATGTTCGAAATAATTTATTGTGTAGTTTATTCGAGATTGTATAATACATGTAATTGTGTAGAAACCAACGTAGTCAAGTCGTATGAGATTATTTTGAAAATCTGTAGATCTATTGAAACATCGGAATATCCGGCAACGTTGTTACAAACGATTTTCTTCAATGGAAGTAAGAAAATGAATCGTTTCGAAACCGTTCGAGTTTTTTTTTGCGAAGTCTCGGAGTAATTTAACAACTTTTATGGTAATTCGATTAAGTAATGTCGCAATGTATTTGCGCACCTTTATTGGAATGTTGCGCCGCTATGCCGGCGAGAGTTTCGATCCGCTATTTTTCGCGTTCAGAATTCCGAAAAGAATTTATTCAAAATCTATTTTTCGAAAAACGAACCGTCTGTCGCTAAGTACGTCGTTAACCACCAAATTCGAAATCCATTTATTTCCAATTCGATATTACCGGTAATTACGCAGAAAACTTTCTAAAATCCATTATTCTAGTAATTTAGATTAGAGTCGTCGAACCAGAATCGGCCCCCGTCGACGCCTTCTGCATACGTCCGATTCATCGGCCAGCAGATGGATCGGAGATGGTTTTTTTTTCCGAATGCCACAAACCAAACGAGATTAATCTCATGTAAAGTGCTGCTAAAATCGTCCAACAGCCCTGGCCCGATGACCCGTTTACGATCGGTCCCTATATGGACTAAACGCAATCACCGCGCCAAATTACCGACGAACAAAAGTCACCGAAGGTGACTCACTTTTTCTAGTCGAGCGCAATGAATTTTCGAGTGTTAAAAGTACTTAAACTTTTTATCGGTTTAGCAATATGGGATTGTAAAAGCGCCGTATTTGGCTCGATTAATTCTCCCAAAACGATCATCTTCTAGAAATCTTGTAGTTAATAAGATATTACTTGCTTTTAATTCATACCTCGCAGACTTGCGAGATGTTAATTAAACGCGCGCTGAATGCGAATATGAATTTATATTTACATCGGAAACTATTTCCCTACGATTCTAAATTTAGTGGCGGCTAATCCGAGACCTCGTTCGCTTTGCTGGGGTTCTCTTTTCCTCAAACGACACATTGGTTGACCGGTAATGACTAAAAATTGCGAAAATTTCATAAAAATATTCAATTATGAAGCGTTGGATTATCGAAGTCCTCCACGAAGAGTTCTGAACCGTCCAGAAAGTGTTCTAAACTGCTCCGAACTGTTCCGAATAGTCCTGAAGCGTTCTAAATCGTTTAACTAACCAACAACTCGTCGATTTGCTCTTGTTTGATTTATACCGCATGTCCCAGAAAACTTTGAGACGCCCGGTATGGTTCTCATTACAGAGACCTTCCTCCGTGTACTATTCGGTACCGTATATGGTACTAAAACGTCCGGCCAGTTCGCCTCGGCTCTCGTCATTTCGCTATGGCATTTTCGAAATCGTTCGATTCGATTTTACCCAAACATTTCATTACATTTAATCGACGATACGGTTAATAAAATTCATTTCGAATGAGCCCAAAGTGCGAAATCTCGAAAATATTTTGCATTCTGTTTACGAGGATATCGACGGACGGTATTGGTCGGGGGCTTTTTTTATTGGATTCGCGGCGATTTGGTTGAGAAATGAGATAAGATAGGATTCAGGTGGTTTCGAGTTATTAATAGTGTTATCGAATGGATTTTAATCGAGTGCGAATTTGATGAAAACCGCGCTGTCGAGTTTATAGTAAAATTGAAGAATGTTGGAGCTTTGACATTTAAAAAAAATGTACATTATTCTCGCCGGAAGAAAGTCGCTCTCGCGTGAAAGAATGTTAATTCTGCTTCTATTATTTAGTTATTTTTTTTTTGTAGAAATACTAGAAATGCTCCGGCATGCTTGTATGTTAAATATTTCGTTTTAATCCACCCGGTATACGATAAAAATGCGAATGAAATTGGTAAAATCAATAAACACGAAAGGCAACGATATCATCATTTTTATAAGTCTTTATCGGGTATTTAACGTAGATATAAAGTTTATTTGAATTGTAACATTTAATCAAACTTCCAGCATGTCGAAATATTTACTCGTACGAACACAAAGAAAGCTACAAGCCCGTCAGATTTTCACCAATTTTTTCACCAATTTCCCATCAATTAGTTCGATTTTCCAACGTATTTTTCCATCGAAAATTTCATTCGAATTACGCCGAAAACTCGCCCGAAAAAATACCGAATAACTTCGTTATACAGAGCGTTAATTTTCAATTCGAAATTTTCAATTCATCAGGATTTTTGTTGCATAATAAAATATTCAGTCTTTATTGGAGAAATGATTTTCACATTCAATTAAGGGTGCAGTAATTTGCTAATAATGCAGTTTTTTAATCCAATTATATAATTATTTCAGTACTTAAAAAACGCCTTTAAATAGAGATTGTTTTCCGAGTATAATCGTTTAATTTATCGGGGCAGTAATGTACGGGGGAGAGGCGATATGTTCCAAAAATTCGTCAAAAACTCCAGCATGTTGTCAGCGCCAACTAACACCCGATTCAGCAAAAAGTGCAACGTGCATACGACTCGATTGGCGTGTTTTTTTTTATTATAATGCATCGCTAAACGTTTAAGGACGAAAAAAAGCAGCGAAATTTCAATCTAGGCCGCGGCAAATGCGCGCACTCAGCCCATTCCGAAGGCACACATGCTCCGAAACCCGCCAACTGCCGCTTTATTTATCTATTGTGTCACTATACGATAAAGTGATTCATAACGAATATATTCGATTCGAAGGAACGAAAGAAAAAAAAAATAACGTCCAAGTAAGTGAAATCGTAAGGTCAATATAACGACTAGCGTCGAGGTTGGTGTTCACCCCGAGCGCCGCGCTCGCCGGACGTTAGCCCGTCGGATTTTTTCCTCCGAAAGGTATTAGTAAGAAAGTTTCTACAAAGAGAGGAAAATCGAATCACCGTCGAAAAATTCCAAAAGGTTGAGTATCACGTTCGCAGTTTATTGAACAATGATTAGTCACAAAATTCGAAACGTCTGTTTAAAACAAACAATGGTATTGTCGGCGATAAATTTAATTTTTTAAAACCGCCTGGTCCAAGGAAAATGATTTGAACCAAATAATGGATAATTGGCTCGCTTCGATTCCACGCAAATAATATACCGGTTGTCCCAATTACGAATATCGTCTCGTCTCGAGAAAAAAAAAGAAATAAACGAGATTCGAATCGGACAGCGGCCCGACTGGTAAAAAAAATACCTTACCTAGTACTTCGACTTTGTTCTTTCTTTTTTTTTACGTTTCGAGACCTTATAAAACGGTTATTTAACCGTTTCTCCGCCACAGTCTCTATCGCTCTCGTTCCGACGACGCTCAGGGTCATTGCCACACCCCGCCCCCGCCCGACCAAATATTATATACCGATTATATCGAAAAATATCTCGCAATTCGGACTATTTTTATGCAATTATTAACTAGATAATCTCGAGGATTTGATCAAAAAATTTTGTGGGACATACTGTATAAAAAAAACTATGAATATGTTTGTATCAAGAGGGATGTATAGCATCGTTTATACAAGATGTCCCACAAGCATTATTAGTTCTATTACATGGTAATTTTTTATTCTAACGACGTTTGAATTTGGTAAATTTTTATGTGTGTAAATACTTTCGTTGAATAAATTCACACAATATCGGTGCGTTATCTGGTTAAAACTCTCGTTTTTAGACAAACTATGATGTCATGTTCTTGGAAATCCGCGCTGTTAGGATATCCTGGGTGAGTAAAATCGTAAAGTAAACCGCACGAAAAATAAAAAAGGTACGCAAGTAATGTCGTTTTTTTTTGAGAGAAATATAAACGCAAACCGGATCGTTTATAACAAATTGTTTCGAGAACACAAGTGGAAATGGCAGGACTCGTTTTATTCAACGGGCGAAATTCCGGCGGGTATTATTAACAATTTTAAATGTCGTGAAATATTCCTCGGACACCTGTTTTAAATAACAATGCGTTTTTCGAATTCTACCGAATTTTTACAACAAAAATCGTGACTCGAACCGGCTTCGCTTTTATTTCGCATTCTGCACGTGATTTATTCGCAATCGGTATAACAAACATACAAAATGACCTACATAATACATGAGGGTATTTGGTATACAAAAAAATATTTACAATTCTGCCAGTGAGTTACACTGAGCAGAAAAATCCCAACTTTGATTTTTATTTTTACATACCAATAAGTAAATGTTAAGGAATATATTCGTTATGGGTAAAAAACTTCATATATGAAGGGCAAGGAAACAATTGTCTGTTTCTGCTTAGAAAAATTATTGAGAAATAAACATTTTTAATAATAATTACTCAACTAATATACGACCATTTCGAAACTCCTCGATAGAAATAAAAAGTTAAAAGTACCTTATCTTAATTCACCTAATTGCGATATTAATCAATTCATGAGTATGAAATTACAAAGTAACCGTTTCGAAAAAAATAAGATTAAACGAATAAAAACATATTCAAACACAGCATGATTCATCTGAAAATCCAGTTACCGAATGTCTGGTTAAATCAATAATCTAAGTAGTTGTTTGCACAACTCTTCCTTACACTTATCTAATTAAATGTAGGCAAAATACCTACACAGGTAGAGGCCAAAAGATCCAAATCGAATAGACTATCTAGGTTCGAAATATCAGTATACTATCATAGTCATTAGCTTGTTACGATTAATTTCCAGATAATTCTGTTTACACCGAGCTAATTACTCGACTGTTATCGTAGCTCAGAATCTAGCCTTCGTTAAGGTAAAGTAGCCAATAGACTGATATTGAATTAATATAGTTGTACGAGATTAATATACTAAACTATTACATTTGATATAGCTATTCATAGATCGGTAGAGAGGCAATTGACTTTGGAGTGTTTAATCGAGTACTCTGTGAGTAATGTAGAATATTTAGTAATGTATAATTCGGAGGTAACTGTTTTGAGCAATCGATTAACCAATTTCGATGTGTAATATGATATGAAGAAAAAAATCAGATTTTATGATTTACTCAGATCATATCGAAATAAATATGGTATGGGGAATTTTAGATAAAAGTAAAGTGTAAGGGATGGGAGTAATAATAAAGAATGTGCGAAACTCACGTATATAAGTCCAGAATAATATCTGTCTTTGAGATTGTGCAGGACACAGGCCTCGTTCAAGCAGGTGAGCTCGGCCATGTCCTCGACCTTGTCGAATTTCGGCGGATTCATCTTTTGTATGTCGTCCTTGGGCACGGTCATCCTCTTGCTGGTCTCCTGGACCTCCACCTCGACCTCGTCGCCCTTCTCGCCCTTGATGCTCGCCGCGACGAAGCCCTGGCTCTCGTGCGGCACCCACACCAGCCTCTTTTGCGTCCATTCCGCCTGTGTGGCCGGATCGTTGTAGTTGTTCCTGTCCACGTAAAGGAATTTCAGTTCCGGATCGAAGCGGTCCTTCGCGTCGCCGTCGGCCATGGCTCTACGCCTTCTAGATCCCGGATCTCTCTCGCAAACGACACGCGACGGGCGACGGGTGAAAATGTGCCGACAGAAAATTCAACTTGTCCCTCCGCCACAACAAAACCACGGGGGAACAACAACAACAACAAAAAAAGAAGAAGAAGAAATAAACAACCGACGATCACAAAGGAAATCACATCTACCGCCGACTGGATTTTCGCGTGTCGAATTTTCCTAAATTGCACTGCGGCCGCGCGATCGAATGACAAATGATCGGTTTACGCCACGAAAACGACTTTTTATTATTATTATTTCACTTTTTATCCTTAGGACCGGTTTATCGCTTTAGTAATGTTACCGTTCTCGCCAACTGTATGTATGTGACAGTTTGGATTGGTTGACGTTGGCTGTAAACACTCCGAGTAGAGGGCGCCACTGTCGAGCGACGTTGCCGGCTCTTACTCTCACCTCTACCCAAACGGTTTTTCTTTCATTCGACCACGCCTATTCAAAGTCATTCGTGTTTTCCACATTTTCCTCCTCAAACACAAAATAACTTATATTCCTAATAATCAGTCATTTCCTACTTTTATTCTACATCTAACATTAATTCAAGTATTTATTATATGCGTAATGAATAAATATAAAATACTAAACTCGAATTAATCCCGGCAAATAAGTCGATGATGTCATGCCGATTACGAAACGTATACAAAATAAAGCCGGCATTAATTTAATTACCAAATTTTATGCTAATTTAAATCCGAACTGAGTAGTTAGGCAACACCTTATACGTCTCACGGTCCGCCATATTGCCAATTCGATGAGATTTCGATAGTTTTGCCGCGTTTTATTTAAACCTAGTCCGAAACTAAAAGTAGCACGTTAGCAATGGAAAAGTCGTTACGCGTTTTACCATTTAAGGCGACCAGTCGGATCTTTATTGTAGTTTTTAAATCACACGTGCACCAAATACGGTCGCGCTATATTGAAATAGTTTAATAATAAACGCGACAGATGTTTAGATTTCCCTCGTTAGGTCGAATCGAAATAGGAAATTAACATGTAATTCGAGTAAATAGCTGTGTTATTAGGCGTTAGAAATGATTATTACATGACTTACTCGGCGTCTACCAAATAGGCGAGCCTCTTTGCTATGGGATTCGAGGGGACCAAAGCGGCATTGGGCTTGGATTTCTGCTCTAAACTTTCGAGAATTTTTGAAACTTTGACAAGTGAAACGTCATCCATACCGAAAATTTTTCTAAATGTCAAAAAATGACAGGAAACGGTTTTATTTGGCGTTTACAAGCTGACCAACTTAAAAAAAGTCACTACATGTTGGTAACATATAAATATCGATTTAAATAAAAGAAATATAATACCCCAATTTATCGATCAAACATCAACATACTCTCGGCAATGCAGTCGTGCGTTTAGAAAAAAAAATGCCCGGATCAAAGGGATCCACTCGCCTTCTTCGATGTTTTGGAATTCGCAAATTATCCAGAAATGGCTGCCCGCGGACGTGTCGCAGCGCAAGGAATTGTTCGACGACTGCAAACTGCTAAATTCCACCTGCGAATCGCTCGCAGACCGACTAGAAGCCCTATCTAATCAGTTGAGGAGCAAACCCGGCTCGAAATTCAACCCGTTGATACACGAGAACGATCTTCAACTTACCGTAAGCTTATTTTCCACCTTTCTTGCCCTACGGTATTTTACGTTGATCTAGTATGCGCAAGAATTCGAATATATTATGTCAATTTTGACAACTTGTCATTATTGACAGTTATAGTAAAGATAGCCTTTTTGATCATCGTTTAAGGTTTCTTGCGTTTTCTTAATTTCTCTGTAAATTTTTGTTTTCAAATGGTGTTTTTAAAAGGTTTATCTTGGTTAAATGTAACAACAACTACTTAAATATTTAATTCCGACATTTATAATTACAAATTGTCATTATTGACAGCTAGCAGTGGCAGCCATTTTGATCTTTAATCATGTTCAATTAACCTGCAGGATATTGAAGATGTAACGGTCACTTTGGAATCGATAGCCAAGACTTATGCAAACCTAATGCTGGAGCTGTCCGAGGCGTCGTCGGGCGCCCGGACGCTGCACAAGGAGAAGCTCAAAATGTGGAAGACCGTCCTGCGCAAGGCGGAATCGAAGCTGATCTACTTCGTCCAAGAGATAATCGGCGAAATAACGCACCTGTTCATCTACTACGGCGAATTCCTGCTGACGCGCACTTTGCGCGTATCGCTGAGCTACAACGCTCTGCTGGACGTCGACAAGAAACACGACGCCTCGAACGACAACAGCATCTGCAAGAACACCTGCCCCTACCTGATCTTCCCCGTGAGGAAGGTCTCGGCGACGCGGCTGCTGCGCATCGTCGCCCACAAGCGAGCCGAGCTCTGCTGCCACAAACTCATCGACTGCCTGCTCGACGCCTACAAAACCTGCGAAAACTCCGACGACGACGACGGCTCCGACAATTCCAGCCTCGAGATTTACGCGTAAGCCAATCACGCCAAAGCTCGAACCCTTCGTCGAACATTTCTAACGTTCCAGCACGCTCACCAAGCACCTCAACGTGCCGGAGACGACGCGCGCGCGCCGCGACGCCCCGCCCGCCGGCGACGTCGCCGACGGCTTCGCCAGCCTCGAGGAGTTGATCTTCTACGAGGAGAAGAACCTGCTAGATCTGCTCGATGTCGCCGTAAAAACGGCGCCCGCGTTGCTCGGAGAAGACGGCGTCGTGAGCACCGGCGAGCCGCGCGTTCGCCCCGAGGCGCTCGACAAGCTGCTGGAGTTCTACGAGCAGGTGCTCTGGAGCGAAGTGGGCAACTTCCTGGAGCACACGGTGCTGTGGTGGTCGTCGTCGCCGTTGGCCGCCAGGCCACCGCACTCCAGCCAGCACCTCAGGGAGTGGCTCGTCAGGTTCATACCAACAGGTGCTCTATAGAAGTAGCTCTGGTGTATATTTATAATATCGTTTTATCCAGCTGATGTTTCTCCTGTGGTGCTGTCGGCTCTGGCTAGTCTAGCGGACGCTTTAGGCGTACACGTGACGTCTACTTCTTGGGACCAAAGGTTCAGGTTGGCTTTGGTAGCTGCAGGGACGACGGGCAACAGAGAAACCGGCGGATTGTTCGCAGAAGTTTTGCAGGACCTCGTGATGCTGTGCAACCAATGCGAATCGACGCCCGAATGGATCGTGGGCGCTCCCCTCGACGAGCTGCCCTTGGTGGAGCAAATACCCGTGCTACACAGATTAGGTATTTATCGGCTGGAGGATAAACTTGCGCTTTATGTGGGTTTGTGTAGATCATTCGGTGCACACGGCTCGGCTGTGGGCGATCAACGAGTGCAAGAAAATCGTGAACGGCTGGAACGTCAGCGGGTTCTTCGCCGTGATCCACGAGGATACGGTGAATTGCGTCGATCAGTTGAACGGGTTGAGATTGGCCGATCATTCGGCGGAGATCGAGAAGAAGGGGATCAGCGTGCACGTGGAGGTGTGCGCGCTGATGCGGGCGAAATTGGTATCGGAGGTCAAAGCGAACTTCGACAAATTGAAAGTGAGCGTTTCCGGTGGATTTACGGGGAGTTTACGTAATCGTGTTGCAGGAAGCGCACAAGGAGTGCGTGGACGGTTTGGCGAGCGTCTGCAGGACGATATGCTTGGCGAATTTGCAGATGATTTTCCCGCGTAACGCCGTTTGGAAGAAAACCGAAGCGCTCGCCAACGAAACGCCTAGTCCTTTCGTAGACGAATATTTAAGTAAAATAATAAACCAACAACCCAAACCGAAATTTATACAACTCCTCTTTCCAGATCAAATCATCGTGCCGGTACTGAAGTCGACCGAAGACTACGCCATCACCAACATGATACTGACGCTGTTGTGCGAATCCTGGCTGGATCACATTTACGTGAACAGGATCAAATTCAGTCGCTCGGGCGCCTGTCAATTGCTCTGCGACTTCGGCTACGTGTCGACTTGGTTAACGCAGTACGAGATCAAGGAGTCGATGAGGAAGAAGCTGCTGAAGAACGAGGCGCTGAAGCGGTGCGAAGGAGTCGGCAGGTTGCTGTTGAGGAGGCCCGGCGAGAAGATCAAAATGACCGATAAGAATAAGAACGTTCAAGCAAAACGTGAAATTTTTGTTTTGTAGGATATTTGAGTGGTTTTTTTTGATGATTTAATGTTGCAGGCGTTGAAGATTCTTCGGATGAAGACGGAAAAGGGGAATTGATGCCGGCGGAAATGTACGTACCGAATCAGGAGCAGTGGTTAGAGTTGAGAGCGATCAAAAAGAAAACTTCCTTTCCAATGCCTATATGTTGCGGGGAACCATAATTTTATTTAAATCGTTGAATAAAGATTCTGCAAGGACAATTTCTAATTATTCGTCGTTTGATTAACTCACTCCTTTTGACATTTGTATCACAGAACATTATATTTATATAAACTTTTCATACATAAGTATAAACTAAATTACATGTTTCTAAAAATGAGATTAGCATTTATTCGTAACGTCAGATCAGAAAAATTCGTGCCACATATCATACGATAGTCAAAATCGTACAAAAAAAAAATACTGAATAGAGCCACCAATTCAAACAACAACAACAATAATAATAATCCCTTTCCTGTTAGGCACTTTTTTTATTCAATAAATCATTACGCGTTACGGTCCAACCGTTGCAAGAACCTCCTGGGCAGCCCTAAATCGATCAATTCGCTAGCATCGAGCTTGTGCAACCGAGGGCTGTAGTGCAACACGGCCTCCCAGCTGATCTCGCTCAATTTCGGTATGCACAGCCACGTCGAATACACGTCGTTGCTCCGTCTCACGTCCTCGTCGACGCTGTAGTTGCCCCCGAACACGTACAGCTTGCCCTCCGGCGTCGCCGCCGTCGCGTGAAAGTACGTCGGCTGCGGCAATTTGCACAAACTGAAGTACGTCCATTGGTACGTCACCAGGTCCAGTCGCCACAGATCGTTGAAGATGTCCTCGCCGTCGTGGCCGCCCGTGATGAACAACTGCACGCTCGACGTGCTCGTTATTTGAACGGCCCCGTGGCAACGTCGGGGTTCCGGATAACCTGCAAAATAAATTTACGCACGTCACGGTCGAGTATGCACCGCTGAAAGTTGGTCGACTAGACACATCCAATAGCTGTCGCTCAAACGTCAATGTTAATGTCATTTTGACGTTTGGTGTAAAGGTGAGACGGTCTTACATACAGGTCCGGTAACTTGGCGATTTTGTGGTACTGGATGTGTTGCGCTGACTGCGATTTTGCGTTAAGGATTCATGAGGAATCCACTTGGACAACAGTAACTGATACTAGCGCCCTCTGTCGTGAGTCACATCATCCGCAACACCACCTCCAGAGTTTCCTGACCTGTTATATACGACCGTGACTAATCAAATAGCTGTCACAAAAACTTCAATGTCAATTGGATTTTGACGTTTGACGTAAAGATGGGAACAAATAGTATCGAGGTGGTGTAGCTTATGTTACAAAGTAACTGTTGTTTAATAACGAAGAAATCACCTCTGGTAACGTCTCTGATAGTTTTCTGTTTCAACCAAACGTTTTTTTCTATATCGAACGCAGGTATGTATTGGAAACCGTAGGCTTCTTCGGTAGTGCCGCCTCCTAAGACGTAAATGTACCGTCCGTCAAAGCCTACTTCGTGCCTGTAGCGACCTTTGGGCTCGTAGTCGCCCAATCCGTTGCACAAATACACGATTTCCCAATTGAGGGTTTTCATGTTTAATCTGGAAACGAAGGAAATAAATCACTCGGAAACGAACAGGACTGTAAGTGAATTGTACCTGTGAATATCACATGTGTAAGACAAACCGGTGGTACCACCGATTGTATATAAATAGTCGTTATGAAAAATGAGGGCTTGGCCGTATAAAGGTAGAGGGAGCTGTCCTGTTGTGTTCACTTCTGTCATTATGTTGGACTCATCGTTGATTTTGCAAACGTAGAGTTGATTGCTACATCTCATCCCGAAGGGGGAACCTGTACCGCCGTACACCTAAAACGAATAAAATTCTCATTACATGCATGAAAAAGAGTTAGACAAGCTCTACTAATTCAGGAATAATTTAAATTTATTTGCTTTCACTACTGGGTAATAAGTAAATAATGTAATCGCTTAAAAATTCAGATGTGGTTACTTATTTTGCATAATTGCTTAATTTCGCCGAAATTCGTGTATACAGGGCGATTTATAATATAAAATAAATTTTTAATGTTTATATTGCTTTATACGACAAGGTGAAAAAAATTTAGCACAAGTTCATTGCATGACAGCGACATTTGAAGAAATTACCTTGAAAATAATTTCATAACTCGAAGTATTTAAACACTAAACTTGAAAAACACAAAAATTATAAAGTAAATGCCTACTTGACTGTTAAAAATATTACAACCATTTATTGAGAAGTTGGCTGTGGATTACTCGAAGAACAAAGACATTAGACATATCAAACTTAATAAGGCCTAAATTTTCACACGTAATCTTACACAAGAATATACCATCAAAATATTCCCGTGCAAAACGAGCGCGTTGGACGCCAACTCCTTGGGCAAGGTCTCGCTGTTCCTGAACTTGGTCCATTTCCTGGACGCGAAATTGAACTTCCACAATTCCTGGAACAGCGGATAGGACTGCACCCAGAAATCGTCCTCATCGTTCTCGTCCTCGTCGTCCCTAACCACCGGATTGTAGCCCCCGAACGAATAGAAATTGGACAAATCGGCGCCTATTCGATGGCCGCTTCGCGGAAACGGACACTTCGAGTTGGAGTCCTCGCTGGGGTGCACCTTTTCGTAGCGAAAGGCCCTAAAGGCGTACGGGGGCGTCGCGGCGTCGCCCCTCTTAGCACTGCTGCACATTTTTATAACGAACACCAACAACTGTCCTAGCAATTGCAGAATTTCTGATACGCATTTGGAAAACATTCATGATCGTTCGCGCTGGTACGAGCTCTAGCAGCAAATGACATTTTCGATTGTGTACACCAGCAACGATTCGAATTGCACAATGAAATTTCGCTGAAGGTTAACGAGATTCCATTAATTCATTCCATTATTCGTTTATATTGGATTAGATATACAAATAACGTAACCTATTTTTTGGACAAAATATCGCAAATTTCCAAACGTCAAAATTGTCAAACTTTCGCTAAACGAAACGTGATTGGTCGATTTATTGTTCATCCTTTTTTTACTCACGTCTATTATCAAGCGATTTCTTTCTACTAGTGTTGCCAACTAGAGAAAATAAAAAACACTAAATAGTTTTTGACGTTTCTTAAAAAACAACAAACTTTAACCTCTAAATTTAGCAATTCCTCAGAAAATTGCACCAAACAACAAACAAACCCGCAACAATGAGATGACAAAATGTGGTACAGCGCGTTTATCCGTTTCATACGACGCAGGATAATACTGGGCTTCATATTCCTGCTGTCGTTCAGCTACTGCGGCCTCAGCTACCTGAAGAACGCTGGCCTGTTCAACGGCAACGACGACGAGGTGGCGGCGATCAAGCGCACCCAGCCGTTCGTGTGGCGCAGCCTGCAGCAGCACAACGCCAGCGACGACGACGGCTGCCGCAACTCGGTGCAGGGCAAGCTGTTGATCGCCGACGACAGGGGCTACCTGTGCCCGAGGGCGGAGCTGCTGCGCAACGGCTGCTGCAACAGCCTGGGGCCCGGCGTCGCGCAGTACGACTGCGACACGTGCCGGCCGAACAACTGTTGCACGATATACGAGCACTGCATCTCGTGCTGTCTGCAGCCCGACAAGAAGGAGGTGCTCGAGAGCGTGCTGGGCAGGGCGTCCGAGCAGAACAACGTGCTGATCGCTTCAGTGGCGGATCACTTCGAGCTGTGCCTGGCCAAGTGCAGGACCAGCTCGCAGAGCGTAAGGCACGAGAACTCGTACAGGGATCCCGAGGCGAAGCACTGCTTCGGGGACGTGGCTGCTGTGAACGTCGATGGCGAAGTGTGATAAATGTGATATACAGAGCGTTTCGTTTTGTTATTGTATTGATCTTTGTCACTGCATAATCTATCAGTTCGATATACAAAAATTTCTGGGTGGTAACAATAAATTATTCGAACATGTGATATTTGACTGTAGGCTCGAGTAGATAAAGGCACTTTAATATCCAAAATAATATTTGATTATGCATTATTTAAATGTTTCGAAAAATTAATGAGTACATTGTTATTTTATAATGATGATATGGTATCTAAAAGACAGAGAATCGAAAAATTATTATTATATTAAACCAATTCAAGCAGTGGCGTAGATTGTCGTTTTTTTTTAATATCTTCGAAACAGAAAACAGTGATTTGGGTTAAATATCGTGCCCAGTAATGAAACACTCTCTATATTTCCGTATTAAATTGATATTAGCGTTATGATTATTTTAACATATATTATTTATAATAGCAAAATTGGTTTGTAAATTATTTTATTTGGAAATATCTATTTCGATTGATGCCTGTGTAGAATTTGTACGAATGTTTATTTTTTATTTTGGTTTTATTAAAGATTTTAAACAATTATTTTGTTCGCATTAAAAGGTACTTAAATACCAAAAATTAGGAGTATTTAAATTGTTACATTAAATTTCCATCGATACAAGTATATTAATACATTAAAAACCCATTTTACTTATTGTCTAATTCTAATTGCTGCTAGAATTATTTCGAAAGTTTTTTTTGCACAAAGCGGACCTTTACCTATCAGCACACGTCCAAAGTTTATTACTCAATTTTCGTTATAAAACAATTACGAATCGTCCCCAAAAGCGCGAAAACCGACTAAAACCGGCACCGCCGCGATGTTTTGTTTCTTAATTTTTACCAGCAAAAAAAATCCCAAAATTATCTGTTTTGATTATTGTAGCAGCAGATAAGATACGCGCGTTATTATGTGGAATTTCGAAGAAGGCGACGAATAATTCGCATTTAATTCGGACAGTCGAGAACCGGGTGAAAATTTCCTCTGCTAACGACGTTCTAATAGCACTCGAAGCGATTAAAGTTCTGCCGTCTTTCGGCGATGTGCCATTAAAAATTATGCACTCGGGATGATCTTGTTGTGATATCGAATTTCCTGCGAGACATGTGCTGAATCCGCGATTGAATAGTGGTAAAACAACTATAAAAACTAATAAGGGAATAGTGACAATTATTGATAAGCTTCGCCTTCGGTCGGTCGTGTTTCCAAACCAATATTGTGTTTTTATTGCGGCTAAAGTAAGTAGAAACCGTGGAAAACAAATCCTTTAAATCATCATTTAATTAGCAATAAGAATTGTATTATGTGTATTAATAAATTCGATTTCTTGCCGAGGTAGATAAAAAGGTAAAAAACTATATTTTTTTCTACCGTTCTGTATAGAAAAAATACGATTATACACATTTCTTAATGTTATCTTCTGTTTCTAACTGATAATGAGGCTTATTAAAAGTGTATTCTGTTCGTTATTCACCGCATAGCGGTTCCATTTAATCGAAATTCGGGAATATTTACAGAAAATGAGCCCCAACCCGCACTCGAGGAACGGCCTCAGGGAGAACGGATATGGAAAAATAGCCGGAGATAAAGTGTAAGTAACCGCAATCTGCTTAATTATTACGAAGTCAAGGCGGGTTCAAATCAAATGGTAGATAAAATGTCGAGTTACATATTAATTTCATCCCAAAAGGATCCTATACTCGCTAAAAGTCAAAGACCTTATAGAGCATTTTTGGGGATTCCCAGAAGGGGTTATTGATTTTATTTCAATTTTTTAATAATTCGATTACGCATCATTCTGAAATTCGATTTCAGGAAACCAAAGAATCACGCTTTCAAGGAAAAACAGTTCCAAATTCGGAATTCCCCGTTGACCGATTTATGCGATAACGTACCCACAGTTGCGACAGTTCAAAGTATATTCGGCTCTACCATAATCTTCCTGTTTACCAGCATCATATTGAAGGATTACATGGAATTTGGGGAGTAAGTGTACTTACAGATCGACAGGAATAGCCCGAGACATGACCGCGCGTTGTCTGCAGCTATTCTTGCCGCAGTGTAAGTTTATTGCATAATTTGGGTTATTGCTCTTTTTAGGATCACTCTAGGTATATATCTAATTCGAGCTGCTTTTAAGAAACTCCACATAGTCGCTGCGATATGGATTTGTTATCTAATGGTGACTTTCTCGGTGTTCTATATTTTTAGAATTTGGGCGGCCGGTCGGCTCAAAATGGTCGCTAAACGTGGGTATTTTTTTCATTATACTTCTTCTTTCGTGCATGTCAAAAAAACGGACTCGACTTTTTAATCTATTTGGTTCAATTTATCTTATGATCAGAGGTATTTAAAAAAAAACGTTTATTGGTGTAAAACTCAAGTACTACTTGGAAAAGAACATTATCGTCTTACTAGCGAGTTGATGGCATTGTGTCTAATGGATTCTTACGCAATATCGCTTTGTATCACCCGTCCTTATTCCTTCGACTCGATAAATATTTTAATGGGCATCTCGCCTATCGACTAATCGCACAACAACATTGCACTCAAAATCGAGTACAAGTGTACTTGTAAACAACATAATGCATTTAATCAGGGTCGCTGCGATTGTACATCGATAAAAGATAAGGAAATTATGGAGGGTCATAAGGGGTTGTGTAGAACCTTTGCTTGAACCACTTTGATTATTTTTCGGCGACCTCTAATATTTCTTAATAGATTTAAATAATAATCGATGAAGCTGTTGTCGATAACTGTGGGTCTTCGGTTTTAGGGAATTTGATCAAAATTTGGGACAGATCGTGGATGGCGGCGCTACTAATTTTCTACATAGCAGCGTTCCGAACCAGTTCAATTCTAGTCGTCTATTTCGAACTACCAATGGCATCATCAGCAATCGTAACGCTCGAACAGGTACTCCAATTCGCCCTAAATTTAACCCACTTTAGAGCTTTGAACCTCGCAGATCCGGCTCGTGATGAAAATACACGCCTTCGTCAGGTACAATGCTGAAAAAATGTCCGGATATAAGCCCCACAGCGAGCGCGAAGCCCCGCGCCCCGCCTTCGCCCAGTACCTCTACTTCCTGTTCGCGCCCGTGATGCTCTACCGGCCCGAGTACCCGCGCACGGAGCGCGTGCGCTGGGACTTCGCGGCTGCGCGCGCCGCCGAAGTGGCCGGCGTCGTCGTCTACCAGTGCTTCCTCTTCCACCGGTTCATCCTGCCCTCGTACAAGGACTTCGGCCGGCGCAAGTACACGTGGGCGGAGGCGGCGGCGCCGGCCGTCGCCGAGAACTCGGTGCCGGCGCTGCTCGTCCTGCTGGCCGGGTTCTACGTGACGCTGCACTCGGTGCAGAACCTGTTCGCCGAGGTGCTGCGCTTCGGCGACCGCGAGTTCTACAGGGACTGGTGGACGAGCGTCTCGCTGGCGGAGTACTTCAGGACGTGGAACATCGTGGTGCAGGATTGGCTGTACGCGCACGTGTACTGGGACGCGTACCGGCTGAGCGGCAGCAAGACGGCGGGGAAGTTGAGCGTGTTTCTGGTGTCGGTGGTGGTGCACGAGTGGGCGATGACTTACATCTTCGGGTTCTTCTATCCGGCGCTGTCGTACTCGTTCGTGTTGGGGGCCATGCTGAGCTTCGTGAACGTGCCCAAGTTCAGGTTTAGCAATCTGTTCTTCTGGTACGTGATGACCTTCGGTACGGGGCTGACTTGCAGCTTGTACACGTTGGAGTATTTCGCTCGGGTGAACCAACCCGAGGAGGAGGTGAGCTCTTGGTGGTACTACTTCGTGCCCAGGTGGTACACGTGCGATTGTATCGTTTGATTTCGAAGCTAATAAAGTTGTTACATGTTGGCGTTGTGTTATTTCTAAACGCGAAAATTGAATGTTAATTTTATTAAGTATGCTAATAATATTACATTAATCGGTTTAATAAATGTAGCAGCTATAGGATACCTAATGATTAAACGATTTTTTTTCGTAACACTAAACAATTTCCCTGAAGAATTATTACGTGAAAAATTAAAACGTATCAACAGCCTTGAGAAAACTTTGTATGTTAGTAACAAAATTTATGAATTTCGTAATTTTTCGTTAGAAAATTCGAGTTTGTATAAAAAATTACGAATCAAAGTGTGTGAAAATGTCAATTTTTATACTTCACTGGCGAATATTTAAGTAGCAACTAATTACTAAATACATTAATTAAATAAAACGAATCTATAATTAAAACTATAATTAGTGTCACTAAATTAAAAATTCACCATTACTCTAAATACAATCAAATCCTCCTTGTGATATTACTAGGGATGATTTTTCGATAAAAAAATCAAACAAATAAAAAATGACAATTTCAATGTATGTATACAGATTAATTCATTCTAGTTTGCAATATAGGTTATATAGACTATGGGTGCGATAAAGACAACTTCCATTAGACACTTATAAAAGAAAAAGAAAGTGTGTCATTGCTACACGTCACTCTAACAACTGTCATCTGTCATTTTAATAATCTTTCTTTGTTTAACTCGTAGAAATGACCGTATTGCAAACTGAAATGAACCAAGGTGTGGAATTCCAACAAAAATTTGTTTCTCACTATCAAAAGTACTTTTGTTTTTGAATCGATCATGTTCAAATCAAAGTATCACTACAGTCTTGTATTATTCAAAGGCACGTAACTATTTTTCAAATATTCATCGAACAAAAACCTTTTCTTTCGTCGAATATACTCCCGCTCGGTTATTTGTAAAGCATAATAAATTTTAGGTACATTTTTCATATTGTAAAAGACTCCATCAATTTGACTAGATTTTTCGTTTTGTATAAAAAACTATTACTGTAAACTGAAAATGTTTGGTATATTTTTTTTGTTGGAATAAAAGCTACAACCACAAATAACAAAAATATAAATTTAAAAAAGTAGAAAAAAAAGGTACTGTAGGTTTTACGTCCAACGGAAAACGATTAATTAATGTAAATTGATAAAAAAATATATATCACAAACCTAGCCGTGCGCGCGCAGACGATTAATTATTACCAATCTTACAGCTAACTTATATAAAAAGCATTTCACGATTGAATTTGCATTAATTCAATCAAACTCGAGAAACTTAGGATCTCTAGATCACATTAGTCTGTTTTTTGACAGGTTGACAGAAATGACATTTACGATTAAAAAATATTCGGTATTATTTTCCAATTTATTTGGAATATTTTTGGCAGTAGAATAAATAATTTTCAACAACTTACAATTCTTAATAACATCTTCATAAAAAACTCGATATGATACATTTATTTCTAGAACAAATGTCATTTCTGTCACTTGTCAAATTTTCGCGATCTAGTGACCCGAAAAAAAAAAACTAAGTACCTATCTTCGTTTCGCGCTGAATTCCAAACAAAAATCCGTATATAAAAATTCGCTATGCGAAAATATCCCCGAAAAAATCGAGAAATGAACACCTTTATTGCGGATGGACGTACTCAGTTTAACGCTTCGCGGGCCTTAATGGAAATTATCCCGACAAAAGGCTTCTACCAGCTTCGGAACGCCCAAATCCAGACCGGACACATCCAGAACGTTCGGAGAACCATCAGCCACGTCCAAGTGCGGGGAAGACAAACAGAAATTAACGAGCCTACGGAAATATCCAATCAATTATCTATTACCAACGCAATCTATGAGTTGAACAAAGTAAGAATATTATAACAGTGGTTAGGGTGAGAAAGTTGTAATTAACCCACAATAACACTATTTCTTTCTTTACTAATGTACTTTGTTGCACCCATAGAGTGTATTTGAATCTATCGTTTCGTACTTTGCGTTCGGCTCTTTGAGCTTCTGCTTGTACTTCTGGAAGGCTTCCATTGGCTTGGCGATTTTCTCTCTCGCTCCTTCCGGCGCGCCTGCGCAATATTCGTTGTGATGGACGAAGTTGAGGAACACGTCGAAGTGCTTTTTATTTGTAAGAGCCCATTCGAACGGCGCCGCGAGATGTAAATACTTGCTTTTCTTCTCTCTCAATTTCCCGATGTGCTCCTTCAATTGACCCTCTGCGAAGCGATACAGCGTGATTGGTAGTTTAATTGTTTATTCTAAAACTTACTTCTTTCGAGAGGGACTAGGGAAATTTCTTTCTCTTTGAATACAGCCACCGTAACGGACTGTTCGACGCGCAGGAGGTACCAAGCGAAGGCGGCCGCTGCTTCTATACCAGTGATGGTTTTGTTGCTCAAACAAGGCGCGTCCATCTTGTCCGTGGTATCGATGGTTATCAAGTACCTTTTACCGATGGGTCTGACGTTTTTGCAGGATATGCTCATGCATTTCAGCAGGTTGCCCAGCAGTATTTGGCATTTGACTTCGTTCGCGGTTTTCAGCTTGGCGATTTCCTCGTCGGGTAGTTTCTTTTCTTCGATCAAGTGCGCCAGCAACTTCACGTCTAACGGTCTGGAATAAATTGGTTAATAATGGTAAGTCGATGGTTCGAGCGACTCACTTTCCGCCTTTCTCGAAGTTCTTCATGTGTATGAAAACTTCCATCGGATGGACGTTGCTGCTTTTGATAGTATCGGAATTGGTTAACAATTCGGCGATTTTCGATTGGATCGGCGAATCTTTCTTCAAGAAGCCCAGCTTGTACAGTTTGGGCATGCTGTTGAGGACATCGGCCAGCGACATGTTCGAAAGCGCCGCGTTCCAAACCTGAAATACATTTATAGAGTATGTTTAAATAGAGCATACTTTCGGTATTACTTCGGCGGATTTTTTTAATTTGGGCTCCACTTGGTGTATCGTAGCTTTCAATTCTTCGATGAGAGGTACGGCTATTTTGAGATCGGAGGTTTTCCTGAGGGTATCGGACTTTCGCATGACTTCTATTAGTTTCTTCGCTTCGTCGTCGTTATTGTCGACTATTTTGTTGGTTAAAATGTAGTTCACAACTGCGTTGTAAGCTGAAATGTCTACGTTAATAAAAATTCGATAAATCGTGGAAATTTACTTGTAGATTCGGATTTTAGATGGCACAATTTTATCAGATCCTTGTGCGACCATCCGTGACAGCTTTTACTGGCAGCGTAAAGTTGAGCTAATTCCGTTGAGCTTTTCTTCTTGTAGAATGCGGTGATAGTTTTTCTGACGCTCTTCGATATTTTGGCTTGCGTGTGGAACTTAGTAGAATACATGATGAAATCAAACAGTTCTTTATCGCTTTTTATTAAACCCAAAACGCTTCTACTAACGGCGTTTTTGCATTTCGCATCTCCGCTAATAACCGCACCGTACGCCAAAGTATGGTAGATTATCGAACGGTACGGTATTAAAGGATCCGAATTAACTGACTGCATAACTCCGATTAGTTCCTCGTGATTTTCCTTCATCATCTCCTGCAGTAGTTCGAATCTTTGTTTGCATACTCTTACGTACTTGTCCGGGCCACCGCAGTAATACTTTGGGTTTACGTTGCACACGTAAATGAGACGTTTCAGTTTCTCTTCGTTAGTGAGCTTTGAAGCTGCCATTTCTGCAAAGAATTTAATCCGAATGAAACGATGAAGTCATAGCTCTTATTAGAAGAGCACAGGATTTTTCGAATATAAACTATAAATTTACTCCGCTATAAAGATTTAACAGTAAGTACACTTATTAAGCGGTTGTTTCGCTTGTTTTTCGTAAACTGTTGACGAATATTAAGTTTAAATCAGTCGTATTTACTTACTTTCTTTGCGAACTTGTACTTTTTAATTTTGTTTTGCTTTGACGTTTAAATTAAATCGACCATTGACAGATTTGACGTGTGTCAACGTCACAAATGTGTCGAACGAACTACTGGCAACGTCAAATTTGGTGACCAACAAACGAACAAACGGAACGAACCGGCGCGAAATCGCCCGAACACGAGCCGAATTTACGAACGTACATTCACTTTTTCCGGCGCAATCCGCCATTAATCATCATTGTTATTCATAAGGTGTAGTGTTAGTGTTTTTCTTGGCAGATCCATTGGAAGTGACAAAAGTATCGCTTAACAGTAAGTTAATTCCTTTCCGAATATCAATTACGCGGTATTGGACGAGCGGTGTGCCGCGGACGTTTAAAAAATTTGTGGTATTTCGTTTATCTACCCAACGGTGAAAATATTTTTACCGTACCGGTTCGTTATTATTGTTATTTAACCTGTTTAAGTTGTTTCTTAAAAAATTTGTACAAGTTTTCTGCACGTAAAATTAGATTCATTGAAAATTTATGATTGATTGAGGTGTTGTTTTATTAAATAAGTCATGTTTAAGTATAAAAATGCAGTTATTATCAAGTATAATAAACAGTATTTACTGCGTAAAAATGTTATTTCGTTAGGTAAATAAACAAATTAAAGAAATGATAAAAATGTGTAAAAATCAATTTTTGCAATTGTCACTGTCAAGGTGACATAATGCTAATTTATGAATGAAATGGTACATTATAATCCAATTGAATTTATCAAACCGGATCTTTTTACTTGCAAATTCCGAAGAATAAGGAAGCTTAAAAAAAAGGGTCTTTAATTGTATAAAGATAGGGCAGATGTTCTTTAGAAACCAGCTGCCTTTGTTGGAGTAGTTCAAATGGCACTAGGGCTACCACAACGAGTATTTTAACGTTACATGGATTACAATTCTACCTTATTTTATAGTATTTGAAGTCAGTTATAGCCTATATAATAAATATTCCAGATAAGTAATTATTATTGCGTGTTTTAGGAACTTCGAATGGATCAACCAAACATGACACTAATGCATCCTCCACCGATCCAACCTCCCATGCAATCCGGCATGGGGGTGGGCCATCCGAGGCGCGGCAACCGCGCCAAGGGCCACAACCTCGACGGCGGCATCCCCAAGAGGATGTCCTTGAACGAGGAGGCGAAGCTGGTGAGTGCCGCCCCGCCCCCACCAAAAAATGTTCCTCGCCCATCATTAACCCCCCGCCCGATTTCACAGCTCTATTCGCAGGAGATGAGCAGCGTGCCGTCGAAGACGCCGGTCAGCGTGCTGCAGGAGTTGCTCAGCCGCCGCGGCATCACGCCCAAGTACGAGCTGGTCCAAATCGAGGGGGCCATCCACGAGCCGATCTTCCGCTATCGCGTGTTCCTCAACAACGATTTGGTCGCCACCGGCACGGGTCGCTCGAAGAAGGACGCCAAGCACACGGCCGCCAAGAACCTGTTGGATTTGATGATCGGCAAAATCAGCAGCGAGCAGGCCAATCAGGCCAACGGCACGCCCGGCGCGGCTGATATGTAACGAGCGATACGATTTACTTTCTAGCAGGTTTTTAGAATTGTGCGTTTGTTTTAGAACTAATCAGGTGGTGTCGCCGTACGACGATAAAGTGATGGGGAATCCCATCGGTTGGTTGCAGGAGATGTGCATGTCGAGGCGCTGGCCGCCTCCGTCCTACGAAATGGAGCACGAGGAAGGGTTGCCTCACGAAAGGCAATTCACCATCGCTTGTCAGGTACACGTTTCGATAGTCTACGCTCGATTGACTGTTGAAAGACTGTACATACTTAGAGATCTGTCGGTTTGTAGGTGTTGAAGTTCCGCGAAATCGGCACGGGGAAGTCGAAGAAATTGGCCAAACGAATGGCGGCGCATAAGATGTGGCAATCTTTGCAGGATTTACCGTTGGAAGGTAACAGCATACCATCGGCGTTTGGGAGCGACGAAGACGTACGTTGAATTTATTAATCGAGCTTGTTTGAGTTGTTGAGAATGCGATGGTGCTAGGGTAATTTTACTGCCTTTCAGTAGTCTATAAATATTCATTTGATATTGATGCACAATTGAAATGACAGGCATTCGATGGACGAATGTAGTTTCTTTGCGGAAGAAAGTGAAAATTATCTTAGCATCTTGGGTATCATTTCAATTTTGCTGGTCTAAAAATTTGCGTTTTTAGTTGGCCAGTAAACTCGGCAACATTCAAAGCCGTTACAGCGGACTGAAAGACACTAAAATTACGAAATTGGGCAATCAGCAATCACATAAAGTATCGCAGTTCCATAAAGGTTTAAAAAATTCCTCTGGCAAAAAGTTGGCAGAGCTGCAGGTATAAGCTGCATTTATCGCATAGAATTAGACAGGGAAGCGACTCGCCTATAATGGAGTCGATTCCCTATTATATTTACGCTAAATAACAATGTACATTGTATTGTAGAGCGTGGTAATGAACGCGAAGGACTTCAACTTCGTTCAATTCCTGCACGAGATCGCCACGGAGCAGGGATTCGAAGTGACGTACGTGGACATCGAGGAGAAATCGCTGAGCGGCCGCCATCAGTGTTTGGTGCAATTGTCCACGTTGCCGGTGGCCGTTTGTTGCGGAGTGGGCAAGAGCCCCAAGGAGGCGAAGGCGTCGGCCGCCCATCACGCCCTCGAGTACCTGAAGATCATGACCAAGAAATGAACGCGGACCGGTGAAGCTGCTGTGGAAGAGGCCTCGAATTTTTGCACGTAACATTCACGCGGACCGTCGATCGTACGAATCATTTTTGTTTGTTTGAATTTATCCATATAAAGAAAAAATTGCAATTCGAGGTCGGTTGTTTCTGTCGCGGTCGAAAGGGCGTTGGCGGCGCGTTGTATAAGCTTTCTTCTCTTGGTAATAATTTTTACACGACTCGTTTCTAACTTAACGAGGGTTTAGTTTGTTATATTTTTGTTTTTCGTTTGATTTGTTATTCGTAACAAGTTTAAGGTATTCGCTTTTGGTCGCTTTTCACGTGAACAAACATTGCAATAATAACCTAAAGAAATGGCAATAATACATATTGAATTAGCTTCTGTAATCGATACATATTTATTTGTAATTAAGGCGAAATAGTTTCTAATTGAGTAAATTTTTTCCATTGAGTTTCTGTACGTGAAGGGTGACCAAGAGCCTGCAAAGAGAAGGATAGCGCATAATTTTACAAGCTATACTTTGCATAGAATTAGTGGTTTTTTTCGAAAAGTATTTATTTTGTTTGTAAAATTTATAAGCTCTTGGTATGCGTATTGGATGTGCGTGCGGATTTACATTGCACAGTTTAAATCTACTAATATTCTATGATGTGTACGGGCTAACGCGAGAGAAACGTTAGTAATATTAGTAAATTACCAGATATTAACTGGAATTCGAGCTTTATTTTTTTAATTAATTACACTTCTGGCGTAAACAAAATGTAACTTTGGTTACGTTTGTAGATGTTAGGATGGCATTTTTAATGGCGCTCCAATCAGTTTGGGGCCCGTTCGTTAATATCTGGGCTTATTAAATATTTAAACGGTGGTTATTATCGTATCAAGTAGATAGTTTATAGAGTTAATACATTATTATTAGGCACTAGTTCTTTATTATAATCATGAAATATAAGGTAATGTATATTGAATGTATTTTATAATAGTGCCCCGATAATATGATATGTATTTATTGTATTGTGAAAAGGGAGCATTTATTTAATGCAAAGTATAGAGGTTGTACCCAAACTTTTTTTTTAACGGTAATACACCCAGATAAAAATAACAAATAAACGTACCTAATCAATTCCATCGATATACTCTTACGTTATTGAAAATATTTGTACATTTCTTTGATGGGTTGTTATCACGTAATTAACATATATGTCAATAGAAATTTTTTAGACACAAACCGTCAATATAGCATGCTATTGTCGTCAGATTGTCTAAAGATCCCCAGCAGAATAGTTTCGTTTTATTTAGTACATAGTTTGTGATTTATATTGATGTGTATGCTAATTAATATAACTTTATGCTTACATATTTTGGCGTTATTTTAGGGACGCTAAGAGCCCTAAAAACCCCACCACGTTGTTTCCTAATATTTCTCCATCCCATATGACTCCTGTGGTCAATTCTGAGTTAAATAAAGAAAGATTATAAAAAAACAGTGATTAGAGTGAGAATAATAGTTTCTCTACTATCAGTTCCATGCTTTTTCTGGGGTATAATTTCTACTTTTATGTTCTGTCGATGACGTAACCCCCTGTCAACGTCAAAAAAATTATTGATTTACTTTATTGAATTTAAACAAAATCTCTATTTAAATTGCACTGTTAGTACCGCAAAACCTACATAAATCGGTAATGTTAGTTAAAAATGTTTGAATGATTGTAAATAAATTTAATAGAATCCTTCGAAACGTCAGCGCTGGTATCTGCGAGGTCCGCCAGGTGGCGTGGCGTTCCAAAACCCGGAACGAAATTCAACATCTTGAACAACAAACGAATCAACAGGCTGATACGAGAGCCCCGACGACTTACGCGGCTCATTCTGAATCGGTTCGCGTCGAGCGCAGTGCAGCGGAGCGCCTCGAAGGAGCGACGACTTTTTCCGTGACTGAAAACTCATCCGAATCGAATTCGACGGTGCGACTTCGCGATTTGATCGGCCCATTTTGCACACCGCCGTGAAGTTCGCCGCGAAAGACGTTCGTCTTGGCCGGGCGCCGATTTTCCGCGAGAGACATTCCCGAAAAATAAAAAATCAAAATCGTCCGGTCGGGTTCGCGTCAGTGCTGTCGAGTAAAATAAAAGTTTTTTTATCGCTTCACAAACACACGGAGTTAAAAATAACTTTACATTCGTAGTGATCACGTGAATGTAATATACACAAAGGATAGTTAAAAGTTAAATCGTCATTGGTTTGGTAAATTTTTAAGTGCCGACCCGAATTCTGCGAGTACCTTGCGTTTTCGAAATACATGGTAAGTTATCGCTCCCATCCGCATTTCGACCGGAAAAAGTGCGTAAATTTCGAATACGCGCAGCTTTTCTTAAGTCACCAACAAGACAGGACCGTCTTCAGCATCTCATCTTGAGCGCAAAAAATCCAGGACCGTCTTAAGCGTCATTTCTTAAGACAGAATCGTATTCAATTTTACGTGCTCAGTACAGAAGTTTCTACACTTGCATGTCAAAAGATTAAAGCTATTTAAACTTATCTGTACAAGCATAATAAAATTCATAATCCCTTTTATTAATGATGGAAATTTCACCATATGAGAAAATATTTTATACAATTCAACGTACAGTTCAATGTTTTTTTGGGGGTTTCATTAATTATTTTCTCCGCTTTTGAGAGTAATTTTGGGCCACATCGTAATTAATTGCGTTCTAAAATGCCCCACGTGCCTGTTATTCGTGCCTATCGACGATTTCGTTCCACTTATGTAAACGTATTTTAAAATCAGTAAACATTTTGAAAGTGCGGATATCCGATTTTAATCGAAATTTTCACATATACACAAACAGATAAAAACAATTAGTAGGCGGGTACCTTTTCGATATAGATTGACGTGATGACGTCATAAACTGTCAATTTCGACTCGCCCTGTGTTCTAACAATTTTTGTTTGCAACCCCGTGCATCATATACGATATATCGGATTTCCGACCCTTGGGAAATAAAATTTTAATGCAGAATTATCGATTTACTAAATTTACCGTTTCGCATATCTCGCATTAACGACACCCTGTAGAGGATCATTCGAGGAACAATTCCGAAATCAAACGCTTCCACGATATACAGGACGTCCCCATCAAATGCGCCGGTAATGCCAAAGACTTGGAATAATTGGCGATTAGTTCGAAAAACTTCCCGAACTTCTCTAGGTGCAAGTTCATCGAGTGCTCCGTGCGCTTAATTCGAAATAATTTCCGGCTCGGATGCCTCAAGTGTCACGACAATGGCTCGAAAAGGGAAAAGTTCATTATAAAGTTCAATTCCATCGATATCTCCTCGGTTGATAAATCCCATCAGCCGAGCAGCTTTGTGCATCTACAGTTTGTCCCGGCATAAATTGGAATTAATTTCTCACTTGATGATGGTGCTTGTTAATAAGTGCATATTTTTCATATTTACATATACGGCAATTTAGAATCGAGACGCCGCCGTGTTAATTTGAATTTTGTTGTTTGATTAGGTAAAAAAATCATTTCGATACAGCATAGTCTGAATCGCTATAAATACACATTTATTATGCAATGCACAATTTTATTTGCATAAAAATTCATAAATTAACCGAGAATAGACAAAGCGCAAATCATGTCTTGCATTGATCCTTTTAATAAAAATGCCCCGCGAATAAATTAATTCGAGAAAACGGCAGGTTTGTTTAATTTTCGAAAGTTAATGCAAATTTGCACTGGCAAAATGTTTATACGTTATTGGAAATATTCGCAATGAAACGAACATACAGGGTGTCCCTACAAAGGGACGCCCTGTATTTGAAACGTGCTCGAGGTGTTTGAAGTGTTCCTATTTGATCTCTAATTCGAGTACACACACATTTTTTCGTTTAATCCGCCAATTCGGTGGGTTTGTCGAATTTTATCGAAAAAATAATAAAAGATTGGGGCACTAACTGTGGCGAAAATCACGTACGAAAATTCGATTTCATATTCCCAGTAAACGATCATCGAACCGTTTCTTCGGTATACATAAAATCACGAAAACGCGTTTAATTGTCTATACAGGGTGTCCCAAGAGAGTACGCAATAATTCACCATTTCGATTAGAGGTACTGGGAATTTATTTCTATGTGGAATTTGTACTTTAACCGCACCGAAACTGGAACATGTAGGTATCTATTAATAGAATTTGCATGATGGAAAAATGCAGTCCTTCCTAGCCTTCGAAATCGCAACTCAAGCTGACTCACGATCACCTTAGGTCAAGAAATCGCGATCGAAATTAACGTGCATTTTGCTCGAAAAAAACCCATGTATTTAACTTTCGAAACGATGCTGAATTTACAAGGCGTATCATTCAGAATAAGATGATTTGAAAAAAAAAATCATGGGCCACCCTGTATAAAACGTTGAAATTTTTATTCATGCGTACACATTAGGTACACACATACTTACCTAATAAACAAATAAATCGTTGCTTTTGTAATTGCTTCTAAAAATAGGACTTGATGAGCACGTCAATTATGATTTATTATACCGAGCAGGAGTATATGTATAGTCGTTTCAAAATCAATCTAATAATCGCTTCGAATTAAACCATTTAACTACGGTACATTGTACAACAAGTGTATTTTAAAAATAATAATGTTATACTCATTTTGAGCTTAAATCGAGTTGATAGTAGTTGTTATATTCGATTGACATTGGGAAGACATATGCATAATCTTAGAGAGAATTACGAGCAGTTTTTTTTACAAACACCTGTTAAGGAAACCTATTTTGGTGTATGACAAATAATCCAGATGAGTACGGTTAATTGGGCATAATCTAAAATGGCGATTATATACCGGGCGGTACGAAAAAATTACAATTAATCTCGCCGCGTTACAACCGACTCGAATAAATACGATTATCGAGTTGAATTTTGAGAAATCTCGTTGTTTATTTCGTACGATTTTCGATAACCTTAGTACGCTTTTTTTTTTCGTAAGTTGAGCGTCGAATGTCATTGAAATTCTACCTGTAATTATCACGAAAATAACCGACCGCGACCATGAATTTTAGTAATACGGTTATTATACCGCTTATCTTTTACTTGCACAATAACAATTTATTTATTCGACAAAGCCGAATAAATATTTTATTGGCTGTTTACACCTCTTTTCGCCCGTATTCCGAAAGCTCTCTCCACCACAAAACACCAACGATAAGTAACTAAAATCAACTCGTTTTTCGCCCGAGTTATAAGAAATAAGTCACTCGAATATCGCAGGTTGTGCGCACCGGAATTCCCCACAATCCCCCATTACAAACTTCATTGAACAAGGGAAATACGCCGTATAATCGCCTGCATTATTAAACGCGACTGAACTAATCCCGATTAGATTTCACCTGAGCATTAATTAGCGACCGACGATTCGCTGGAAATGGCTTATGGAAGTCGCACGAACGACGCTCGTAAATCGAGCCAATTTGCAGCAGGAAATTTGAATAATACGCTGCTTAGAAAACCGGAGAACAGCACCGGACTGTTCCGAAATCGAGCGCACTACATCAAACCTACATCAATTAGTCAAGTGGCCGAATACTCCAAGCAGTCGAGGCCAATGAGTCCCGAAGAAAAAGAAGAATTAGAATTTTAGTCGATAGGCGGCGCTGTGAGTGTAGGGGAAGCACTGGATGATTTTTTTTTTGAGGTTGAAAAAAAAATGGCGTAATTGCACCGGCGAACGGTCACAGTCGAGCGAGCCAATTTACTACTAAAACTCGGTGAAATACGATAATGGGCCAGCGAGAAAGAGAGTTTATTCAAATCGAAGGCGAAGGAACAAATCGACTTCCACAAATAGTAATCGGCGCAAAATAAATTGCAAGTAATATACACCTCGAGGCATCATAATCTAGCAAATGAAATAATATACCGGCCACAGGTGTTCGGAGCTGTGGGACATTTCCGCCAGTGCCGCCGAACAGGGTTATTAATTTCATACTCTACTTTTAAGGCCTTTAACTCCTCAGTTGTGCAACTTCGTTTAAAGATATTTCTTATGCGAAACACTCACAAAAAAATCTCACTTTTTCTGGTCTATTTTCTGTCGATAACGAAAATAATAAAGCCGAACTGCACGCCATTGGATTGACTCAGTATCTCGGTATCTCGACGAGATCGAAAGGCTTAATATCCACTGCACTACATCCTCCCGACAAGCACCACTAATGACATAACTTCGGTTAGCAATATGAAAGAAAACCACTTATAATACTTCGCTACTTCGATCTTATCAGCGCAAATCATCGCTTTTTGTGGTCATACTCGCTTCTCCAACCAACCGATTACCAAACGTTACTATCCTAGTGCTTGCACTTAGTTCTATTATACACCAAGTATAGGCATTTTCCTGTGGTTAACTAGTAAACCCGCGAGGTACTAGTAGTATACTTAATCCTAGCTTATCGAGTCCTTTTATGGGTCCAAATATAATACTATAGTAACTATTCTATTATGCTTACTATGCTCCTGCAGATTCTAATGCCCTTGATATAATTCTCTCATAGGTCCAAGAAGAATACTTACATTATTCTTCTAGGTGCTAGTTTAATAAATTATTTCCAGTATAAACCTAGTTTTAAGTATGTATTAATTATTCTAGTATTTTAGGCTTTAATATCTCCTATTATATGCTTCCATAGAATCCAGTACACTTTGTTAATTCTATTAATTCTCGCCCATCTTGACGATATTATTTATTTTAGTATTTTAGGCTTTAATATCTCCTATTATATGCTCCCATAGAATCCAGTATACACTTTGATAATTCTATTAATTCTTACCCCTCTTGACGATATTAATTATTTTAGTATCTTAGGCTAGAATTTCTCTCGTTACACATCTGCGCTATTTATAATAAAATTACGCAATCAGATCTGGTCCGGAATGCTCGGTCCATTATCTAGCTAAGTTCGAAGGCATTTTTTCCGTTCGTAACTATAGTACCGGAGGAAAAAAATAAAAACCAGAACCGGTATGTCCATAAAACGCGATCGACCGTTTCCTAGAACGCCGGTCGCGTTGTCTATTTACGGGCGCACCACGTGCGATAATTGCGGCGTGAAATTGTTTTTTATTTATTTAGAATTAGAACGATTCCACAGGTTCCAGACGCAGCGGCTGCGCTGGTAAATTGCTGGTTCTTTGGGCGCCGCTTCGAGGAAGGGTTGGAGTGTAGGTTAAAGAAGTGGGAATGAGTCTGAATGAGGGATGATTTAGGGGTGTAAATGGTGGGTTAATGGAGTGCTGGTTGTTTGGTTGAGTTGGAGTATAGGATGATTTAAGGGTGTAAAAATCCATTTTTTTCTTCTGATTTCAGATCGAGGAAAAGTCGAACGGCAGCGAAACTGATTTGACTTAAGCGGAACGCGAGAGAACTCGTTCATTACACGTCCAATGGTTAAGCTTCTCTTATGAAGGTAAGTCCGCTTAAAATTTAAACACCGAATTTTCGGTTTCCACTCGACTTTTCCAGCTCGAAGCGACCCTGATAAATAAGAATTAAAATAAGAATAAATAATATACACTTTGGTGTTTTTCGGATTAAAAAATTGCCTTAGCAGTCGACGTGTTAAACGGATTTCCCGCAATTCGCGCCGCCGGGCAGAAAAATACCCACCTGGTTGCATTTGAACGGTTAATTGTCGATTTTTTTTCCAATTCTTTCGAATAGATAAATAATGTATTTTTCTTAAGGTTATATGCACATGTGTGGTACTTCTGTTAATTGCTAGTTATTTCGTTAAATTACAGGGATCTGTCGAGATTGGATAATATATTGCAGAATTCGGTTCCGCTTGCTTTGTTATTTACTTCTAGGAAAGCGAATATCTTCGTGAATTCGATTTTTTTTTCTCCATCGGATCGCTTCGAGAACTGTTTTTAAAACGTATCATAAATCAAAACTAAGAAAGTTACCCATTGTTTGTTAGAATCAATTTATTTGAACAAATTATGAATCCTATATAGGGGAAAGATTGGCAACACTTAAGTTGGCGACTCTGGTTACTTTTTGACGGCAAATAAATTAAATACATAAAAAATATACCTGTGCTCGTAAATCGGGGGCTTCTATAAGGCAAAACGATATAAAATTAGTTGAATTTCCGCTCACGTACGAAAAGAAAATCCGCGCCAAGTGGAAACCGTACGACCTGCCGAATTTTCACGACCGCCTTTCGGTTATTTGTTTCCCGACGATGTACGGCATCGGAAAATCGAGTTTTCTACCTCACGTAGGCGAATATCATTGAATAACGAAATTTTCCTATACGATCTGCGCTAGATTTACTCGAGGGTTAACCATAAAAAACTCGCTTTAAATCGACCAAAAAAATATTAGGGGAAAATGGGAATTGTATTGGCTACACTGATTTCACTTGTTATTTAAGTTGCCTTCTTGTCTAGTAACTTTTTAATAACCACAAAGTCACTCAATTTGAATAATTTATTAGGGAAAACTGATTTCTCGATAAGTAGTACATTTTTAGATTGCTTTTAAACTATCATCGATATTTTTCAAATTTCGTACATTAATTTTCGATAAAGCAATTAGAATCCCGAATAATCCGCTCAATTATTCACTATCAAATCATAGTGAAGTTCGAAAAGAAATTGTTTAAAACACGCCGGGATCGATTTTTTTTGATGTTTTCGAAGTCGAAACGGATATAAATAAAACAATGTTGGCATCGCAATAAATCCCGCGGGTCGGTATTTTTAGGCAACGGGCTCGTTTGTAAATCCAAAGAGATTAAAATTCGAAATTAATATTGTTCCGTTTTTAATAAAAAGAGACTCGAGAGCGATATTAAATTTTCCAAAGGGATCGTATAGAAAAGTACTAAACGGGCTGGAAATATTAAAAATTCGACAATATCTTTTAAATTCCCTAAACAAGAGGATACTGACGAATACATATAGAAATTTTACCTTAATAAGTATAAAGTTAAAGGCCAGTTTTGAAGACGAGCAAAAAAGAAGAAGTATTTTTTTGCGCGAGTTTGTTTCAAATTTAAAATGACGCGCTAATTAAACCAATTAAAAAATGTCGATTCCGTTGCTTTGATGTCTTTATAAATAGTATAATTTCATTCTTTCCAATTAAAACTCGATTTAGCGAGCTGCTGTTTATTCGATGTTATCGGCGAATTCATTAGCAAAATTGGTAGATTAAATTAAACAAACATAAAGAGCACATCAAATAAATTAGAGCAGCATCCAATCAATTCGTTATTGGTCGGTTTCGATTTGATTTCGCCATTAGAACGGAAGAATTCTTTGGTCGAACGACGCGAGAGTTTATTTTCCGAAAATAATTGCAATGGGTTTTGCGTTTAGAATTTAGTAAAATGAACGAACGTCAAGAAGCGTATTTGCAGTGTGATAAAATTTATCACCTGTATAAAGTTGATACAACAATGGAATGCGCTTATGTGAACGCAGTGAACGTGATAGCTGTAGTGAAAGTGATTTGCAAACGCGCGGGGAAAGAGAAATTAAAAGGCAATGAAAACGCGAAAAAATACGACAGGCTGTAAAATAAATGCACATTTACCTAATGGATAGGTTGATAAAATGCAATTTTAATGTCCCAAAAATGCGTCAAATATCGATATAAGCGTATTGGCAGCAAGTAAAAGGCCATAAAAAGAGCGAACGTTATTAGATTTCTCCATCTTAAAAAAACATTTTTATTTCCCCTGTCATTCCGAATTCGATTTTTCATCGTTAATAGTTCATTTTTCCGATGCGAGAATAAGACGAAAACCCAATTTGTTTGAAGCACTGAAAGATGAAAGAACGGAAAAAGCGAAAAATCTCGTTTGTTTTCAATTTTTCCATTCGCCAGACATTTCCCTGACATTTTCCCAATCGCATTTATTTGTACCTAAGCATATATTACTGTTTCAGGAAAAATCCCGTTATTTTTCCACAAATACACAAATTTTCCACATGTTTTTTTTTTTGAAACACCCTATAACTCTTTAAAACCCCAATTGAATATTCAACTATTATAATATAGTACATTCTCTTTAAATACAAACCATATAGGTTCTAGTAGCAAATTTTCCGGAATTACCAATGCTAGATTATCTAGCTGGATACCGCATAACAATGAAAGCACGTCTCGTTATCAAAACGCAAAGACAAAGGCTACCGTGGCAGTCAACGCATTAATAAATCAGTTTCAACCCGTCGCACAGTGGACCGAACCCCCATTGTAGCTGGCCCGAATTATTTCTCTTTGTAACAAATCACCAAACCAACACTACCTGTAAGATACTAGATAATTTAAGACTCGACATTAAAATATACTTGTTGCAGAAAATCTTGTCCACTCGTATTCTAGATTTGGTCCACAGGTGCATAGCTGCTTTGTTAGCGCAAAAGCCGCCTTAAAAATTCACACGGGCATTATCGACGCGTCGGGAAATTATTAGTAAAATCGCCTCGGTGTACGAGGGTCGGTTCAAAAGTATTTAACGCGCTGAACATACGGGGCGTCGCGGATAACTTGTGAAATTTCTCTAAATTCGGCAACGTCGCGTTCTTATTTCGCGACAATAGTCATTTATTTGCGATGCTCGGATACCAGGTATCGAATCTCGCCTGCGGCGATTGGATATCGGATATTTTTCTCCGGGAAAAGAAAAAGTTATATTACGCCCGAGATCTGGTACATTGTTTATGGGGAAAACAATGCGTGGGCGCGAGATACGCGATACGATTGAATTGTTTCGCATCGTCCCGGCGGCGGGGATTAGAACGGAAAAAAGGGCTTATTGTTATTATAATTAAACTGGGAGATTTTCTCTTTCGAAGTGAAATAAACTAGAGAGGAAAACTCGACTTAAAGTTGAGCGGGTAAATATTATTTCACATTTTTGGTCGACAATCCGAGCCTCGTTTTTGTATCGAATACGTTAGAGAAACACGCCTAATTGAAGGAAAAAAACTCACGTTGTTTTGTAAAAGCCTCTATCGTTAAGTAAATACCGTTGGATTTTAATGTGTTTAGAAGAAATTCGCCGATAAAATTTGCATAACGACTGCCCGCCGGGCATCAGATTGATATTTTATGTTTCCTTTTCTAAACAATTCATAAATTTACCTATATTTATTAACAAACAAAATCCAAAAACATCCTGGTATTATGCAGAAGCCGTAAATAATTGAGGAAAAAAAATCGAATAAATATCCCCAAAAATCTCATAGATTTTCCATCAAGTTCATAATCAGCTTCTCGTACAAGGTGACAAGTTCTCAACCGAAAAATAATTCTGAAGCGTTCTAAACGGTTCTAGACAATTTTTAAATGATTATGGAACGTCCTAAATTGTTCTAGACAATTCTAAGTGATTCAAGAAGAGAACTTTTCACTCTACTCTCGTAAATCGAAAATTAATACTAGTCATATTGACATCGTATCTTTCGGAATACGCCCCATAATCAATCAATAGAACTTACATAAATTAAGAGGAGGTTTTAAAAAAACAATCAACGAGTCGTCGGTTCCCCCCGGGGCTCTAGAATACATTCGATTTCTTCGCCGAAATTCGTGTTTGATTGGTGTTTACGAGCCTCGCACGACATGGGGGCACCTTTATCTAACATCTCTCGACCCATCAGCCCATCAGCGCTCTTAATTCACGATTTACAAGTCGAAAATAGGAAGCAAGATCTCGTTAAATAAATTATAAACATTCTATTTATAGACGGCGTTTTAGATACAAAATGGTATTCCGAGCGCGACATGTGTGTTTGCTTTATTTTTCGCTCATTTTTATTTTTTTTTTTTAGTTGTATTTTCGACGTGCTCTTTTGCCGGTTTCGCGCTTCATATTTACGCTTTTAATTAGCGATATGTGTTAATTTGCTCGGATGACTTTTATGGTCGCTGCTGTGCCATATACAGGGTGTCCCTGTATAGTCATTCTTCGTAAAAAAATCCTGCTTATTGTCGGAAGATGCTTATTGTCTCTTCAACTCTATCGAGGTATACACACTGTATACAGAGTGTCCAATATATTGAGTGGACTTCCCGCTCGCTGTTTTTCTAATTTACCGCGATTTTTGTGGCAATTAAAAGTTTGACATAGCCCGAAAAAAAAAGAAATTCCCGGCCGAATGTAGGCGCTCGAATACATCGGAATATTGGTCGATTTTCGGGCGGGAAATTCGCAATTTCCCGTATGCGGCGAAACGAAATGCGGGAAAATTAAGGAAACAACGGTACAAATGGAACTGTTCGTCGCTGTGCGGTTTGCCTCTATTTCGAGTTGATATTGCCAGGCGTAATTAGCGGCATTATTTACGAAATGCAAGCCAAATACCGAAGAAATTCGTATTTGTGTATCGAATTGAATAGTTGGCGTTGTAATTTAGGGGAATTCTATCGTGTGGCGACACTGCCAAC